TAGGTTCGTGCTTTTGTCTACTTATCGTATTCGCTTAAAACAATTACCGTGTACCGATTGTTTTAAAAAGACTGTTTATCATCGTTCAGAGGGAAATGAGTAATCTACGATTTATTCGCAAAGAGCCGATAAACTTTTGCAAAAAAAATCGCTGGGAACGGGGGAGAGCTCATCGCCGGGCCGATAACCACGAAAGCGTTGAAAGCTGAAATTCCTCGACCGCGGAGAATTTCAATTTGAAATGCTGTGCCGCTCGCCAGATTCTGTCAGGGTTTCAGAACGGCTGCGTATCATCCCTGACGCGCAGACAGAATGATAAAAGGCGTAACTTTATAGTTGTTAGAGCCGAAAGAGGAAGAGACGCGATACACCCGCGACTTTTTCTCCTCGGACGGGAAAGCTTATTTTACCGACAGATCAAAACCGACGAGGACTGAATTTCCCAAGGTTTTTCTAGGCCCCGGAAAAGCGTAAGGTAAAACACCCAAACACTCGAACGTTCGAAGAACGAGGGTCGCGATAGAGAATTTGTCAGACGTATGAATCGAATTGTATCAACAAACCGAGTTTATTTTATCGGTGGAAAAAGAGAACGTTTATTGGATTCGTTAATTTTGTAAGATATCGAGAATTCACAGACTTTATAATACTCTTTCTTCCGAATTGTTTTTATCAAAATCCGGAGGAATCGTAAAAATTCTTGAAATTATATTTGCTTTTAATTGTTGCATATTTGAGACGATCTTTTGCGATCGTAATTTAGATTTAGTTGGCGGTTAATCGTTCAGAAAACTAGCGAACGGTTACGGTCGGATCAAAATCAAGTTGGCATTCAAAGCCACTTCCGCGACTGTGAATCATAGCAGGCCTATCTGTTCGAGAGACTAGCGCGAAAAGATAGGAGATAAGAGAACGGGGTAGCCAAACGGATATAACGGGTATAACCCTGTTAATGGCCTTGAGCGACCGCTTGATTTTGATCCGATTATTCTCGTTTACAGTCGTTCGGGATTGTTGGTTCAAAGTTAACGTCCCCCGCAGTTTCTACAAATTTTCGTTGGCGATTCTCGGTCAACGTCAGGAACAGAAACGTCCCCGGCTCGCGAAGTTTTGAGAGAAATTAATCGCTATCGTCCGCTCAAAACAAGCATCCTCGTGAAGATAAAGACGCAGCTCCGTGTACACCGGGCGATAAATCACGCGACTGGCCGTACGCGAGGAAAAAATCGTTACGCGGATTGAAAATGTTGAAAAAACAGACGGGAGAAGGCCGCGGGTAAACGATCGTGTGGCTCTTAACTGACCAGCATAACGCGATTTCGTGCGGAGGGGAAGTTTTTTTGTACGAGACCCTCACCATAATTAATCACCGGTTAATTAACGTGAAAAATCCTCGACGAAGGCCGAAGAAACGACAAGGGTCAAGCGTAATCCAAACGTATGCTATTTTCGTGGGTCTAGATGTTCGAAACATTCGAGACGTATTTCTTCTTTTAAAGCTTAAATATGAAAATTAAAAATATTACTCATAATAATCGAATAACATCGAAAAATGTTATTGCTCGGCGCGCCCAAAGATATTTCCCACTTTTATTTTTAATTTTTAGATATTCGAGCGAAAGAAGCGATTCTAATTATTGTTTTTCTCTTTGTTTGAGTTTTGCGACTTTTTTCTGCGCCCGTTAACGATCGCCGTCCCGGGTCCGGCTGGGAATCGAGGATTAGGCGACTGCGAAACGGTAAAAATCGTGATCGTCATTATGGGAAAGCGGATTACTTCGATGCTCGTTCGCGTAATCACGCGCGATGTTCGCGCGCTGAAAGAAGTCTCTGAAAACGCGCGGATTTTACACTGCGGCTCAAAAGTTCCAACTATCTTTAAAATATACTTCACTGATAATATTTCCCCTAGATATCAATTAATCAAATATAAATATAAATAAAATTAAACATTTTATTCCTGCAAAGCCTTAATAATCTCTCTCTCCTCAAACTACATGAAACAAAATTTATTGACACGGCTATAAAGTAGTTTTCTCACGAAACAGCTATCTGTAAATTATATTTTTATAAGTGTCAACAATATGCAATAAAATCAGTACACGTATATAAAAAGAGCTTAATTTCTATAAGGATCGGAGGATGCTTGAAACTTTTGTGCTGCAGTGTACATCGCTTAGGTCCATATTATCGAGCTCTCTGCGCGTTCGTTGAAAAATTCGCGATCCGTGCGATTACTAGGAGACAATATATTTCCTTTTTTTTTTAATACGGACACTCGAGAGTCGTCTCGGGATCGAAGGGATCGGTGTATTAAAAGCGATCAGAGAAAGGTAACCCCGGAGTAAGAAATTTAATGGCACCTTTGTCGCGAATAATTCGAGGCAAGCCGATAACCCGATTAGTTTCGAGTGACTGTTAAATGCATCGGGACCATACATTTTTACGTCAGTTTCCGACACTGTCGATGAAATGGAAAATCCTACGCTGTCGGAAACTAGACCGAGAGCTTCTTCAATTTTTACGTAATTAATTGGATAAACCCAATTAACCCCTTTGCTGTCCAGTCGTTCGAGGAGACTGACACTTGGAGGCATCGACGCCGTATTGAAATATATAAAAAAGCTCGCGCACGCTTGCATTTTTGTTAGGGCGTAACACGTGAAATTATCGATGTTTGATCGGTTGAATATCGACTGCAATTAAAATATCCATTGCACTGTAGTATTTATTAGACTCTTCGATTTTATTTACTTATCGAGAATCGTTTAACAATACCAATTTGTACTAAAATCTAAAATATAAAACAGCTAAGTTGAACTTGGGGGAGAAAAAAATTTTATTCCGGGGATCTGAACATGAAAAATGAGCCTCCTGGGAGGCTCAAATCCGTCTTAAACGAAGATCGATTAAGGATCTATGGTGGAAGCTAACCCACAAATAATAAATCAAGGACTTGCAATGGACTTGGGAGTTGCCACTATAACAGTCGCAATAGAAAAGGTGCAAAAGCAGATGATGAGCACGGAAAAATTGAAAATAACAGATTTTTCCCAAAACCAACCCGTATCGATTAACAGACACGAACTTATAGCTTTGCGCAATAGTCGATCGTATACGTCACAAATTGCAATTTGGCTCGGCTGCAACGACCTATGACATTTTGCCCCATCCAGCATACTTGCTGAACCTTTCTCCGGTGGTATATCACCTTCTTCGCTATTTGGAGCTCTTTGTAAGCAACAACACGTTCCTCGATCGACGAGGGACTAGAAGATCCGAACAATTTATGTGCAATTTAACCTGTTAACTGGGGAGTTTCTCCATCAAAAATTTCCAATATTCACGCAGTGGTAAATAAGCAAATACAAGAATGCCTGAGTTAAATAAATAACCCACTTTTTATATAGTATTAAGAAAAAAATCAATTTTCAACACGCCTAGCCTTGTTCTTCATACAAAAATAAAGAGCATCGATTCTTCGATTGCAAAATGCGTATATCGACTCTGATTCTTGACAAATTGCAAGCTCGAATTACGTCATGACGTGTCGATAAACAAATGATAGATGTCTTCGAGTTAATCGTTCCGTTCAAACTGTTCAAGCTACTAGCGTACTAACGCCGTTCGAATCATTCATGGTATTCGTGTCACTGAACTCATTCAAGACAATCGCGTCCCGTTGAAGAATTTCAAATTTCTAGAACCGATTCCGGTCTCGGTATTTCAGTCTCAAGACGTTTTAAATATCCATTCTTCGGTTAGCTAGCTACAGGTGACCACCAAACGTCAAACGCGGTAGAAATTATTTAACCGGGTACGTGTATGCAACTTCGAAAGCTGAAACGTATAACGTAGCTCGTGGCTGACGAAATGATCGCTTAAAATAGCAATCGTGGCTGCGAAAGATTCGAGATTTAGCAGCGTCATCTGTCGCGCCTTATCAGTCGTGGCCGATAAGCGGAGCTCCCTCCTGCGTCGCAGAGAAAGCAACCGAAGGGGGAAAGAGAAATGGAACGAGACGGGAAAGACGATGATTTCATCGTCGGATCGCGCGAAAAATACCATACTCTCCACGATCAAAGGAAAACACGACTTTTTCCCACGATTGTTCCGTGCGTGACGACGCGTCAGTCGATTAAACGGACCGTTCTAATTCGATCAACTCCGATCCCGTAGCTTTTGCGGCAAACGAAACGCATCGAGGGCCACGCGTTCGGCCGCAGCCGCAAAAGTTTGCGCCCGGCGTAAAAACAATGTTGGCGTAGCTCGATACACGGCGCACCTCTACGGTAGCTCGATGAAATGTTGAATTAATATTTTGCCAATGGGGGGGAATTTTAGTTATTTTTCATATTTTTCGATTCGAAACGCGTTTTGGTAATTTCGATGGATGAACAGAAACGCGATGCGAGTTTACAAATTTTGGCACCCTCGTAGGGGCGGATCGAAGAAATTAGACGGTTCAGACTTCCTCGTAGTTACTTTCGCGAGTAACTGTACGTGCAAATATTCCGTGCGACGGACCGCCCGGCAATCTACGACTTCAGAGAGGAAAATCCGTGCGCGAGTGGCGTGTCGCGCGGGCAAGTTAAAGGTGCAAGGGCAAATCGATTTGATGCACGCGAAAAATGGAACAGAAACGAGACCCGATAACGGCGCGCCGTACAAATATAAATTTGTTGCTCGATGAAACTTCGTCCTCGCTCCGCGCCAAGAGAAGGTGGAAGAGAGACCGAGAGGCGAGACGAAGACGAGGAGCAACGACACGCGTCCCAAGACGGCAAAAGACCGACTGAAAAGCACGCGAGGGAGGGAACCCGCCACTTGTACGGTGGGGGATACAGTTTGCCGTGCAGCAACAGACCGAGCGACGGAGGGAATCGCGAGCAAGAGGGGAGGGGGAGGGAGAATCTTGATCGGCGGGTGGGGAAACCGAGAGAGGAGAGGGGGTACTCGTGTCGCGCGATAACCGACGCGAGGTGCAAACCAGCCGCGAATTCGAAAGGCGGCCAGTTGCTGTTCGCGCGTCGTCAGCGTCGCGTCGCGAGAATATCGAGTCGAGATATCGAGGTAAAGGAAAAAAAAGCTCATCATCGCGCAATCATTTTTTACGAGCGTCGTGACCTACCCTCGTAACATTATTCCCCCCCGCTCCACGGTCCCGCGAGCCATTCCACGCGATCAGTGATTACCGAAAAGACGAACGAAAAAGTAAAAAAAAGATCAGGAGCACGCCTTTCGGATACGCGAAAGTGCGATAGATCCCGCGGTAGCTGGTAACAGTGGAAAGTTCGCTCGTGGATCACGCGACGCAAAGGTTACCACAGAGGCGTCGATCCTCCTCCGGGGCGCGTTCCTGCAGGAGGACCGGCGTCGCGCGACCTTCCATCGAATCGAGCGCCGGAACATCCTCGAGAAATCGTTGCGTAATCTCTCCGTTTAGAGGCGTCGCGGCACCGTACGCGGGGAATTCGTCCCGCGGACGACGCAAACACAGTGGGTGTGCCTGTCCCGGGTGGCACACGTCACCGCGAACTCGGTCAACGCGAGTCGCGGCGTTATCTCTGACCACCGGCGTCGCGAAAAAGAAGCGGGACACCGAGAGGGTATCCTCCGGCCGGATAGATCGGTGTCGGATAATCCACGGTGTAACGCATGATTTCCCACGTGGCACGTACGTGCGTGTGGCCGCGTGCGTGCCTGATGGTCGGCCATCCGTGACTCGTCTTCGTGAAACCTGCTTCGGAGGAGCCCCCGATTAAATTAGCCGTTCATTGTCGCACGCGTCCCCTCTCGTTTTCTTCTTACGTACCGTTTTCCACGGCCACGTAAGTACGCCGGGAGACACGAGCTCCCCGGCCAATAACGCGTCAGAGGCTATCGTAATTGTTCGCGCCAGACGCGCCGCGGCCGCTCTCGCAGCTGTCGATCCACGGGACCGTTCCAGTAACATTTTTCTTCGGCAGCCGCAGCTGCAACGACCATCCCGCCTCCCGAGATCGATTCTCGATGGGGACGTTACTTGCATCTTCGTCGACGTTCCAACGGACCTTCTGTTTATCCTTGGACGGCGCCAGAAATTTCGCGCTCCGACACTCGAGCGTGACTTTTTGATCCTGGCAGTACACGGGCCCCACGGGCGTAACGATTAATCGTTCGAGACTACGTGCTTCAGACTTTGACCACGAAATTTCATTGAAAAATTTTACCAAAAATCGTACCGTCGCGTTACGTTACATCGACCTTGTTTCACGGATTCTAAAAGTATATTTTTATCGTCGATTTTGACAGTCAAATATTATGTAACCGACAATTAGGTCACTCCGATGTTTCGTCCGGAAAGAATAGTACAAACATCAGAGACCGTTCCTCGTCCAACGAATAACTCGAAGAGATAAAAATAAACGCGGAACTCGTTATTTGATTTATCAGCGACACGATTGTATTGCGAGAGTGAAAATTCTTGGGGCGTATCGTCGATAAATAATTCCTTTTTCTCTTTTTTCTTTTTATCAAATTTTGCATTTTGTGTAAACTGTCGTCCGACACTTTGTGATTATCGTTCGTAGAATCCCGTTTTTCCCGATTTTTCGTCGCCCCCACCGGTATCTCTCTGCTGGAGGCGAAAAGCGCTAGCGCGGTAAATTGACTTTGCCCGATGCACGCGCTTTATCGCGCGTAACGATTTGTGTAAGAACATAATTTCCCGACAGGTTCGCGCGCGAATAAAAATAACGATCGCCTCTCGTCTCTCATCGTCTCCGTTCCCTCTCTACGAGCAAACAATATTCCGAATGTAAAATCTGTTTCCGTAGGGAGCACGATTCGAATAATCGCTGAACAATTGAACTGGGTCAATTTGGGAACACCGAGCACTTATCGCGGATTAATGCATTCGAGACGACTGTATCGCTCTTGGTGGATTATATTAATCGGAATCTGATAATTCGGGTGTTCGAATCCCTCTAAATAATCTTCTCGAACGAAAACTCTTGACGGATCGAAACAACGCGTAACGATAAAAATTCAGATCAGAATTTCGATTAGAATTCCCTTCCTGGCTGTTACGTACGGGTAAAGGGTAATTTCCATTTACTCGTATAAATAAATAGCTTTTGTGCATAGTAACTCATCCCGGTGTGCAGCAGTTCCGTCATACTATCGCCTCTTTCGAGCAACAACGCGTACATTTTGAGCGGGAAGTGATTCAACGATTACGACAACATCGCGCGTAGCCTTTTGCATTCAAAGACTCAAAGGAATGCAATTGCTTTCAGAACGATGACAGAGGAACGTAGTTATCGCTTCGTAAACCGAGCTTATAAAACGCGCAATATTTTCTGAGTCATCCCGACAGTGTCGGCTACGTCTTCGGAGGATTATCTTCTCTCGATGTCAATAATAAACAATAGATAAACACGATCGAAAAATATACCAATTATCGTTCCAGACTTCGAACGTTCGAGCACGATTCTGCTATTTATTGTACGATAAATCGTTGCGTACGTGGCCCCTATTGGGAACAGGTCTTCGTCCAAGACAACCCTCGCCCTTTTTCTCTTCGAACGATTAACCGATGTATCGGAACAGAAGCTCGGTCGTGATTGCGGGATTAAACGTTGTCCCGCGAGCTTAAGGGGGAGAGTTCGACTTCGAAGATATCCGATCTTAATCCTTCGCGTAAGAAACTTTCAACCCCCTCAAACGATCGGAACGACGAGGGCAAGGGTGGCTCTCTCTCTCGTTTACCGTTATCGCTGTCTGGAAATTGCGACTGGTTCGCCGTTCGGAGAAGTCGCCACGATAACCTTGAAGGGACGATAAAGAGTTCGCGACGCGAAATAAAGACGAGACGGAAGGGTTAATGGCGCGAGCAGACTCGTAATTCACGTATTCGCGGGGAAAGAAACAAAGAATGCTGAGTTATGTTCTCGACGCGTTAGAGATTCGTGCTATCAACGACAGTATCTTCGCGATAATAATTAATCATTACGATACGGAAGCTTGACTAATAGTGGACATTTTCGAGGCTTTCGAGATTACCATCTTTACTTTGCTTAGTTTTACATCTTTGAACCAGCTTTTTCGACTTCTTTAAGAAGATACCGTCTAATATTTTCGTGGAACCAACTTTGAGAACAAAGAAATGATAACAGAAGTAGGGTATCTCGATCGAAAACATCAACGTGTAAACGTATTAGGAAAATAACGTTTCTTTCCATGGAGCAGTCGTGCTAGTGTCGGAACCTGTCCTCGGACTGTATTTTCTCAAAAGTAACTGTCGACTGCCGGTGCAATTATCGTAACCTATTTAAAAAAATCAGGGTCATTCGCGCTAGCAAGTATGAACGCGTGTACGGAGTTGGACGATAAAATTCAGATTCGTTCCTGAACTCGATTATACCAGTGGCTTCGCCAATTTTGTGTACCTGATTAAATTCTAAATATTCTTCCTTCGATATTTAAAGGAACCAAAACTGCTTTTCTTTCCCTTCGAAGCAGAAAATGTTTCTTCGCGTTTGGAACGAGACGCGAACAGAGTGTTTCCGGACCGTAAAATTTGTATTCGATGGAACAAAATTCGGAGCTCGGAGCCACTCGACTGCGACAGAAAGACGGAGGGAGGAAGAGTCGCGTAACAGGAAGCGATTTACTCGTGCGTCTCGTGGTTGTCGCGTGTCGAGGAACAGCCGAAGCGTGGAGCGCGTGCTGGCGTGCTCTAGGATAGCAAATACCTCGGAATCCGAATATATGAATATCCATTAACGAGGCGTAAATCAACCGGAGCGAAATGTTTAATCAGCCGACCGCGCGAATCGCTCGTGGACGAGGGCGAATAATTTGTGTACGCTTCCGACCATCCCTCCGCTCTCGAACAGTCGCCTCTTTCTCGCCCACGGTCGACCATCGATTCGACCATCGACTCTATCCGTTTCGTTTTTCTCGTTACGTATGTACGTCGTCCTCCGGTTCTCCCTCTGCTCGTCGCGGTTCGTTTGTTCGTTAGTTGTTCTAGCCGTGTCGCCCCAGAAACCAACGTCTGGTGTACGCCCGGTGGCCAATTAATCGCTCACGGTCGGTCGCACTCGTGCTCGGTGTGTTGATCGACGCCGGGCAAAAATGCGATTCAACGCACCGAGATTCGAACGATAAAACCGGTTGCTCGTTTTTATCGTTGTCGTTTTACCCGCGAACGTTCTTCTCAAGATCGGTTCGACTCGAATTCCGAATTTTAATTAAAACGAATCGTCCATAAACGTCGCGGAAATCTGATCCATAACTGTCGCGTGGTCGTTCCCGCCGCGTCTCCTAGCAAACTTCGGTGTTATCTCCGACACGCGACAGGTTACTAACGAGTTCCTCGCTCCGACTGTGCTTAATTCTCGCTGTAAGAGCAATCAACCGATCGCAAACATTGTCTACCCCCGGTGACGCTAACTTCGCGGTGTTATTTTCGAATCATAGAAGATACTCGAAGTCGCTCGAGACCTCGCTTCTTGACCCCCCGAGTACGTCGATCGTAAGGATGTTTTCTCTTGGATCTTGCTTTCCGAGAGTCTATTATTTGCTCGAGCCTTCCGAAGGAGACCCTTATTCGTCGTACACAGCTGCGAGCCAAAGAAACGTAAACAACGACAGGGTTGATCCCCGTTGCGAGTATCCCTGACGCAGGAATTGCTCCGAATCGTCTCGTCGCGAGTGAAATAATTAAAGAGAAAAAACTGGGAGGTGTCGTCAAAGGAAGACGAATGAATCGAGCTGAAAATTGTGTCCGCCTCACCCCCCCTGGACGCGCGTAAACATAATTACGTTTATTACCGGCCGGTGACAGAGGCTAACGAAGATCTTGTCAGTCGGCGTAATGACGCGTTAAAAATCTTTTAATTCCTCGAAGCGACACAATCGGCCGGTCGACGGAGGACCCGGCGGGGGGGGGGGGGCTGAGCTCGTTAGATTAATCAACGCTCGCGCGACACTGCTCGGACCGTCGACTTTTTGATATCGCCGAAAGCAACGAAAGGGGGACGAAGAGAAAGGACCGGAAGAAATTAAGAGCAACGACGTCGGTAGAAGTCGGGCGCGAAGAAAAATTCTTCTCGAGTCCCTCTCGAATTGGGCCGGCTTTCATTCCGGCCACTCTTTTCACCCGTTGATGCACTCTTTTTCTCTTCGTCGATCCCCCTCCCCCCGTCCCGCTGTGCGACCAATGGGAAACTTAATTCGTTAAGATCGCGAGAAGTTTCTTCGTCGTTTCGGGCCGCGCGTTTCTTGTTCCGGTGGCATTGTTTACCAGGAAAAGGGAGCACGGCGACGTTCCCCCGATCCGCGATTTTCCCGAGACTCCGAACGGAAATTACGGGGCCACGTACGACGCGAATCGATGGCCGGGCCTCCGTGTGTTCCCGCGGCCGTCAGCCGTTGCCGTGCTCCTTTTATTTCCCAACGCGCGCGTCGTTGGTTAAACACTGCAATATTTAACAGGCGACCGCATTGTCGGGCACGCGACGCTTGTAAAAACCGTCGACGACACGTGCGTTCTCGGCCCGGCGTCCGAGAATGCCGCGAAATTGCGGCTTAACGAACGAACGTTTCATAAAGGAGCCGAAGAAAGGAGGAGCTACGAGGCGATTCGCGTACACGCTGGGACCCGACGACAATAACCGTGCATCGTTGCATTTTACACGACGCCCGAGTGCACTTTTTAACGGAGTCGTACCCGTAAACCTGGATATACGCGTGTCAGTGAAATTTACGAATACCAAGTGTAACATAAAACGTGCCACGAGATATCTTGGAACGATATCAGCGAAGGTACGGATAGAGTTCGGGAAGTATTTCAGCCAGCGCCTTCGTCTGGCTCGAACTCCGGCGAACGTCGACTGGAAACCAAATTTCGCGCGTGCATTCTCTTCCAGGGCGATTACGAGGCACGCAGTTGCGAACGAGGTCGCTGGAAAGTGCTCGAATCCGTGACAGTTTGATCTCTCTAATTACGCAACGAGCACGGCCGTGTTCTCGTAGGACGCTTCGCGGATTTGCATTCTCGCGATTTACGCGACCGGATTCTCGAGAAATACGGGACGAGGCTCGAACCTGCTCTCTCGGTGTTACCCGTTTGAACGCACAATGCGACCTGGCCGGCAGCTTCGGGCGATCGAGAGAGTTAACCAGCCGAGAGAGCAACCGCGATCGTTTCCCGAAGGGCAAAGTGTTTAACTTCGCGGAGTGTATCGAGTGCGCTGACTCGAAGGACGGGGCACGCGTGTCGTTACTTTCGAGCACGGGAATCGTGGCAGTAGGAAACTTGTGCGCGCTCGGGATGCACGTATAGCTCAAAAGGTGCAACGAGATCCCCGAGATAGAGATTCGAACGGGCAGAAACGAGTCGCGAGTAAGAGACCGGGCGATTAGGTGCGCGGATCTACAGCCTGGCCAGAGTGTTATCCGATATTGCTTGGAAAAAAGTTTTATTAACCGATGTTTCGTTGTAACAGTGTTAAAATGTGGGTCACCCACGGGTTTGGAAAAAGAAATTCTGTAAATTAAAACGGTTCGTAACCTTTTGAGACTCGTGATGCGGTTCGAGAGAAAATTCTTGGGATTTTTTAATCGACAGTTTCTCATGCTCCGCGGCCAAAATCTCCGCGTACGTTCCACGAATCCATTCCCACGCGCGCCTCACTCTCAACCGATACTCTAATCTAAACATTTGCTCGATCCCCTCCGCTCTACCCCAAACACTTGTCGTTCACACTCAACCCTACGACGCGCAAACAACTCTCGTGCCTAGAATAGTGCTAACATCGGAGGCCGTTACCCTTCTAAGGAACGAACGAAAGATTTGGACGTAGAAATCTTCACTTTATTCAACGAGCGAATACGATCTAGCGAGGTGTATTTTTGTCCAAGGACCATTGTTTTATGATCCTTTTCGCTATGGAACTTGAAACCGTTTTGCAATCGTTTTGTTCTCAAGGACGATCGACGGCTGACGCGAAAAATCGCACGTTTCACGCAGATCGTAAAGAATTAAGTGGAACGATCCGTCGCTGGTCGCTCGGTTCGATAAACGACGGCCACGAGGCACGACAAAGTCCCCGATAAGGCTGAAATCTAGCGAAACGGTCGTAATTAGTCATGCGAGGGTACGGGAACGCTATTGTCGCGCGAGATTACGGAGCAGTCGTTGCAACGAGATCACGAGGATTTTCCATCGCGAGATTTACCATCGTGTGATTCGGTTTTTTCCAAAAATTGTGAAACGGTAGGGAAAGGGGAGAAAGAATCACGATTACGTACATAGTGGATATATCGTTGAACGATAAGGGGGCCACGCGGGCCCTTGGAGTGGCTCGATTTATCAAAACCCAGACGCGTCGACGGGGAATTTCCCGTGCGAGAATAAAGAAATCGTTAGAATCCGCTTTTCGCGTGTTACACGAGGGGTGGATCCTGGGGAGTCTGACCATTTTTCTGTCGTTCCAGCAGTGGCGTTTCGGACGGTCAACGGAGCGGGCGAAATAGAAATCCGAAAAAGCTGTTCGTGATGTTCGACGGTGACGCGCGGCATCATGGATATAATTGGACGTTTCCGCTCGGAAGAGGAAGAATAACGACGAGGATGACGTCGTAGTCGAACGGGTTGCACGGTCTTGGTCGAGGCGGTCAAACGACGGATGCAGCCACGAAAATTTCTACGCGAGATCGAGGATCGTGACGGCAATATGATCGACAGAATCACGTAGTGCCGCGCGGCGTGTCGGGCCGACACACACGCGAGAAACTTGTTCTCAGCCAGTGCGACGAAAAAAGGGGGGTGTGTAAATAGTGTTTTCGACGCGGAAAAAGGATTTCGGTCCAGGGGGGTGGGGGGGTGATTGGATTCGTCGGGAATCCAAGTCGCAGACATGTCGGGGCAACATCCCGGTCGGCTCGGCGTAGAATCAGCTGGCTGGGTGTGAACGAGGCGTCGATAAAAAGAGACCGGGGGGGAGAGAAAAGGGGGGAACTCTGCGCCGAAGAAGAGGGCGGATCGAGAGCGAGAGCGAGGCGCAAAATGGGAGCAGCGAAATTCCTGCTGGGAAGCGCTATCCTCGGACTCCTTTGGAGCAGCTTACTCAAGGGTGCCCTGACTAACTCGACGAACAGGTGCGACTACCCCCCGTGCTTCTGCGATCACCATGGCAGATTGACCTGCGAGTGTAAAGACGAAGGAGAGGTATGTTCCACCCGTACACGTGTACTATGCGTTCACGAGAAGTCGAAAAGCGAGAAAGCTTCTCGCGAGCGCACGGTAACCGACCCGACGAATCTCTAGCGGAGACGAACGAATAGAAATTTGCAACGGTGAAGGGTTGTGAATTACGAAACTCGAAACTCGTCGCGTTTAACTCGGTTCCCTTCGTTTCGTCGATTTCGTTTGGCGCTCCGGGCCAATCATCCTCTCGAATCTCTCTTGCCCGGTATCCTTCCCTTCCAGCGACCGTTCCCACGAATTCATTCGGAAACCGCGACCCGCCCTATCTTCACGAAAAATCGCGGACAATGGCGACGCCGGGTTCTTTGTTCCGGTCTCCGAGTTATCGGGAGAAGGACGAGAAACCATCGCTCGGCGTTCCGCCGCGCGAAGAAACAGAACGGCCGCGAAACTAGGGGTTGTCGAAATAAAAACAGAAGGCTGTAGGGGAGAGAGAGTCTAATCTCGACGGCCACGCACAGGGGGGTTCCCGCGTAAATTGCGAGGGTGGTTGGTAGAGAGAACGAAGCCTCCATAAATTAGAACGCGTTTACGCAAATCGTCGGTCGGACAACGCTGGCGGACAGGTAAGGCTCTCGACGCGTCCACCCACCTGCCTCGACCGCCCTTCGTCCCTCTCGAATATTTATTGCGCCGGACGGACGCAGGTAGGCAACTAGAGACCCCGCCCCAAGGAAAAATTCTAACCTGAGAAAAACGGTAGATCAACGAACACCGCCCTGTTCGGTTTCGGGAAAACCGTAATTTTATTTAGCGCGTTCGGGTCGCGGTAGTTTCCTCCGTTGAATTCATAACGCGGCCGTAAAGGTCAAAACGACCCGTACTGAACTTTCGTGTATGACATACTCAGCAAATAAGCTTGTAGACCAGTGGTTCTTAATCTTTTCAAGCTCGCGGCACAGTTTGGAGGAAGAGTCTTAATCTTGTTGAGCCGATGGCACAGTTCGCTAGAAAACGTCCACAGTTCCGTGCAGCGAATTATAGTAACGATTTTTTAAGCGAGACTTCTTTGTTTGTTATTCGACTTTTTACACGAAACACGATAGTTGCTCTCCTATGAAATAAAAAATAAATTCTCTTTCTATTATAGATGCTAATCCACTGTCGCAGTGAGATTTAAACAAACAAGTCCAACAAGGTTCGCGACACGGTATAATCGACTTAACGGCGGCGCAAACGATGAATAACGACTGCATCTTTCAATTAGGCTTTCGTTCTTGACGTTCACGCATGGTAATGCCAACAGAAATGGCCCGTAGATTCTTTTCTGGCCGAGTTATACTTTGGACACAGATATCGTCTTAGCACGTAACGAAGGTTAAACGAAATATGGCTAGCACGGAACGGAGGTACGATACGGGGGCATATATGTCCCGTGCCGCAGTGAACGTGCTAATGCAGCGCAGGCTTCGAAACTATGTACAAGTAAAACGTATTAAATAGGCCAGCCGTACGTTCCAAACAGTATCGCGCGTAATGCGACACCCGGCTCGTTCGATTTATGCGATGAAATTTACGCGGGACGAACCTTTTGATAAGAAAAGTAACACGTTCGAGAAAACGAGAGAAAAATAAGCCAACCATCGTATTACAGAACAACTAACGATGTTTTCCAAACTCCCTTGATTCTTGGTGATGGGGCTTTCGAAAGTAATCGTATCACTTCGTATCGTTGAACGTTCGAATTTTGACTTTCGTCCGCGAAAGCTTTCAGAAAACGCGATTTAACACCGTCCTTTCCGATTACAAATTAAAAGGGCTGCCGCGACGCACTCGAAAGAGGAATCGTCCGAATCGAACGGAACGAAACGCTCGTTTGCTTTCCGCAAACGCGATCGAGTCTCTAACGGGTCATCGTAATTCGAACTTTATCGAATAGGACTCTCTCGTTCGAGTTCCGGCAATCGCCTATCGTTTCACCTACGAATTTCGGTGTGCAACGAGGTTACGTTTATCGCGTGCCCTTGGAGACGTCCAAACGACGTTACGAGACGAGATAAAGGCGTTCTTTGTCCCCTTGGAGACAGGTTCGTGGCGGTACCCGGGTGCGTTACGCCATACGCCGTGTGTGCGCCCGTAAACTCGATCCGTAAAACTCCTGTCCGCGACGAAACGACCGCGGGAAGTAAGCTCGAGCAGCGGTTACGCCGCGAAAACCAATCGGCGTACGCTTCGGCCATTTCCTGGTCGACGTCGCGAATCGAAAGCGTTAAAGAAGCCCCTAAAGAGGCGACAAATCGCCTGCACCGAAAGATACGGCGTTAATTATCGCGTCGATTAGGCGTTACGCGATCCATACCCCCTGTAAATCTGAAGTTTAACTTTTTACAAAATTAGATAAGTTATAGAAAATTTAACCCTTTGACTACTGAAAGCGCGCATAGGCGATCAGTCGCCATGAGCGTTCAACGTGTGAAAAAGCTTTCCCTACACAACTTGTGCACGAGTTGAATAGGACTCTCGAGTTTTAACGAGACTGTAAAAACAGTTTCTAATTAAACAATTTGAGGGGTTTGGCAAGTAAACGCGTCATTGGCGAGACACGGTGCTGGCGTAGGCGCCTGTTGTCGCGTGCGCGGATAACGGAAGCGGTCGATCGCGGGTCGATTAAGTTACGGGATCGAATGTCATCGATATCGAAGATCGTCCCCGGCTATGTGAGACCAGGTTAACAACGACGCGTTCAAGGACGCTGCCCCGCCTTTTTCGGCAACGCGCGATAACCGGTCCAATTACCGGCAAGTTTCCCGTGGAGAATTCAAATCGACGTCCACGTTGAATAATGAGTAATGGAAGTCGGGCGGTACCTTTTCGCGCTGTCTGGCAAGTTAGCGGGCAAAAGGGGTAAAACGATGACTCGAACGAGGGCACAATATATTCCGCGTTTCGCGAACTCGTTCCCGGGGAAAACCTTAGCTAACAACGACGAAGAAGAAGAAGAAGACGTGGGCGGGGACGGGAACGGAAAAAAGCAGAAGGCAAGAGAAAGAGGCGAGAACTTCTCTATAATGCATTGCGGACCCGTGAGTTCTCCCGTGGATTTCGCATAATACAGCCGGCGTTTCACGAACACGCTCAGCCAATTTGTCGCGCCGTCAACTCGTGACTACGAATATATCGAGAGAGTGGACTCGTCCTTCTCTCTCTCTCTCTCTCTCTCTCTGTCTAGTTCACGTTTTCACGCGCCACTTTTCCATTTCCGCCGCGCTCATTGGAGCTACTTATACGTCGACGACGGAGGAACACGACGAAATCATTACGACTGTAATATGGTGGTGAACAAAGGAGGACGGGCGAGGTCTCGAGCAGTCTATTCGGGGGACTATTCCATGGCACGAAAATTGCCGGAGTAATTCAGAGTCGGGGAAATTTGATTAACGGGGGGGAAAAAAAAAATTTTAGATTCGTTCGAAAACTGTCTTCCGTCGAGTTCACCGGCGAGCTGGTTCACGAACGAATCTAAAATTTGTGTTCGTTGTTCGCGTATAGAAATTTGGAATAAGACTCCGATGTAGACTCGTACCTTTATCCAAAAAGCGAATGAAATTCGCGAGCAGTCGAGCGTTACTGGGGTTTTCCAGAAGGCGCGGGGTCGTCCGGACCAATATTTCGCGAGAAAAAGCCTCTGGACCGTTTTACAGCGCAGTCAACGTGGGCAAAGTTGTCAAGCGCGCGGGTGGCCGCTGAATAATTGACGATGCCGTAAATAATTGAGAAAACCTTTTAGCGAATGCAGCCTTAAACTCGCCCGAGTTCCCGTAACGAGAGACGACGAAATAAGGCACGAAAGGACGAAATAAAGAACGCGTGCCGCGCTGCCGCAACGACGGAGCCTGTGAGGCGTGTAAAAGTAACAGCTGTAAGCACCGAGGGAAACGTAAGAGCGCCATTTACCATGGAAAACGTGCTCGGTTATGAAAATACACGGAAAATGGCTACGATTGCAACGATCGCTAAAATTACTGTCCCATACTTATCCCGTACTTGCGAGAAAAAAACGTTTTAGCCGAAATGATAGCACCGAGGTCGAAAGTATAAATTAAGTTTGACGACGCGTTAATCCAGGTTTTCCGGGAGCGCCGGGTGCGCGCGATCGATTATGGTGTCCGCAGATTTCAGATTGAAACGCGTAAATAAAAAAGAACAAAGTGGAGAGTGGAAGGGGGAAAGTAATTGAGAGAGTGCGCGATAATGTCGAGCAACGAAGTTCCCGCGAACGAATCTGCTCCAACGAGGGAAATTGTTTCGCATAAATCCTTTATAGATCGTAAAAGAGCCTTTCCCCGTTTCGCGTTACTCTGCCCGGTTCCTCTGTTTCGCCCTTCGCTCGCAGTACCATCGCGATTCCGTAAACCAGAAGACGCGGACTTAACCCACCGTCGAGTCGTTTTCATTTTCATTTTCGTTCCCATTTTCATTCCCCCGTTTCGGGAAGCGAGCCGAGTAATTGTTCCCCGGTAGACGCCGATGAAACTCGACGAAATCCTCCGGCGTTCGAGTCTGGAACTCTCCCGGGGTCTGGTATAACTTCGAATTAAAATTTACTCGTTAAAAAAAAAATAACAGTTTGTCTCTGGAAGTATAAACGCGGTTTGATTAAATTTTTCAACTATTCAAAGGAAACAGAGACGATATAAATTAACACTAGATTTACGGAAGCCGTCAATTTGACGGATGTTCCATATTTTAAATTGCAGAACGCGTAAATATTATTTTTTAACAACTTATGTTGAATTTGATTGATGCAATAGCACGAATGCATATTCTAATTAAAAGAAAAATCGTATTGTAAGGTAATCGTCAACATGAAAGGTATCAATAAATATACGTGCGATCAATGCCCGTAAATCTAGTGTTAAATGAATTTCGACCGATTCGTGGACCTTAATTTCAATGTTATTTTTTAAGACCAATGAATGATTATATCTTAACGGATCGAAAGAGAGAACAGAGAAGCAGCGATCGGTTGTAATTCCATTGGAGCTTTCGACGCGTTTCCCATCGGCGTCGCGGCGTCCCGCGCGCTAGAAACGCCTGGGGAGACGCGGGCGCGTGTCGAGCAACGAGAGTAATCATTTTTCTCCGGTGCGAAATCGTCGATACGGCGTGTCGGAGCATGGAAAAATTTGCATTCGATTCCCCGACGGGGATCGCCGTCGATCCGAATAATCAAGAAACGATCCCTCGACGCGTGGGAGTCGCGCGCGACGTTTCCTTTTTTTCCACCCTCTGTCGTACACGAAGCGCGTAGGAAACGTCTAGAGAATACACACCGGGAGCGTCGTATCCCTCGACAGAATTACACGCCGCGGAAACTGCGCCGAGGGCTTACGCCGGCAGAATAAAGGCGAGCCGTTAAAAAGGAATATCGCGTTGTCCTTGTTTTCTCTAGCGCCCTCGTGCATAGCCGTCAGCCATCCTTTGGTCCGACGCTCGCTGGAGAAATAAAACTCAGATTCCCACGGAGACCCTTAGAATTCACCTTAGACCGTCCTCTCCGCGCTCCATTCTCGCGATTTCACGTTCCGAGGAGCCGAAAACTTTACACCAGTGTTTACAGGCGTCGCGTAACGCCTGGCCTGTGTATCTTTTCCGCGAAACCGATACTCGAAACGCGATAGAATTTACCTCTTTTCTCAAACAAAGTCGATCGTTTCGTGCCTCGTGGCAGTCGACCAAAACGCACGTGACCACGATCTTGATTCAGCCTGAACGTTCGTGGAAACGGAAACGCGGTCGGGTTCGCGCGTAATTGTCCGGGGACGTGAAAAACGAGCCGTCGCGAGAAGACAAGCATTTCGGCTGGTAATCTGTGCTCCATGGTCGAACAGATTGCGCGGCCGGGAATTGGCCAAGAACAATGCAACGAGGAACAAAGGTCGGACACAGACAGGAAGGGACGCGCGTCGGGTAGGGATTGTGTCGGGGCAAGACGGTAAAATGCGTGGTGGTACCTGAGAAAAAGGGCCACAAAAGGTTTTCGTTTCTATCGGCGACGCACCGCGCGCGCGCGGTTCCTTTATTTTCATCCGTTCTTTTCCTTTCTCTTCATTCAAACCCGCTTCTCGTTTCTTCCCCGCCTCCCCCCAATGTCCATCGGTCGAACGCCTAAACGTTTCGTCCGTGTTCGCACGAATCGATCGAACAATAAATAATAATCGCCATCGTGTACGCGTTATAAAGCATCCCCAGTGGTCTTCCAACAGAATCCCAAACAGATTATTCCGCTTTACGCGCAAAGAATGTCTGGCTTAGCGTATCTCGCGAGCAGGGTGGCTTGAAAGGTTTCTTCTCTTCGCGGAGAATGAAATTCGCTCCCTTTTCTCCATCCCCGGGATTTCAAACGAATTTTCAAACGAGCTCCGGGAAAGAGTTTGATTCCAAGTACGAAAAACGAAACCGTTGTACCGGGTTTGGGATTACTTGAATATTCCACAGGTATTTAAACGGTACGAATATCATTATTTAAATATAAGAGTACAGCTCTAAAATTATTATTGGATCTTCCAACTTGTATAACGAAGTGTGAAAAATTTGAACCAACGTCTAGATATACAACGTAAAAGGATAAAAATAAATTTTTTAAATATAGATACAGAAGCGTGTGACGTTATTATAGCGCTACTTTAACGCTTCATTGTATAATTTTGAATGAAAATACAGAAAAATTCGACAACTAGATAGCAGAGTCGAGCCATCGAAGTAGATTTTTATAGCCTCACGTTCAGCTTTTCGAGACTACGTTCGATGAATCATCGACGAAATCAACGCGACGCTGATTACCGAGAATCGTTATTCGTTATCGGGGCTTCGTTAACGAGAAAGATGCGATAATCTGTGATCGAGCGAGCATGGCCTCGCGAGCAACGCGAACTATATCTTTTGCTCGGCGATGAAACGACGCGACAGGTATGCGCGAGCCGTTTCGCCATCGATTGTTTAACAAACAAGGAGCTCCGAGTGTCAGGTGCCATCGAGGCCCTCGACGGAGCAGCATCGATGCTTGCCGGGCGTGTACGAATGAATTAATAAAGAAGCAGAATGGACGAGCACCTGGTTACGAATAACACGGCTGAAAGCCCAAGTTGGCAGACTCGTTTTCGTCCGGTCGAAGAAACCGCTATCTCTCTCTTCCTGTTCCGGTTCCATTTACTCTGCTCCTGACAAGTTGCTACGCGGGAAACCCGCTGTCCGTTCGGACGGTACTTTCAGTTAGACGCTTCAACGGACCCAAAAGTTCGAAAACGTTCTCGCGTCGAGGGACATTTCACCGACGACGCGAAAAATAGTTGGACGTCCACGCTTTGATACTCTCAGAGAGTCAAATAGAACGGGTCTTTGATCAGAATTTAAAAAAAAAAGGCAAATTGCATATCTCGTTTTCTCTAGCTCGTTGCGAATAATTTTACGACATAATTTGCGGCGAATTATCGAGGCGAGAACGTGTCGCGGAACGTTTCAAGCTCTATCGACGATAGAGCGTCACGACACGGGTGAAAAAGGCGCAAAATACGAGGCTCCGTGACTGGGTCTCGTTAACGTTCGAGGTTTTCTCGCGGAAATGGGAAACTCGAGATCGCGATAACAATAGCGGGAAAGTTAATCAACGATGACTATAAAAAGGGATCAGATCCGTTGTTTTTAAACGTTAAAAATCAATTTCTCTCGTTTCAGGAATTGGTGTTGACCACGGACGGCGACAAAAGGCTGAGCCCGCACACGAGCCGGATAATGGTGAACAACTGTTACTCCGTGATTCTAACGAACTCGAGCCTGGCCTCGATGATCGGGCTGCGCTCGGTGGACCTGGTGAACGTGGCGAACCTGACTCTGATCAGACAGAGCTTCGAGCTGTCGCCGCGCAGCCAACGGACGCGGATCACCGTGAGGAACAGCAGCATCGACGCGATGCCCAGCTTCGTGTTCCGCGGCGACGTGGAGGCGATCAGTTTCGAGAACGTGAGGATCGGACAATTGAGCGCGTTCTCGTTCGCGAATCTGGTACAGACGGACACGCTACGGTTGGAGAACTGCCGTATCGAGAACATGGAGGCGCAGGCGTTCAAGAAATTCGACGTGGGTTATCTGCACGTGATCGGCGGTAGTTTCGGCGATCAGGTGCTCAGCCGTACGATGAACGACATCGAGGTGCATCACAAGTTCATGCTGGACGGCGTGAGAATGGGCACGGTGAGAAGCGACGCGTTCATAGTGACGAGCCCGCGGACAGTGGCGATACAGAACTGCGTGGTGGAGAGCCTCGAGAGCGAGGCGTTCAACGTGACCGCGCGCGGAGCGGTGATCGTAAAGAACAACACGTTCGGTAGCCTGAGCGTGGGCGCTTTCCTGGGGATCAGAGCCGATCAGGAAACGAGGACGTCGCCCGGCTCGCTGCACGATCTGATCTTCAAGAACAACAGCGTGGCGAGCTTCGAGGAGGGCTCGATGATGTTCGACCGGGGCAGCTTTCGCCTGGAGCTGGACAATCTGCTGGTCGACCAGCCGTGCGACTGTCAGATGCTGCCCGTTTGGAAGAACAACATTCTCAATTACACGAACGTCTACTCGAGGTTCTACAGCAGACAGAACTCGGCGATGCCGCCTACGTTGTCGCCGCAGGAGGCGATCAACGAGACGCCGGAGACGTTCCTGTGCGTCGACGGCGAGGTGAACGGCGTGCCCACGAGCTTCGTCGAGTACGAGACGCGTCACTGCTCGCTGGGCGGATCCATCATGGTTTTCGTGCTGGTGGTCGCCGGTCTGCTCGTGCTACTGATACTGGTCACCTGTCTGATCGTCTGGTGCTGCAGGAGGCGTCGTCGTAACAGCAGGAAGAAATGGATCAGCGTGCCGACCAACGCTCCGGACGTCGTCTCGAAGAAGAACGGCGTGATAAGCCGCGAGGCGGCCGCCTCCGCCGCCCCGGTCGACAGCCGGATAACGATGGTCGTGCCTGACGGCAGGCTCTACCGGGAGACCGAGTTTCACGTGATCGTCGAGAAGGCAGAGCCTCTGACCACCGAGTTGTAACGAGAACCTTCGCGGGGCTCGACGAGGCCCGCCGTTCACGCCACCGTCGAACAAGAATACGAGCGCGCGGGCGCGTCGAGCCGATTCCGCGTGTACAAGCTCTGAATCTCGTCCAGGACATACGATGTGCGACGAAAACGAAGCGGTGCACCGGCTGCGACAAGTGCGGTGGTCCGAACGATTCAAACGTCGTGCACCACCGGCGCGACGAGATTCCCCTGAACATTTTTCACTGTACCATTTACAATAGTTAAGCCGAGTTTTGCGCGTCTTTGGGAACGAATACAGAGCGCGAGACTCGATCTCGAACCTCTTGTTTTCACTTTAACCGACTATCCTTTAACGCAAGGCAGTTCGTAAGCTTCCATTCACATATCACGAACGAACACCGATTATCCGTTCGTGGTTTTCTGTCGCGAACGGATCATCGGGGAACGTTGTTAGTTAAGTTAGAAGAACTTCAAAGCTTCGTCGAATCGACGCCCAGAATATCCGAGACTCGCGATTGGATCGACCTTTCGCGCCTCGTAGCTCCGAGTTTATCGATCGATAACGGCGCGTCTCGACCCCGAGCGTCGCGATGGTCGATCAAACGTTTCGAAAAAGGGACCCAGCGTCTACGAGTCGGATCGAACTCTATCGCCCGTTCAAGGCCGCCTCCTGGTGACCGTGAATACGCGGCCAGACGCACGACTCCCACTTTTACGCCCGCGACGGCTTACCTCTACGCCGGGGAGCGAATGGTTTGCCTGCAGGTTGCGCGTACGAGCAACCTGGTGGGGGTAACGGCACGGTGGCCTTGACCGGACGACTGATTTTGTCCCGAGTCTAGGCAACGCGATCGCGCGACCACCCGGAAAGCAGCGAAGCAGTGCCATTCCTATACAAACGCGTCGATTCGCAAAGACTTTCGATCGTTTCGAAGAGGAAACGAAGCAGAAGACGACGGAGGAGTATCCGCTACACCCAACAGGGAACCGACTCGAAAACCAACCCCGTTCGGGCTTTGATCGCGTTTCTCTTATCTGCTTGTAACGATAATAAAAGAAATATTACCCCCAAACATTCCTCGACGAGACACGGACACGAATCGAAGCTACGTTCGACGTACAACCACGAAAGCTGCGAGACGATCGAAATCAGACATTTGTCGTGCCATTCGCGGAAACATCTCGGACCTATCCCGCCCGCGGAGCCGTTGATTTACTGTATTATTTTGTTACTGCGTTTATTTATGACCTCTGGACATCGCCAATAAATTGTTGTTATTGTTATCACTGTGATCGGTAACTAATTTTGATGAACGCGGCAGCGGGTCACCGCGAAACGGGTATCGATTCAGTTCGCGGCCCCGTTAATCTCGAAACGGATCCCTGAGTAATGCGTTCGTTTACCGTAAAACCATCACCGTGTACCAATGCTATCGCTTGCTATTAGTCCACGTTTTAACCCCCTATTGCTTAACGCGCCAGATCGAGAACCACGTACAAACAATCCCTATAACGTTTCACCGAGATGATCTTACAAAATTTTCACGCGATGTTTCCTTGCGAAAACGTTTAACAGCGGATTCATTTTCTTATCGTTTAACGTTTTAACCCCTTGCCTTGTCGATTCGATCCACCACTGTACGCAATACCGAATCCCTTACATGCTGGAATAAACCTACGTTTGACGAGCAACTAGAAGCCAACGGAAGCGTGGTGAGACATTTTCAGGAATTAAACATTTAAACAACATCGATCGTTGACCCCTTTCCCCGAGATGGGCAAAATTTTAGTCGACAGATAACCAATAAAACCAATATTAACAATTTATTCGTCGAGTTGTGTATTCTGTAATTGAAATTTTTCACTTGGATAAGAATTTTGCCTAACTCACACGGTTTACATCTTCAATATTTTAGAAGCGTAATAGTTTCTGATTGAGAAGAATCCGGTATGCAACTAATTTCTGTCGTTTCTGAGCCAATCTGTGTCACTCGTGACTCATGTTTGTCGTGTTTGATCCGTGATATAAATCATTCCTGGAGCCTCTTAAAATAGTATTTCAAATAACATGTTATCTTGTTCTTCGATTATTTCGTTTTCTAAATACGGTCCTGTTACCCAATTTCACGAAATAGCTTCGAAATTAATAATTTTGTATTCGAAATCATTTCTGTGACGAAATACTCCCGAAATATGTTTCGTTAGTGTACCAATATATGTTTAATTGATATTTCGCGTATCTATCATCCGTCAAACGTATACGTAACTTGCAATATACAATTTGGTACTGATTTATATAAGTAATAAATATACAGGACGTCCAACAGGTACTCGTGCACGCTTTACTGGAATATTTTATGGATAAAAATAGAACAAAAATATTATATACTCCGTTGAAAAAACATCAACTTCTACGTTACGTCAACGCTTATTTCAAGTACCTGGTATGTCGATTATTTCCAAATAACGCGGAGAAAAATGAAAGGTTGGAATGTTATTTGAAATAACCATTTCATATTTTCGTTTCAAATAAAAGTTGCCCGAGTTTGATACGCGCCACGAGTTTAAATCGATATTATAAGGCAAGGGGTGAATTCGTGAACATATAAATAACCAAGAAATAAATTCTTTTTCGGGAAACGACATAAATCGGGACTTGGCAAACTAGGAAAGAACCATTTTATGCAGAATCGTGAGATTGCTGTTTCGGTTTCCACAAAGTAAAATTAATATGACACAGCCATGCCTATTCGTTTACGTGTTCACTTGCATAAATTTTAATACTTAACAACGCTGCAACGACGAACAATTGCAATCTACTTTAACGACGAGGAACGCTACGAAATATAATATAAACATTTCTCGAGTACTGTATATTTGTCGTTTAACCATCAAGCTGGTATAGTTACGTATCATGTAATTGGTATCGTTGGGTCATTTGCGATCCGTTGGTGTTTTGTACGAAAAATGATGAATACGTGTTGGACTTCTTTCAAAGACGAGAAACTGTACAAGACAAACAAAAAGTAACATGGAACATGTTTTTTTTCTTAATTGTAGAGAGGAACGTGACGTACACGATTAAAATAGCATATGAAAAGAACGGAAAAGGAGCATAAGCTGAAATGTTATCGGTAGAATAAACCATTTTGGATTGGAGCAAAAAACCTGACATGGCGGTGACAATAATAAAAAATAACAAACACGAAACATGTATGTGGTGCTAATTTTTCCAGGCAATGCAGATTAGCAAAAACTGCTACACTAAACTATCCAAATAGTCCCGAATCCTACTAACGAGCTGATTAGCGACCATAAAAATATTACGTTATTACGTTTACGATAAAAAATTGTATAAGTAATTTTGATCATTGTGGTGTCTTTCAATAAGTTTGCCAACTCCTGTAATGGAGGGTCAAAGATTCCGTTTCCAGGCAAATGAACAATACGCGGCGATCGTCGCGGAATTCAGCCAGCGAATGGAAAGCTTATCTGGAATTCGAGCAACGGGGGAAACGGTTCACGACGGCTGAACGACTGTTTGCGAAAGCGGCGATTCGTTTCAGCGTTACCGGCGAGCCGACCGTTTTGCGTTTTAAAAGTACAATGCGAGCACCGCAAGCGACGCTTTTGTCCCCGGCGTGTGCGACCATCTCGCGCACGTGCGAGCCATGCATTATTGATGCTGCCGCACTTGCCGCGTAACGACTTTCGCGATGTTGTTTCGCTTTATCCCCGAGCAACGGACAGAAATTGGTCCACGCAGCGTTCGAGATTATTCGACGACCTCCGCGTCGATTGCCTTGCGACGCGTCAAGGTGCGTCCAATTAACGTCACCGCGCGAAGAGAAGCCCGGACACGATCGTCGACCAGCGATGGGACTAATGCCGTTACCGATACCAGACAATAAAGTATCATTTTCTATCGAATCGTTTCCATACCTGCACTATGGACAAGTATCGAGGCATGGAACGCTAGGTATGTGCGCAAGGTAGGTGCGCAGAAGATTCCTCGCCATTTATAACGAACAATCTCCCACGTGTCTGCCTTACCGTACTCGTAGCGCCAATGTATCGTACTAATTTTCGATACTGATACTTTTAGAACGAACACGTTCACTAAGTTCGCCAGTTAAAGTATGGAAATCAATGGTTCTTGGAGACTAAGAATCATGGTTCACGCTTTAACTATAACGAACACGTATCGATACCAATACCGTATATTGATATCGATCGACGTCTATCCGATCGAACCATTAAATTTTCATTTAACAAGCAACGGATGAACAATCGTTTATCTTTTGATCGTCGTTCGAAATTTCTATCTGGATAAGAGTTTTGGCTTTCTCTGGTCTCTGGAACAACGGACTACTTTGGTATCGTATCAAACCCGTCGTTAAATTCATCATCGCGAGCAGAATGCGATCAACGTATACGAACTGAAACTAGACGTGTGCAATTTTCGTATTTCGGCGGCGTATTAAGTTTCGCAACGACGATTTAGTTGTAATTATCGTGAGACTGTGATATAACGACAGCCGACTTGTATAATTTGTTTTACATTGCACGTCGTGACCATCGATGAAAGGGAGAGAATAAAAAATGAAACTGACATGCATGGAACAACGACGACTCAATGGCTAATCGATATTCCCAAAATATATCTTTCGCACGCTTCCTGTAATCCACCCCCATTCCCCCCTTGCCCCCCTCCTCTGTGCACATATATGCATTGTAAATATGAATATTCGCGTGGGTATATAACGTCAAAGTTCACGGATATTCCGCTGACATCGATGATTGGCTATTTTTGATTACTCGCGGAGAAACGCGTAAGCAAACGAATCTATTGCACGCGTATGACGCATCAGAATTATAAAGGGTGATTCGTGAACCGTGACCACGACCGGGAGCATAAATTCAATACACAAAACTAGTAAAAAAAGTTATTTCCGTTTGACTTTGTTTCCAAGTTTACGGACGATTAAAACCTTTAGACTGTTTTCTTTTCGAGCTGAGGTAACTCGGATAGATACAACTCGTTCCAGAACGTTTCTCGAAGGCAGATAACGCGCCATAAATCAAGATAAACTCCTGACTCGTAGGGCGATTCTAGAAACTGCGACAAACTTTGCTTCTTTTCTCGATGAAGATACAAAACGTTGATACAAGAAATACCCAAGCAAGGCTATCTTTTAACGATATTAATTTTTGCTCTGGCACAATATGCACTTATACTTGTCCCTTCAACTGGAAACATCAAACGCGCTACTAAAAGAAAACCTCCAACTTGGAAGCAAGGTTCAAAAGTCAAACATTTACGTGAACTTTAATATTTTTGTGTACTCAACCCAACTCTAAAGTTGTGTTCACTTTTCTTAGAACACCTTGTATATATGTCCACGAGTTGCGTTTTAATAACATGGTTACATAACGGATCAGCTATTTAACTTGTGCCTAAATGGGTTTCAATGAAATTGATGCTAAAAAGGAACTAAATAGAACGAACAAAAGTTTTGTGTTATTAAACGGATTCAGTTAATTCGTTGAAAACATTTAGCGGTTAAGTCAATTCCGGTTATCAACAAACCAACGAAAATGCAAGTTCCTTTTTAGTTCCATTCTTTTACCGACAAATGGTTGTGCAGAATCGAGTAGTGCAATTGGGTACTTACCTGAATGGAAGAACGCCATCGAGAGCCTGGGAGACGGTAGGTGGTGATGCCAGAGCGAATCCTCGTCCTAGCAGCGTCGAGTGTACGGAGAAAATCCTCTTTGCAGTTTCTTGCATCAACTCCAAATCCTCTTCCACTTCTTCGTCTGCAAGCACATGGAGAAACTCATTAAGTAGCGAAACAAACATCAAATGTAAACGAACATTTCTAATTACGTGCAGTACAAATCATTTTGTAAGATAAAATTCATTTTAAAAACGGAGATTCGGAGATAGAGCATACATACTTGACACAGGCGGTAATGCGAGGTTCTTCTTTATGAGACTCGCGGCACAAGCTCCGCCGAGGAACGATAATTCGGTTTCCAAGTTTTTCAAACCATTCCCCGACGTTATCCAGTCGTATCCGATAACTAGACACTTAAACCCGTACGTAACAGCTCTCTCGTTTTTCATGTAATCCGACGCAGTTTCCAGCGAGAATATCACTTCGTTTCCTGAAACAACGAACAAGTTGATCGGTTAAAATGTCTATTGTAATGCTCTCGCTGTTTCGCGAAGCAATAACGATTTACCTGGTAACACGACCGCGTTTTGTGGCCACAGGCTTTGCACGTTGCTCAGTTTGTGTAGCACGGGCCAATGCAACGGTGTATCTTCTACCGTTGCATTCACGTTTGTTCTAAGGGTACATAAAAACAGCTTGGTGGTGATTATCTCGTTAAGAGAGTTGGGCGAAAAGTTGAATTAATTCTTATTTACCCTGTTAGGGAATTGGAAATTATATTCGGAATGTAGAGTTGCAAATAATCCTCCGGCTGTGCGGTACCACATTCTGGAGTGAATTCGATGGTCAACCATTTAACCGTGTCCGGGAAGGTAACTCTGTAATGGGACACCGTAGCAGGTTTGTAAGGATGATCGCTTTCCAACCACGTGTAGTGATGACTGGTGGTGATGGGCGGGGAAACGTGGGACTGAACCTCGCTCTCTTGAGATATTTGAGACGATCCCATTGTAGATAACAAATTAAGCGCCGTGACATGGGGAAGCATCTCTTGCATCAAAGTAAGAACCTGTACCCCGCTCTAAAAAAGAAAGTAATTACTTGAAACCGGATTTTAAAACATGTGCAAGAGTTACAAAATGAATATGAGAGGTCTTTACTCTGGGATCTGATGTAGCTAATGGGCTGATGTGCGCCATAACCAATGGTAAAAGGGTCGTCACGAATGTCGCGTTCCCGAGAACTTCAGTGGCTACCACTTCTTCTGCTCTTTCTCTCGCTAGCGCGAGGATTTCATTGGATCGTTGAATAATTGTGGCGGTCATAGCAAGAGTAGACTTTCTTGCTTGCACTTCGGCCATCGCCTTACTTGTGTGTTGGCCATCAGAATCTTGAGGATTTGAGTAATAAAGGATATGTGGTATTTGACCTCTGGTTTGTGTTGTACCTGCACAGATAAAATGCATTACAGTTTGTTCGATAAACTAAGTTCTATTTAGTCTTCGTAAATGTACCGTTGAAGCTCAAGGAACAAGCCGTAAAAGTAAAAGTTGTTCCGTCCGATCCTTTAACAACGCTCAACCCTCCATCGCCATTACTCGTACGCCCGCCGCGGTTTCTCAATCTAATAGCGTACTTTATGTTTTCCTTGATGGGTACAGGTTTATCAAATTTTAATTCCACTATGTCGTTCACGCAATCGTCTGGCCCGAAAGAGCCGCGTGTAAAATCCAAACTGCTCCAACGTTGAGTGTGAGATGGATCGTTGCCTGTATTATTTTGCTACAAAACGTGATATTCGCGTAAATTAATATTCAGTCTCGCGTTAGAGCTTAACAAATAGTAATACTCACATCGTCGAGTAGCTCCAATTCGTAATCATAGACTCCAACGCCTCCGTAGATGCCCACTCCGGTAATAACGATACCAGGACGATCGACCGAGAAGCATATTGCATCTGGTGAACCGTTACCGGTATTCCACGATCTTGTCTGATTCACTCGAGTGAATCTTGAGGGTGTAGTGTAGATAAGTCTGCCACAAGCAGCTTGAAGTTCATCTTCGTTCCCGCTGGATTGTACCGCCAATTCGGCGATAACCCGTGCCAGCAAATAACAACAATGAAGGACCAACTCTGGCAGTGATTGGGTCTTTTCTCTGGAAAGAGTTTTCTTCACGGGTACTAAAATCAGGTCCAAGAGCCTATCGAGGACATCGCGGAACGTCCAATTTATGCTCTCTTTGCCGGAACTTTCCACTTGAGACTTGTAACTGATCTGCTCGACCAAAATTGGATACTGGTGATTTTCGGTTGAGTTTATCATCAGCAAACCGGTATTGTCGGATGGACTGAGCTGCCGATTTATGCTGTCGCTACTATCCATAATATTATTTAAAATTGGAAATGTACATCGTAGACGGATAGCAGGATTACACAAAGAAGCTAACACGGCCGATAATAACCTATCTTTTGTAGTCCTTCCTTGATCCTGTGAAATGCCACAAGTTTTGGATTATCCACCCATCCCTGCTTTCTATTTATAAAATGGTCGGAAATACTTACTCTGTCAATTTCAGATAACAGTTCACATAAACACGTCCACTTTAAATATGCTGTAGGATAAAATGCATGATAACAAGCAACGAATGTTCTATGACATTCATCTAATATGCTGTTCGGCATCTTATTGTTTATGGCACTCGAACCTATTTGACATTATTTATATTTTACAATATGATAAAAAGCGCATTTAAAAATAGAATATACCACGTACGTGAACACTCACTTTTACTTAGCCGCGTCTTTCCTTTACTTTTTGTATTTAATGGCACAGTATCGGATAATATTTGATGCAACAAAGCGCGTACTTCGCCTATGCATTCAGCTAGGCGCACTGACTCGGCTGGAGTCTTCTTGCCGACTGCAAATTATTAACAATATCGTACTAAAAGATATTCTAATATTTAGAAGAGAACAAATTACGTACCTTGATTTGGATAAATTTCGCTGGTGTAAGTTCTAAGTAATCTTAAACTAGCTTTACTGATATAAACCAAACGTTCCATTTCAAGCAATGCGTGAGATGAGGAAGTAGCGTGAACAATAGTATCATTTAATGCTGCTTTTAGCGTGTTCCAACTCCATTGAAGTAGGGATATTAATGACTGAAAACATTCCTGGAAAAATATATAATAAAACAGAATGATTTTTCGTGTGATTTTCGCACGTATAACAGCAGCAAATGTAAATACATACTTTGGTGACCGTCCTACTGAAATCTCTCTTTAATACATAAACCGGTTCAACTAAATCTCTTTGCCTGTTAGGAGCTTGGTTTTCGAGTGTAACAACTCGATACAATAATTGTGGTATTTGTCCAGCATTCACATCCGTTCCATTATTAGATCTTTTCGAAGATTTAAAGTAAAACATAACTCTAAAAAAATATTATACGGATTATAATCTACTCCAAACTTTAATTACTTCTAATAAAAATGAACATTTTACTAACTGATCTTCCGCCGTAACCATTCCTTGACCCCCAGATCCACAATCGCTGGAAGGACCAGTGACTTTAGCCCATGCAACATACCATCTGTTTGCTTGCAAAGAAATTGGTTCGTCAAATAAAATTGAGTACTTTTGTCTCGGCCCGCATTCATATGGTATTTCTTCAGATTCTGCTAAAAGTTCACCGTCATTTTCTTGATCTCCTCCGTCCATTCCAATATCAAAAAGCTGTAATAATAACATAACACGTATAACCACTTCAAGGCAATTCTTGAGATTTTAACGTGTAATAACAAATATTTACTTTTATTTTTGCCGTATATTCTCCACGGCCTCCAAACAAGCCATATCCACCAAGTAAAATATCAGTATCAGGCATAAATCTGATAGCCTCGATTGAATGACCAGAATAGCCCCAACCACCACCGTGACCTAAACATATACATATGCACTAATAAAAACAGCAAAATAAATAAACTTTTTTTTATCTTCTTTATACGCACTTTCAAACCTATTAACCGTAACGAAGTCTTCGTGACTGTATACTTTGCCATGCGTTGTTTGATTGCATTCGTTCTCTTCAATTATACACAAACTTTCATCTTGCGCTTGTGTGAGGGTATCCAAACAACCCAATAAATGCATCGCAGCTTGAGAACGCGTTACGAAGCAATTCGATACTACAGGCAATGCTAAGCCAGGACTAAGAATGGACACTTCTAAACCAGGAATCGTTCTAGTCTCCGTTGATATAATATTGTACAAACTTATTTCATTATTTATCGGATTGAAAGTCCAGATTACGTTATACAAAGGATCTAAGCATGCTGCGCAATTATTGAAGTCAACTTGATCTGTCCCGCTGTAACTATTACAAGTGCCATCCCTTTTGCTTATGACTAAACATTTGAACGAATTTGCTTGATCGTTTTGATGTGGAATTAATACTGAAACAATTTTTTTACAGTTAAGCATAAGTTGCAGTATAGTAATGGTGGTGCGATAATTTACAAAAGAATAACATACTTATGCAGTTTTTATTTGCCATAACAGTACTCCTTGTTAAACTAATAGAATTTATTTCATCAATTTTGACATATGTTTGATCTCCAGTCGCGCCAACCCATGTTGCCCGCCTACCCCATCGTGGACCGATATTTGGAACTATATTCGGAAAGCTATGCCACGGCTGTGTTCTATCGGAACGACGACTGGCTGGAGAAGTGGTATTTGAAGATTCGTTTTGTCCATTCCACCAACTCATGCCCAACTGTCCTTTCTGTGTATAAAAGATGTAAATATAAAAACATTATAATCGATCACCGCTAACAATCTAACTTTAAAAACAATACGAACTTGATAAGCTCCAAACGTAAATACTTCGCCCTTTGATGTAAGTACAACGGTATGATTACTTCCAGCGGCAACCTGCGTAGCTATTCCTGATAATTTTACGTGAACCGGTCCAGCGTGCGCTGCTAAATCTCCCACGCCTAATTGACCGTACGCGTTGCTTCCAAATGTGTAAACTTCGCCATTTTGTAAAAGCACCACTGTACGTAATGTACGACACAATTACTGTTAGTTCATTTTATAAATTTATTATGAAAATATAAACTATGTCTCTGCACATACCCGTGTGATGCAGACCACATGATACTTGAACCACGGGACTCTCGCTCGGTATAAGAACTCTAGCTGGCGGTATACTAGCAATTCTTGCTGCGTCGCCTCGTTCTATGTCGCTTCCTCCAACGGCTTCTTCGGTCATTAAATTGCTACCCAATCCCAGTGCCATTTTTCCAGGGCAACTTTTCTGTGCCACGCTCGGCCCAGCTATTTAATACAAAATTTATTGTTATATTAAATTTCACATAACTACGTTTAATTTTGATTTATATATACACGGTACACCTATTTTATGAAGACATCTACCCAATCTTTGATTATTCGGACCTTTCATCTTCATTCCATACTTTGCAGTGCTTGGACCTGCTTTGGTTCTCTGTCTCTGTTTTATTTCTCCCAAACGTCTTTGTAAATATTCCCGAAAATTTGAACTTATTCTACCTAAAATGCAGAGGTAACGCGTGAGAAAGTTCAAATGGCGTTTACGTAATAATTTGCGATTCAATTTTTACCGTTATTACAACTTTTCCTTGCACAAGTACGACAACATCCACATTCTGCACATCCGCTATCACCTTCACCGCATCCACATTCCCTAAAAATATATAGTTTAAATCTTTTGTACCTTTGTGAAACGTATTAGAGACACGTACTGGCCTGGATTCCGATCTGGGCGTACACCGCTCAAACACGATATACTGTAACCGGTGCATTCCCGACATATCGTGCAAACCATACAAACACGATGTCTCCATTGATGTTGGCCGGGAGGACACATCCTACTTATTTCTTCCCAATCTTCAGCAGGCTCTGCGACATCTAAGTACGAATATCAGTGTTACTCCATTATATCAAACGGAGAAATAATAACTTTATCGTATGTAATTACCTTCTTCGGTTACTAGAAGTTCATCTTCTGCTGTACCCATTTCCATAGCTACCACGGTGGTATCCTTATTAATAGTGTGGACAGTTGTGAAATCTCTACCACACTGCCCTTTATTGTTGATACCAAATGTATATAAATGACCTTTGTTAGTTAATGCCGCGGCGTGAGCTTTTCCTAACGAAACGTGTATAATAAAGACATCTTTGAGATCAGTAACTATTCCAGAACTTGGGTCACTGTGCAATGTATCTTTGCCAAACATTAACAAAGAACCCTCTTTTGTGACTAAAGCCGTCGATCCATTATTACAGGCAGCATCCACAATGAATTGACCTTCTACTTTTGCTATCTTTTTTGGTTTAACTGGCTTAGATTGACGGCGAATTTTGTCTAAAAATAATAAATATGCATTATTTTTAGAAAAGTTTCGAAACGCCTAATTAATTTTATATTACAAACTCATAATGCACTCACTACTATCGCCGTCTTCTCCGCGTCTGGCGGTACCGGCAAACAAAACTGAACCATCTTCTAGGATCATAACAATGTGTTGACCATCGTGGCCGGCTGCAAAATTTACAAGTCTTGGTCCTTTTCCAACGGTCAATTCCACCCATCTGTTAGGCCTTGTGTTCCTTTCCTTCCCAAGAGAGGTTCCTTTTCCACTATATAGTACCTTAAAAATATAATATAAGATGTGTTTCACAATAAAATAAAATGTTAAACACTTCAAAGGTATTTTATTATTTACTTTTCCAGACACGGTTTTTAATACAGCAAATTCCTTTCCTGCCGTAACGGTAGCAATTTCATCATCACAGCCTGTATTTAAAGTGTGAACAACTTGTTCTTCGTCAAAAGCGGCATATCCAAAAACGTCTACACATTTTCTTGCTAATTTTAGTGGCAACTCTGATGCAACTGTTACTGGATTACTTAACGTGTTTATTGTTCTAACTACAAAACCATCCTGTTAAAATGAATAAAAATTGATGTTATATACCAAAGTATTAAAAGTTTTAACATAACTGATTAATATGAGTAACTAACGTCTTTTCCAGCTGTTATCATTCCTAAACATTCGCCGTCAGAAAACATAACAGAAGATGACCAATCACGACCCTCTAAAACAGCAATTCCTGTGACTACAAGAGTTTCTGCATCGATAATTAGTAATTCGCTCTGTTTTCTCGGTGTGCATTTAAAGTACAATGTATTCTAAAAAAAAAACAAAAATTGTCAAGAAAACGTTTTTATATTTGCGTAGTAAAGAACAGATTTTAATTAACTGACATTTGCATAACCAAGCCAACCCGTTTCTGATGGGTAAAAGTCTGCCTTCTGAATGTACACATGACCCCAAATGGTTCCACCATGACCACTACCAATCTTCAATAATCCTCTACTTGTATGTAGATACAGGTACTTTCCATCGCTCACAAAGCTTCTTCCATTCAGAATTATATTATTTATATCATTTGGTAACTTAAGCGTAGAAGTATAAATCTTAGAACATTTAGGAACTCCATATGTAATCCAGTCTGGTCGCGCTAGTTTTCCGAGTAAAACAGCTTGTACACTTCTTTGTAAGGATGTCAATACACATGGCATCTATGGCATATAAATTATAATGTCAAATACCAAAAAGATAGAACAAATTAATACAGGAAGAATAATTACTTGGATATTCTGAACTGCTAATGCTCTGGGACACATGAGTAAAGCAGCTGTTGCTGCCAACAAACGACCAGTGTCACCTCTAACAACCACAAGACTCAATAAACAGGCACAGGCAACAGCAGTCAAATGACTACCGTCATTGGCCGCTGCTGATTCAGGGCCATGTGAAGTTGCAAGATCCAACAACAGATCAAAAAGTGGATCTATAAAAAATCGAAAATTTGTGGAAAACCAAAAATTTTTAATTCTTTAAAAAAAATAATGATTCTATGTTTTACCAATAACATCATCTGGTTCAGATTTGAGGCCTTCAGGAAGTTGTCCTTGTAATATATCCAGTAAAGCCGATAATGCTTTCGTACATAGAAGAGGTTCAATTGTTCTACTTTCCCGCATTAATGTGAAAACACTTCTTAAACCAATACCTACAATCTGAAGATGTTTGGATTTAAACAAAATTCTTATTGTATATACGTACAATAAGCCCCCCTTTAGTACCTTTGGTAAGCTCTGTATAGTTGATATCCTATCTTCATCATCGCTTTCTGTATCAATAGTTTCACTAAGCTCTGGTGGTGATGGAGAATTACAATTTGATGCTCTATAAACTTCATTTGTTGTCTTAGCATACCTTTCCAAAATAGCACTTCTAACACTAGCAAATACAGCAAATGCAGAAGCATTGCAAGATAATTCTATTTCTGGTGGATTATTGTAATTTAAGTCTCCGCTTAAATCAATCTACAAGTATTGAAAATCTAAGTAAAATCAGATTATAAAACATGTACAAAGATACGAGCAACAGATAATACCTTTTTCTTGTCCCTCTTACGTATAGATTTATTTTTTTTACATTTTCTCCATTCCTCTTTATTCCTAAAAATTAAGATACGCAATCTAATATTTAAAACTAACACGATATAATAAAAAAAATGCTATATGTTTACATTTATAAAAATAAACGTCATAATAACAGCAACAATAATTTTGTACATTTATCAAAAACAATACTGTGTTTAAATATTATGTTTTTATGGATTTTCACATTTAATAAATACAAATAACTGAAAACATTGAACATAGCATGTTTGAAAAATCAGTTTCTTATTTACACGAGAACTGTCAAACTGACAATCTCTAAAGCATAGGTAAACTTCAATAAACAAACTATTTTAGGTTACTTCGAAAACTTAAGATATTTATCATATATTTGAATGGTGTTGTAATTTTGATCAGCATAATGTGTAACAATAAGAATAAGTTATCGCATATTTTATCATAATTATTGAGTTTGATAAATGACAGATGAAGTCACCGCCAAAAGCGTCAAGTAAACAAAGCTTGAAGGAGGTTATACGCGTTTCGCACCTCTGTGCCTCGGCGATGCTTTTGAAGAGGTCATAAAAACATTTCACGTAATTCTCCGGTTCGGGCATCAATCTTTCGTGGTCCCCAGACACCATGTTGTGCACAAAATTTTCAACGTACGAATCACCAATTCATTTTCGTAATACTATTGATCGTTGACATTCTCCTGCCTTCCCCATGTGATTGCATCGCACGGTTTATAAAAAGGGCCATTCGATGATTTGTATGAAAGTATTTATTTGCTTGACCTGCGGTTTCAAATTCACAGGCGACAGGGCAGCTTAATGACGTGTTACTTTTGTAATATTCGAAAACGGCCAAACATTTGCCTTTGATGTATCTTAAGAAATTCGTCTTGAAAGTACCAGACTCAATTCTGCGCGATCCGGCCACACTGCGCGCTACGAACGACCGCGTTTCAAATTCTCAAACCGCACTTCTCGTGCTTCGTTCGACTTGATAGACGCTATCAAATTATTCCGGAATAATAGTTTCGATGATTTCGGGCTTGCACGATGCATTATTATAGACAATCGATTGCGAAAGAAAAATACGTCGCTAGTCAAGCTATTGCGTTGAATTTAAAATAATTGAGTCGGGACCCAAATCATTCGGCTTGGTCAAATACTTTTAACGGCATTCACGATGCAACAGGCATAGTATTCCTAGGAAAGAGATTCGCAAATTCACTATTATCAGGCGGCAGACAGGTGTCCGAAAGAAACTGCCCCTCCACTTACACACACTAATGCATAGCCACCTTGTATATGAGTTCTGGTGCTTGTATATGTTTAGTATTAATTGGTCCTACTTAAACGTACGCTTGTATTTCGCTAGTATCCAACAGACATAGCGCTTGTTTCTTTATTTTATGACGTAGATACTTATAGTGACCACTAGTAATAATAACTATACATTTATACATACAGGGTGTTCGACCACCGCTGGGAAAAATTTTAATGGTAGATTCTAAATGCCGAAATAAAACGAAAATCAAGAATATCAATTTCTTGACTGAGGCTTCGTTAAAAAATTATTAAAAAATTAAATTAAAAAATTTCAAATCATTCTGAAAAAATTATTTGCGACTGCAGGGATCAATTGCAATCATTTTTGGTCAATAGACATACCCTCAAAATCCTAGGCACTTTCTAGAAAAAAATTCGAGAAGGTATGAAATTTGTCGACAAAATTAAAAAATTTCAAATCGTTCTGGATTGATTCTATGCTTGCGTTTCCTTAAGACGTGAATGACAACCGACCGGGGTCACTTTGCCCCGAAAAACAACTAATACTACGCACAAACACTGAAACTACCGGCCGCATTGCACGCGACCAACAAAATTCCTGGAAAGATAACAAGGTAAGGTATCCACCAACGCTCGCGAATTGGGGAGGCGTTCCGCCGTCGGAATAGCTTTTATTTCGAACAGAAACGAAATAAAAATGCATTAAAGTACATGAACGATAATTATAATTAAGGATTAATTAAATCCAAACTGTATTACAAGAAATCGTAATTAAATTCAGAGAGACATGTTGATAATTAACACCGAACGAATGTTAGAGAAATCGCGCGAAACCCGATTCCGATTCAATTTATAGTAGCAACGTATTAATATTACACGAAAGTACCGTTAGAGAGTAAACGAGTGTAGTAACAATGATGAAGTATCAACAGATTAGAAATTTGTACCTCGTTAATAGCGAAACACCGACAGGTCTCGATAAGTCTCGACACGTCTTTTCACGCCAATTTTTACAGGCGAAATGGCGCCCCCTCGCTGTACCTCGCGAATTGGGGAGGAGTTCCGCCGTCAGAATAGCTCCTTTTCGAATCCTAATAAGAGACTGTAACAGAAACGAAATAAAAATGCATTAAAGTACATGAACGATAATTATAATTAAGGATTAATGAAATCCAAACTGTATTGCAAGAAATCGTAATTAAATTCAGAGAGACATGTTGATAATTAACACCGATCGAATGTTAGAGAAATCGCGCGAAACCCGATTCAATTTCTGCCACGATTCCGATTCAATTTATAGTAGGAATGTATTAATATTACACGAAAGTACTGTTAGAGAGTAAACGAGTGTAGTAACAATGATGAAGTATCAACAGATTAGAAATTTGTACCTCGTTAATAGCGAAACACCGACAGGTCTCGACAAGTCTCGACACGTCTTTTCACGCCAATTTTTACAGGCGAAATGGCGCCCCCTCGCTGTACCTCGCGAATTGGGGAGGAGTTCCGCCGTCAGAATAGCTCCTATTTCGAATTCTAATAAGAGACTGTAACAGAAACGAAATAAAAATGCATTAAAGTACATGAACGATAATTATAATTAAGGATTAATTAAATCCAAACTGTATTGCAAGAAATAGTAATTAAATTCAGAGAGACATGTTGATAATTAACACCGATCGAATGTTAGAGAAATCGCGCGAAACCCGATTCAATTTCTGCCACGATTCCGATTCAATTTATAGTAGGAATGTATTAATATTACACGAAAGTACTGTTAGAGAGTAAACGAGTGTAGTAACAATGATGAAGTATTAATAGATTAGAAATACGTACCTCGTTAATAGCGAAACACCGACAGGTCTCGACACGTCTTTTCACGCCAATTTTTAGAAGAGGAATGGCGCCCCCTCGCTGTACCAACCAACGCTCGCGAATTAAGTGGGGAGTGGGGGAGACTCCGATGTCCCGCGAAGTTTATATTTCGAAAACGGATAAGGATACCTTAGGTAGAAATCGCGGATACAGAAAAAAAGATGAAAACAAGGCGAAATACAATCGGTGCTAATTCGAACCTTTCGTCTTATGACATAGCGCGACCGTCTTAGATATATTTCGACAAGTTTACTTTCCGTGAAGTGTTTTCCTGGAATTACAGCCCTTCCCGGAACCACGACCAACGCTTATCTCTTATTGCTGAAAACACAAGGTTAGTGTCGCGAAAGAGAAACGTTCTCAACGACTGTGAATATTTATTTACGGTAGCTATTTCGTTAGACACATAAGTACTTACGTATGTAGATCGAAAATTAAAAATGCCTCACGTAGATGTGTCTGTGTATTAGTATGCGTAAGTGGAGGGGCAGTTTTCTTTGAGCATCAGTTGGCAACTGGCAGTTGCCTGCATTACCAGTGGTGCTGTCTAATAATATTGTGTATAGGACGCATTCGAAGACGAACAAATTCGAATGTTTCTATTTATTCGTTTGTTATTGCGAAGATTAAAGTGTATAACAGCAAACGCGTCAACGTGAATTTAAAAAATCCTGTTCAATAAAATTCGCAACAATGATCATACCCGTACGTTGTTTTACCTGTGGGAAAGTCATCGGTAATAAATGGGAAGCATACCTTGGTTTACTACAAGCAGAATACACGGAAGGGTAATTAGAATTATTATAACATACTAAAACTTCTAAACTAAATAAAATACCATGTGTATCATGCAATTTGTGGACAACGTTTACATTACGAAAAAACCTAACCTCAATTCGCAGAATACTTTACAATACTGAAATGTTTAAACATAAATCGCAATGTAGTTCAATATTCTTAACAATAAAATAAAGAACAGTTTTCTATGTGTACATTTCTATATTGTTAAAGGTACATTATATACTATTTTTTAAAACTTATACAGTGGTCCAAAAAAGTCTTTATACCACTGTCTGTATTGAAGTAATATACATCAAAACATGTTGGATATGATGCAATTACTTATGTTCCGTATGGTACATGTATGTTGCAGAGATGCTCTTGATGCTTTGGGATTAAAACGATATTGCTGTCGCAGGATGCTCCTTGGGCACGTGGATTTAATTGAAAAACTTCTGAATTATGCACCATTAGAAAAGTAAATGTTTCACAAAATTCTTATTTCCATATTTCATACTAATATATATATATTGCTACATAATTGTTTGAATTAATTAAACAAATTCGTACAATTCTAAAACAAAATATGTATGTACATATCGGAACTATATAAATAGTCTAGAAATGGTGTTATTTTCCTCTTGCAAATGATTACACCACACTCTGAATTTTATATGTAGAACTAGGAGAAATAAAATACACAAGCTATAATGTAAAATGATTTGTATTTTATGATTGCATTTCTTTCATTTTTGTCATCTTAAAAATTTTTAACATGTGTATAAAAAGTTGATAAGTTTACAAAAAGTTTATAAATAAAAATTGCTTTCAAAAATGTTGTGTTTTTATTTTGAAAATATGTATTCACATTAAATGCAACATAGAAGAGTGAAACATTTTATACACTGTATTACATGTACAGAACATGCAACAGGAACTTACTGTAGATATAGATTTGTATACATAGAAAATTTTTCTTATAAAGATTTCAAATATTACAAGGATACTTTATTACATACTGGTAGTTTATGTCATTATCTTTGAAATATAGAAGGTTATACTTTAAGATTTGGTTCTTTAAGTTGTAGAGCCAGCTACACAAAGCATTTGATTACTATTTTTTAAATAAGAAGCATAAATATGGACGTAATAAACTTTTGTATATCATTCAATCTTGATTTTAAATAAATCACATAAATTCGAGGCATCGCTAAATATATTTTGCATTAGACAATTTTAAACTACCTTTGTCAACGAAATAAAATATTTTTTCATTTTAATTACTTATTTTTATTTTACTGTTCAAATGTAAAAATAATTGAAATACTGCCAATGTTTCTCAGTCTATGTCTTTCTCAGATAAGATAAAATTGATTTTACATTAACTGCTAAGAGCAAAATAAATCGTTACTTACACCTTCAAATTAATTTGCCACTTGATATGTTCGTAAGGATTAAATTTTTTCATATAACCTTCACTGACATTATTCGTTGTATTTTATAAATCATTTGTGCGTAGACATAATTTTAACTACCGTTCACCGAATGTCGGTTTCTCAGTTCTTATTTGTACAACAACCAAAATAACATTTGTTATTGTAACAAATAATTCTTTTCATCTTACTAGAGCACTTCATGTAGGCACATAAATAGCAATTAAATTTCTGATAGAAATATTCGTGTACCACACATCTGATGGAAGTTATTGCAGTTGGTGTTTCTGAATCTTTAGTATTTTAAAATTTGTATGATTGTCTTTCGTAACTATCAGAATTATCAGATACTTATTACGTTAGACTCTATGAAGTGGTTTCCAAACATTTTTAGTTTGGAATACTGGAATATGTACATGTCTATTTATATATGTATAGGCAACAGTTTTAGCCATATGCTGCTATAATTTGTATTAACGCGCTGCGAGATCCAAATATTAAAGCCATGAGACCAATGATACAAATAACGATGTTCTTTAACGCTACCCAATGGCATGGGCCGAAACCAACGTCCCAGTAAGTTACAGTTTCGACGAACACGGGAATTAAAAGTCCCAAAATGGAAAAGCAAAATGCACCAATCAGTCCAATGAAAGGTTCGATATTTGGCAAAATCACAGCCAACAGAACTGCAACATACAAACACATGTTATTAATAATACGAACATCGGATACTCTTATTAAAGTCGTTATTAACGTATCAATCAAAGAACTGAATGCATACCTGCGCCTGTAACCATAACTGTTCTCAAAATATAATTTGCTAATAGTGGCTTTTTCTGGAATCTATGCTTTATACTGTTCCATGCAATATCAAGACAGACGTAGAATTGTAAACCAAACGTGCAATAAACTGCAAGAGGTATTAAAATCTTGACAATTTGGGCTGGTCTGAAACAACGTATTTATTACAGATCGATTGATATACCACCTAAATTACCATAACATAATTTTTTTTTATTACGTTCTAAAACGTGCAAAGTGGCCAATTATTAATATTTTACTGTTATAACACTTACATTTCTTCCGTCGGGAAATTTAACGTGATAATGTCCATAGTATTGCTCTGGTATTTTATGTAACCCAAAAATCCCAGTAAAATGTATATAAGGGTAACCCCAGACATTCCTTTGTTGAGAACGCCGCAAATACCGACGAAGTGCTGCGGTGTTTTCATATTATTTTCTAGTGGCATTACAACGCCTAGAAAGAGACTAATTAAGTAACATTCCCCTTTCTTAATTAAACATTCGAGGTAAAGTAAATAGTACCTATTGCTTCCATTGCAAAAATAGTAATGCTGAAGAACCGTGGAAAGTTCTCGATAGGCGCGAATAAAGGCACATCCGATAGCGGTGGGAGATCCCAGACCAAATAATAAAAAGTTATTCCTAAACCTGTTCCCATGAATATATTGGCGATCATAGAAACAGGCGCGAGGTATTTTAAGTTAGGTATCCAGCTGAGTAGTATCATAGGGACCAGCAAACATGCTGTCATTAACCTGATACTAAACTGGCCAGCCTCAGGATCTTTGTAATGTTCAATGATTTGTTTGAAGTTTGCTGCAACGATAACTGTATACAAACTGCAAGTGCCAAAGTACGTTGCAAATAAACTAATCTGTATGAGGTACCTGCGAACAAAATTAATTGAATATTACATGGTTGCCATTTATAAACGAAGTTCATGCCTACTTTTCAAGTTTTCTGTCTTTTTGGGGAAACGCGGGTGCTGTTTGATTCTTTACTGGAGCTTTTGCCATGTTAATTCTTCTTCAACGTATTACGATATCACTAACGTTAGTACATTACACTTGAATATCATTGTCATTGGGAATTGTACCTCATTGGCTTTGAAAATTTCCTTGTCCATTCCGGCCCCGTAGCAAACGCTACTTCGGCTACGTCGGCGAAGCTCATTTCTGTGCGCCGCGTTTTGTGATAAAGAACGTGCGCGCATTTTACCTAAAGTATTACGAATTTTATTAATATTATTCGGTCAGGCGTTCAATTAGTATCTTAATCGTTGTATTTAATATCCTGACGCTTATTTACCAAAATATATGCGCAATGTGTGCAGACAAATGCCACAAGAATCGTTGCAAATACACCAACGAGGAGACCAGCATTTTTAAAAGCCATTGGCATGGACAATATACCCGTCCCAAGCGAGGCTTTCAGTAAATGCGTTAATGTGTCGCAGTCGCTGAATAAAAACAAGATAAAACTTTAATTGATGATGACTTTTCCACATTTATGATTGATATTAATATCTATGGGTGACTTGGATCAAGCCAAGAACTTCTTTCGATTTAAAACAGGACGTTAATATAAAACGAGATCCTACAATTAGAAACTCTAATTGTTTTGTCGTACATACGAACATAGGTGTGTATGTAAATCGATTTAGAATTAATGGAAACGTTCATTACGGACTATCGAAAAAGATAATCGGCACAAATAAAGATGCGAAGGTCAGATACGTTCTAAAATAGGCATCAATTTACTATATCGATCGCATGCTTACGTCGTTGGATTATCAACTTTTCGTTCGCTAAAGGGATCGAAAATCTTCCCGTCTCCTTGTGCTGCTTCCACATCTCGTGGAACAACTTGTACTTTGTATCTGCAATGAACATAAAGCATTAACATTCGTCATATTAAAATTTGAATTTCTGAAAATAGTACGTAACAGATAAAATTAATAAATCTTACTTGGTTAATACGCCATCTTTCATGTTAGACCCATCTTGGGGCAAGAAAGTGTCCATTTCCGTAGGCGGTTTGTTATCCTGCAATAAAAGCATTTAAATACAATTTCACAAAAATTTATCAAATAAAGATGATTATTATTATTATATAATTTTATCGAAACATACCATTTTGTTGTGTTTGTGGTTTTCTGTATCTAAGATGAATGATCTGCAACAAGAAGGAAATCGACTTCTTTAAACAACAGCGATAATATAAATAAAAAAATGAGGGATATAGATTTAAAATGATTTACAATAATTCGAGTACTATGTATCTACCCAATCTATTGTTAAATACTGCAGTGACTGATAAAGCGACTGATAAACAGTACTATAACTTTTGTCTTACATATTATTATCATTGTAGCCTTTTAATAGCTACACTTTGATTTACAACGTATAATTATACGTATCGTTGTTATCAAAACATTGATTCGTTAATCAATTACACTGTGCAGGCAATTTAATTAAAGCATATTAAACGTAGACATTTTTGTAATTGACTTTGTAGCAATATACCCGAGGCGTCGATTAAAATCATCACGTGTTAATTGTTGTCGCGCCTGCGAAGGCATCAATCTAACTCGATGGTTGCCATTGATTGATAGGTGGAAATTATTTATTCACGGATAGCTCCAACGCATATATCAAGTAAAAAATAGGTTTCGAGCCGCGAATTTGCATAAGACAATTAACATAGCATGTAATGCACTCGCACAAATGAATTTTAATTTCGAGTAAAAACATTTCCAGTAAAGTATAGGAAGGAAATCCCACGTGGAACAGAAAGAATTCAATTTATTTCCGTGAACAGAAAGTGCGCCGTACTTGGGGTACATTACTGTAATAAGATACTTAGCTAGTGGCCTGATAAATTCTCGTTCATCGAACATTACGTTTCTCATTACCTTATACATATTGCTATATCCGTCGATAAACCGTGCATAATCTAACTTCGTCAAGATACCCCTTTGGCATCGGTTACGTAAAACAGAACATATTGAGAGACTGCGTTCAACTTTAAGACTTTGGCCTTGCGAATTGCGGGTCTGCAAGTAATAAATGTGCACATTGCGAAACTACGGGTATCGGTAACGGTGAGAAAAACTGCTATAATTATGTAAACGATGTTTCCATTAGCAACTATCCTTACAACAATGTAAACAGAGCCCACGTGCAGTAACTTCGGTCAACAGTAGCTATAATTAAAGTTTTGGTTGCACTGATAGCGATTTGCTTAATTTATTTTTCATTTGTTCGAATAATAATAGAAAGGTAACGTTTCGAATCGAACAATTGTAATATATTACATTTTGACCTATTTGTTGTGGCTATTTTTGCAATATTATCATTATACTAACATAACATGGTCGGTGCAAAACTGCAATCATTTTCTTGAACCGTTAGACGTCTACCTAGGTGGCTAGACATTTGAATGGTGAAATCTCAGTGTCAATAAACTTGAAGGCACACTTTATCAATGCATCTCATTTATGACAAAATTGTCGCTTATTTTATTAATTTAGATCTTTTTTTAAATATACAATGTTAGCTGTTTAATGTGTACAATTTTTCTGTGCATCATATGAAACTTGGTTAAAGATAAGTTCAATGACATAGAACACAATAATGTTTAAAATCACACCAAATCAGAAATGACATTCTCTGTAAACGAACAGCTTTTATCACATTGGATTTATTTATTAATACGTATACACAGTGTTGCAAACGACCATTATAGCAAAAAGCCACATAATGACGCATGGGTGTATTAGGTTTCAAAATTATCATCAATAAAAATAACTTCGATAATTAATCTAACTGGTTTCAAATTCTAAACACGATTGATAAAGTATGCAGCAAGGAATATTCCGACTCGTCTCTTCAAAAAGTTAATCATAGTCGCATAGTTGTTGCATGATGGACTCCAATTAATTTTCTTGTGTCTACAATTTTCGCAGAGTGACATTTTGGTTCCTACCCTCGCTAGAAAAAATGTTTATATAACATTATAGTTGATGACATGTTAACCTCAATGTGCGCTTGAGAAATTGAAATAATGATATTATAAAGTGTATGTAGAGATCTCATAGTTCAATACTTGGAGTTTGATGCTTTCAAGTCACGACCCCAACCTTTGAGACCGTACATACGCATTAATACCACTGTATATTTTTTCTAACAAAAAAATCACTAGACTAAACTCATCACGCACAATTTTATATAATTGACATTACTTATAATCAGTGGATCTACGAAATACGTAATTAACGATGTAAAAGATGACGTTTAAAAAATACGAAACGCATTCCATATTACAATAATATAAATATACTATTATTTAACATTGTCCGTAAATAGTTCCTTCGACAATTAGCCATTGGATAATTTGTCACTGCGATCAATGAAAGACTCTTTGTTTCCTAATTTTTTATTGTTAAAATGCGCTTCGTTGTTCTCGTCGAACAAAGAATGGTACTGTTAACCTCAGTTGTCTCGTCTTTTTTCGTGAACATGCACAAAGCACAACATTGAAATCTATCTCGCTTTTCGATGATATTTCTCAATGACGTTAAAAAGGAAAATATAATGGTATCTTGTCAATAGATTCATGAAGTATGCGATCCATCGTTCAGTACTCTGACCCGTTTACCGACTTTCGACTCTATAATTAGAGTATTAAAGCGGGAAATTTAAGAAAAGTCTCAAATCTCGAATGGCAGCTAGTTAAACTTAGACATTTATTTTGGTGTAGCATTACGTAAATTCGTTTATTTGGGGATTCTTCTTACATAATTAAAAATCCAGTACTTGGCAGTTTTCTTGAAAGGTTAAAAAATGCATGGAAATATCCGTCTTCAATATTTTATTATTTACGAGCTAATTATTACGAGTTAATAAACGACAGCACGCGATAATTAAAAAGAAAATGTGTTCGTGTAGACATCTGACAATCATCGATCGTACCTAATGGATACGTGCGCAGCATCTAAATATAGTACAAAACAGTCTTGGAATTTTCAGCATTATCTGGACCCAATAACATTTCGCGATTACGGAAACGAATAACATTTTCTATCTTGTATTCGATAAGCGACTGCAGAAGTTATATATCAATCATACTTAAATTTTCACCAATCATAACGAACGATTTATTGATTAATACTTGTCAGGATATTCGATTGAAATCTTATTCGTCATTGATCGTTCATGGTTAAGGCGACGACGCGTGAACCCGGTAGGGCAACTTCGACTCGCGACATCTGGTCAAATTACATGTAAATCACGCATTTATCATGCGGGAAGTCTGCGCACTAGTAGGAGAAACATTAACTACGCGAGTTTCTGTATCGCTTGTGCTCTTATCTATGGTATATTTCGAAATTATTCGTTACTGTCGTACTTTGTCAGAAACCTAATATATTTATTGCACGACAGATATTTGTACTTGAAACTTGCCATTGTCCTTGCATTGGCACAAAGGTCAATATCGTAAACTGGAAACTATCTGTTTTAGATAATCCGTGTTGCCGTTGATCGCTCTCTACTCGGCAATCTGAACCGCTTCAACGTTTCTTCGTAAGATAAACGTATTGTCTCGCTTTGCACAAAACAACTGAAACGGTACGAGATTAAATCGTAAGTTATTTTATGTTTATATTATAGTAATAGAACAACTACGTCTTTTCAACCTGTAAAAAATTGGCATAAATCGAAGTTGTGGCTTGCAAACGTAAAATAACTGGCATGGTGCCGTAAAAACACACGTGCTTGGCTATTCTTCGTGTGCGATCGTGACTGCGTTCGAAAACGACCCGAGGCGCCACGTTGAACAATACAATAACGTAATTGCATTCGTCGCAGAAGTGCCAATTAGGTTCATACGAATTATTATTCCTTTCAGTTATTGTGCACTTCGTTGCTGGAATTACTAATAAAGACGGTTTCTGCGGAATTACGAAATTGCATCAGTACGAACGATCCGAAGAAAAAAATTATAAGAATCGAGAATTTAAGATATAACGTTACGTAGTGTGTCAATAATCTTCCCCGTCGTGCTGCGATCTATGGCTACAAGTATACAGGGTAATTACAAAATAACAACAAATTCATAGCCATAGTTTTTAGCTCGAGATTAAAGAAAAAATTCTAACGTTCGATCGAGAATGTTAACGTTGTATATTATCAATTCAAAAACAGAACTTGTTTCGCCCTATTTTTATTTTTGTACTTCCTGATGTAGATACGAAAATACTGTAATTATTATACAGGGTGTTCGGCTACCCCTGGGAAAAATTTTAATGGGGGATTCTAGAGGCCAAAATAAAACGAAAATCGAGAATACCAATTTGTTGATGGAGGCTTATTAATAATTAAATTCAAAAATTTCAAATCGTTCTGGAAAAATTATTTTCGGTTGCGGGGGTCAATTACAATCATTTTTGGTGAATAGACATACCCCCGAAATCTTGCGCATTTTCTAGAAAAAAATTCGAGGTGTGAAATTTTTCAACGGGAAAAAAAAATTTCAAATCGTTTTGGAAAAATTATTTTCGGTTGCGGGGGTCAATTGCAATAATTTTTGGTGAATAGACATACCCCCGAAATCTTGCGCATTTTCGAGAAAAAAATTCAGTACTGACGGAATTTTAAACGTTAATAACTTTTTAACGAAGCCTCCATCAACAAATTGGTATTCTTGATTTTCCTCTTATTTTGGCCTCTAGAATCACCCATTAAAATTTTTCCAAGGTATGGCCGAACACCCTGTATATACAATGATTCATTAATTTAAACTTCAAAAGAAAAAATGAAAACTTCTATTTATTCATTCGTTTTCTGTTTATCCTCGTTAAAGGGTGACCGAAAAGGTTAGAATCACAGAACATAACTCGAGTGTATAATTGAATGTTTCACGCGACCGCGTCCGAGCTGCAAGCGATCCAGCCTTAACGATTTAATTTCATTTGCTTGTCGCTTGAGATGTGAGAATATATTGCAAATTCGATAGTGTCGGTGGTATCATTAAAACAATCGACCTTGATCATTATTACACTGTAACGCGATACAGTTCCACACAAGAATATGAAATATGGTTAAGGTGGTAATTTCTAAGCACGTACGCGTCAAACCAGTCATCACGGCGACGAGTACTCGCGGTCTCTTGCGCACCTGTCTCGAGTAAATGAAATATATAAAGAACATTATGTAATCGCGGTGTTTGCTCTTACATTGATAGCGAGCCACAAGCGGCGAAATACCGCTTCTGAATTTTTTCTTTATTCTCAGCCGCCACCGACTGGCATAAAATCAGATAAGACTAACTATCATAGGCGTTTATACTGTCGATTCTCGCAATCCACATTGGAATTAATCCTTAATCTATCCTCGTTGAGGCTACAATTACCGGGGTGAGTGTTAAGTTGAAAATTAGGTCGTTCAACTTTCAGAGTTAACCTTTTCTTAATTGCACTTAACCCTCGGACTACGAACCGCCGCAATACTTGCACACACAGTAGAATCCTGTGTGAAATCTGTTTCACAGCAAAATTACTTCTGTACGCTAATTGGGAGTTGTAAGTCAGATCCTTGCATTCCGTTCGCACCATTATTTCGATCCTCGATGGGTTTCAAAATGTATGGGAATTGTTAAACTTCTAGTTTCGAATTCCTTAGGGCGGATTTAAAAATTGCGCGCCTTTTCGTTAGGGAATCGTACAAGCTAAGCCAAACAAGATTCTTATGTTCTGAACTGTCAACACGGAAACACAGTTCGAGCATTTCGACGCGAAGAATGTACAGGGAGAGAAAAAAGTAACAAGGTAAACAGAACGCGACGCGACTCTGAAATAAACACAGTGGTAACGAACAGGTCATCGATTGCCCAGCGTCTGTCGTCAGAGGGTTAATGAACAAATTCTTGACTAATCTTAGAGAGAAAATCTTTGAAGATTTGATCACTCTGTAAGCAGAGAATTGCAGAGAGTGGAAAATACCGAAATTGTTTATTTAATTCATATCTAGGTGTGTTTACAAATAAGAAGATAATGTTATTGCTACCGAGCCGCAGGCTCGAGTATCACGAGATTCACGAGTCATTGGAAATATAGTTACTGACAATAATTTACGATAATTCCTTGTCGACGGAAGTTCTTATCGATACAATTGTTTTGTTGACCTGTGTCAACGGACGTGCATCAATGTGTCTCAAGAAACATCTTTAATCTAAGTTTCACCAGCTTTGCAACCAATTTAGTTTTTTGGTATGAAATTTAAGTGCAATTATTCGTAACTTTACTGTAGAAACTACCGGATATTGAGTATTTATTTACGTTAGGGGTTGTCGAGATGTAATTGTATGAATCGTCATATGGATGGAATTTAATGCAGGCATACATAGTTATAAAGCCAAAGCTACGAACGCTATACACGTGTGACTTATCACTTCGATAATCCATCTATACATTATCGATATAATGGACGTATTTAAAATAATGCTCTACGAATGGCAGAATAGATAAGATTGATAAGATTAACGCCTTTAATGTAAATGCTTAGAGGAAGACACTATCTTAAATTATCTAAAAATAGGTAAAGTTTGGGAATTCTTTGTATAAGTAATTACCGAATAAAGTATATAGATTCCTTGGAAAGTTATTCACGGTTCTCGAAATATCGATTGCTAGCCGTTTGATTCGTCTATTGTTTTACGGAAATTGTATTTATATGTAATTTTTTAAGTCCATCAGAGTATCCCTAGAATTGATCGATCTCGTCAAGTTTTAAGAAACGTTTTAATCGTGCGTGTTTATGATCTTGGCTATAGGCACTTAATAGACGTGCACGTGATGCATTTTTAAAGTAATTTGCGTTGCAGTTTGATCGATCTCGCTAAATATGTTTGAAAAGTAGGCCAACTTTGAAACTAGGTTTCCTAGTTCGTTGCCACGGGTGTCAAGGTTTATTTGTCTGATCAATTCGCGAAAGAAAGAAAACAATTTTGTATAAAACAATTAATCTTTGCCGTCAATTAATTTTGTTCGTTTTATCGTGACAGCCTCGTTATTATCTGTTTCATAATTCACCTAGTAACAACCGATTGTAATAGCCTTACCAAGCACAAAGCTTAGCGGCCTTAAATTAATTGTGATAAATATATATTAGTAGATGTTTATTTCATAACAGTTTGGACATTGAGTATCTCCCGAAAAACAGGAAAGAAGGCCAAGATGAATGAAATGCTTACATACAAATATTAATTAAACGAGATGCTTGGTAACATTTCGATGCATAAATCACTCCGTTACGTGAATACGTAATAAGGAAATTCAGTCGGTACAGTTATGTGCGATAAGTTCGTAGTGACTACAAGGCCAATGAAATTATTCATACCGTGTAAACTGTAGAGATTCTTGGGTAGTTTTGCCTCTGACCAGCATGTCAACTGGTTTCACTTCAAATTCAAAGCGTTCCATATCTACTTAGATTCGATTTATAATTATCTCGCGATTATTCTAAAAAAATCTTTTCCAATATTCCGGATGAAATTTTCAGAAATACTACAATGTTAAATTTTTAAAAATATTTATAGCAGCCTAGAGCAGTTTTTCTCAAACTGAAAATCATGAATTGACGAGAGTTGCAACAAAAATATAAATATATTATTTGAGCATTTTTTTCTGGTAAACAACGTAGGAAATGTTTGAGCTAATTTAATTTAATTCTACCCTAGGTAGGAAGGTGAAGTTTGAGAAACGCTGGCCTGGAGGATTTTGGGAGGTAACGTCCCGACCACTTTAAAAGGTTCATGTGGCTTAGACGGTTGACCGAGCCCTTCCATTCTATTCTGAAACTGGATTGAGACGGGGCTCTTTGCGTTCCAAGAATTGTTCCCATTTGAATACATCTGCCGAAGTAATTTGGCAACATCGCAAGTATAATTCAAAACTAGAAATATTTACAACGTTTCCAATTCTTTCGAAATTCTGCGATTCACTTTAATAAGTGCACGATAAATATAAAATTAAAGCGATCTGACAAGTCTGATTAAAATTTTTGGAATTTCAAAATTAAAAATGTTGCATCATCACTTGTTACTAATTATTCTACAGGTAACTGAAATGAAGTTTTGAAACCTTCAAAATAGAGTAAAAAGCCAATATAAAGTTGTATTCCTAATGTAATGCAAAAACCGGGTCTTTAATGATTACATTTGAGTTCAACCATTACGTTAACATGATGCAACTTGCGCACTAGTTTCTTACGTTAATCGTTACACCTTTGTATTTTTGTCGTCAGGCGATAATGGGAAACCGACAGCATTACAGAACTTCGTGTTGTCAGGTTAAATAACTACAGCGTTTTGTGCAGCCTGTTCTTTTAAACGCGATAAAGGAGAGAAAATTTAAATACGACAAAAAATGCTGGCAGACAAACAGAATTAATTACAAGGAAAATCGATTCCCGTGTCAGACGGTGCAATGAACGAATTCACCTACATAGAGTCGTAGTTTCGATATACAGGTCCGAAATATCGATGCGAAGTTACATCATGCAATCCTACTTGCGAAGGAACCGCCATCACGAACCATACAAGTCGCGTCTATACAAACTTAGCACCACGTGCTCGCGGCGGCGTGACTGTACTAATGAAACATAGATTATTTTCTACGTACTAAATTTGTCAAATGAATCAGGATATTCTTGGGAAGAATTTGTCGAAATTGTCCACTGACTAAACCTTATCGTCGGTTATAACTATTTCTACAATATGGTTGTTCGTGGAAGTCGAGGAAATTTATTTCGTAACGTTGAAACTTCAAAGTTCCGAAACGGCATTTCTACAGAATGACAACCACGTTTCCTTTCTCCGAATTTTGTCCTTACCTTCTTCGTCAATGGTACGTAGGATTCGCCGCGAATAGCATTCGAATGCAGCTGGTCAACCACGCGCACAAAAGATTTCTAAAATACGCGCTGCTGACAATCGGGATTCGAAGAAAAGCACAAAGAGAACCGATAGAATTGTAAATGACGGATAATACTAAAACCAGAACGGCATCCTGTGCGCGTACGAAAATATACCGCTACCGTTCACGACGGAATACTTTATCAGTTGTATCCATCGTGCTTCGTACAGTATGGCAAATTTTTAAACACTCGAAGAGCCAAAGTGACAACGTTATTACACCGCATGACTAACACAGATGGTTAGTTACACAATTAATTATCGCGGTAAGTCACACTCGCAGTTACAAACACCTGAATTTAATTTATTGCTATCGATAAGCTTCGACGATTTACGTTGAAACGAAATTGAGATATCGATAAAGCGTGGTTTTAGTTACCGCTCGAAGACCGTTACCTTTTTATTTTGTAATTGAAATCGAGTGTACGGAACTTTAAATAGTACCGGACGGGGTGGACGTCCAATAGCGGATTTCAACTTGTAAACCGAAGTTGTGCTTACCTGTGATGCGGTGTATAGAAACTGCTTGTTTACGGTGAAAAAGAAAACAACGTGGTGCGAACGGATGGATTCCGTTTCTGGCAAACGCCGGTACGTTCGGTGTCACAATGATCGACGAGTTTATCGCAATGTATATGCGACAAAAAAAAAGTTCACAGCACCGAGCTACACGTACCGGCGCATACCGCCGCGAACACCGACCAAACGAGACTGCCGTTCAGACGCACGCCGTTCAAGAATAAACTGAAAGATTTTGCCCCGGAAGAGCGTCCATAGCGGTTCGCCGGATGACCACCAGAGGTCGAGAGCCTAACCCGACCTTCGATCGAATCCCGCTTGTAATATTTTTGACGATTTTAAATTACTTCTAGCTACGCGATGAACTTTGTCGCCGAAGTACATAAACAATTATTTATTTCTCGTCTTTTACTATTAAATTCTGAAATTGTTAAATAGAAACTAGTAATTGAACTTACGTTATAACTAAGAATGGGATTATTCTTACGTTATAACTAAGAATGGGAATATTGTACAGGTACTCGAATACTACAAATAAACATTGAATATTTGAATATCCGAATATCATTATTAAAATATTATTACTCGAATAAGAAAGTATTCATATATTTGTAGTATTTAAACGAAGAATATCGAAACGAAGTTTTGAAACTTAGGCATTTTCCCACTCTGTTCTACTAGTATGGTCATACGCCGACACCATGCCACGCTACACAATGGCCGCCCAATGTGAACATTTCCCGCGAAAATTGGTCTATCACCTTTTGAATTATTAACGAAGCGTTTAGCAACAGCAGGAACAGGCGGCTTAAATACATATAATTTTTTGAATATTCGTTTAAGTGACATTTTTTTCTGAAAGCTTACGTCATAAATGTAAATTCTTGAAATCATTTTGTATTATTCATTGTATGTCATTAAGTACAATTTTTCCTGTAGGATACCAATCATGGTTACTGTGCAGCAAGATAGTTGCAAATAAGAAGGTTCTTTAATTTTTCTTGAATATTTGAAAAAGGAGGGTGCCATTACAGAGTTAATAAAGTAAACGCAGAAGTTATCTGCGTATCTATCGTACTATCTGTATTAATATTTACTATACAGGCGCGATTTCCGCGTACAATCGTGCGCGTCCAGCGAGCACGTGGGAAGAACCGTATGATGAAATTCTAGGCGAGATATTACAGCTACCATATGACGTCGCGATTCACGAGTTCGAAACGTCAATCAATTACGTTAACGATCAATAAAAAGTTTGAACCGTTATCAACATTAAGAATAGTGACCGACACCGAGTTTAATATCTTCAGCTTCTCTGATACCGATAATTGCGAGCATGACTTTTCTATTATCGTCATTACACAAACAACAATAAGATTTCCGGTGATATGCTTTATTGCATGTAAAATTATTGCGACATGTACATCATTGGAACGATTGCAAAATAATGATGTTAACAGTCATTGTTCGCAGTAACATTCACCGTACAAAAACGAGCGTGTTAACAAATTAAAATGTCCGTGAACAATTTTCAGTAAAATGATCTGGATCGAAGGGAGACACGTGTATGTAAGCTTAATCGCCAACATCGATTCATTGATAAACGTACTGTGATATACATACATACAATACGCAAGTGCAATGTGACACGCGAGAAATGCTACACGCATCTAATTATACACATCGACGATATTTTACTAATTTAAATACGAGTTTTGCTTTTTGCATACATTTTACGAACGTATTTTCCTTTTCACGCGATCAATATGAGCTAATAATAGAAAAGAGCAAACTTCCAGTAGTATTTCGGATAGTCGTACAACACAGTTTTCGCTAACAAGATCCCCGCGCTGTTTCTGGAATTTGCAAACATCATGTGAAAATGAAATGTAACCGTATCATACGTATACAAGGCGTAATTTAATAGGCGTGAGTTCATGATTAATTTCACGGCGTAATATATTATATGTGCAACGTTAACTGTCTAGAGACCATGCTAACAGCGAAATTATACTCTTGCTTAACAAATTTAAAACTCGTTGGAATTGAAATTGTTCTATGATGTGATTCCATGTTCAAAATTGGGCGCTCCACCCCCCTTGAAGGGTTATATAAACAAACTATTAAACCGAAAAATTGAAAGCTTTCCATTAGAAGGGTACATTTTTAGAAATATATTTCAACGCTTAAAAATGCAATTAGTGATGGGTAGCGCGGTTGCACAACACCAGAAGCGAGACCTTGTTCTTATGAATACACCTGTAACAGTTTACATAGTGAAATATTGCCCTATGTAATATTTAGTAATATTCTAATCGTCAGTCTCTCATTTCTTAAACACATAATCAAGGAATAATAAAAAAAACTCATTGAAACGAAAAAGAGAATAAAATGAATGAATGAATGAACAAGTGGTATTTTACACTAAAAATGAAGAACTTGTTTTGCTTTATAATGAGAAGTTGTAAACATGAAACCAACCACTGAGCGCCAGATTACTAAACGTGTCGGATTATAGAGACTGTACTATATTTGAATCAAGATAACTGCTTATTTTCAGAAAATCGATAAGCTATTTTATTAAATTTAAGTCATACTGTATAGGCATTGGTATTTTACATATTTTTACCAAATTCTCGACACGTGGTAGATATTTAAATTGTTTTATAGCATTCTTTAGAGTGAAACGAATTTTATTCGTTATGATTGCAATTTCAATATACGATTGACCAACATTATGTAAGTTTAGTATTATCTTTCTATTTTTAGTTGTCATTATCGTATACCCAGGAAATCGCCACTTTCTATTGATTGAAAATTTGCTCGGTTCGTTGCTTAAATGATTGAATAACCGACTATCGTGGGTTCCGTTTTCTGTATCTTAAAATAACAACTATACTCTTCAATATTCTTCAAAATCTTTATATGATTAGAGTCAATAAATTTTATTCGTGACTAACAAATACAAATTTTAGATTCACTTAGTTTATGGGTCGATCAAAAATGATTTATATTATTGATACTTGTTGCATAATAAACTGGGGCGTATACAATAATAGTTTATGGATCAAGGTATCGTGCAGTTCAATTCTTTTCGTAATTATGATCATTTGTGCCTTTACTTTCGTTCAACTATGTAATTGTCATAGTATATTTGACTGCATTAACGGCTTCATATATAAATCGTTGTCGACTGAAAACTGTGACAGATTTGTGCAATACGTTTTATGCCTATCGTGCTACTGATTTACTATCTACTACGATAACGCTTCTTCTTGGCACAAGGTATATCATTTCAACCTATTTCTGTACAATTTGTATGAATCGTCGTTTTCCAATACACGAAAATAACAACCACTTTCAAAATAAATATCTCGAGTTTATTTTAAATATTCATAATAACAATAATTTTTATACCGCAGTTATTTTTGTAATATAACGAATTCATGCTTTTGACAAAGACCCAAAAACTAAAACTGTTTCCAATTTACTCCTTATTTCGATCAATTTGTAATTGCAAATTTTCATTTCAAAGAATTGGTAGGATAAATAGGGAAATGTCTTTCAAGTTTGATCTCCTACCCCTGTGATCTGATAGGTAAAATGAGTTTCGTTGGTTTGTTCCTCGAGTACCACGCGTGCAAATCGTGCAGAAACGGTTTAGTTAATTTTCGTAGTTCTTCCTGTCGTTCCAAATCAGTTCCTGAGAAATCTATCTCCTCGCTGAGCGGTTGCCACCGTTCGTCCCTATCGAGCAACGTTTTATCAGCGTCCCGCGCGAACTGATTCCATTTCGAGCCACGAAGAACTGGAACACGTGCTACGAAGTAAATTGTAAAATTATAAACAGAGAAAAAATAGTTTAAAATCGGGTTCGTGCACGTACGACGTTTTCGCACAGGGCAATCGCATTTATCAATCGGTGGACCATCGTCTGGCAAGGTTTCGTCCATTCTTAGAACCACCTTAAAAGCATCTGCTTGGTCGAGGGTGTCCTTCATACTTGTGTCTTCTGGATTCTGTTCAAATTCAATCGCTGTGCTAAATGTTATATATAACATCGAGTGTACCGTAGAACCTCGATCGTTTGGTCCAACGAGACACTTTCCAATACACGAATCGAGGATTAATTAATATTTCTCGGTTAAACAGCGGTCGTAAAGTCGAACGTTGGTTAGATATGCAAGTTCGAGCGACAGAAGTTCTTCCGTATTATGCAAAGTAAATCACCACGAACGTAAACGTGTAAAGCGCATCTTGCGTGTCCCAGCTAACGCGATATTTGCATTTCACGGCTGTTACGCATATTTTCTAGGCCGTAATAGCACAGCCTTGATACGTATCCGATGCAAAATGCATGTGAAGCGTTGTGCACACAATAACGTGGTAACATCAACGAGGACGACAAATAACATACGCAGCTGCCATTTTTCTGACACGGAAAATGTTTCATTCACAAAAGCGTGAGAATTGATAGATTGTTGCATAAATTCTTCCCTGTTGTCTTTTTGCTAGATAAAAAACTGTAAACGTTCTGCATAGAGTATAAACAATTATTCAAAAGAAAAAATAAGACATCGCAGATGTTCAAGTTAGACGGAACATTCTGTACAATAACAATGTGCATACAGTTTCATTCCAAGTGCAAGGTATTTTTAAAAACTCAGTTTCGATTTTAAGTTTGCAGAATTTTTGCATCAACCAGATAGATCACAATTACTATCGATACTCCGGATCGGATAGTGTCGTTCGATTTTCTATTACGATGCGTCAATTCCATAATTGGACGAGTAATGATTGTTCACTTTCGCGGTAATAAAAGATCCAACCTTGATCTATTTCGCACATCTTGCAGGCTAAACGACAAGCTGTGATTTTTACGCCGTGGAACGCCTCGTAGATAGATAAAAAGTTTACGTATGCGTTCGCCAATTGCGTTGCATCATTATGCCCTCCGTAACTGTCTTCGTTCATGTAATATTCCGGATATTTAATTTCGCGGACTCTGTGTTTTCGCGCAACATTGCGATGGACGAAGCGTTTAAGCACTTGTGCCCAACCTAAACTTAATTACTATTCTAGTGGACGTTAAAAATAAAATTCCAAATACTAATAGCAGGTAGCTAGTGGAAGGAGGGGGCGGTTCGCCCCCGTGGTGATCTTATTAATATACAGGGTGTTCGGCCACCTCTAGCAAAAATTTCAATGAGCGATAGTAGAGGCCAAAATAAGACGAAAATCAAGAATACCAATTTGTTGATGGAAGCTTCGTTAAAAAGTTATTAACGTTTAAAGTGCCGCCCTTACTGAATTTTTTTCTCAAAAATGCGCAAGATTTCGAGGGTATGTCTATTCACCAAAAATGACTGTAATTGAACCCTACAACCGAAAATAATTTTTCCAGAACGATTTGCAATTTTTTAATTTTCTCGAATAATTTCACACCTTCTCTATTTTTTTTCTCGAAAGTGGGCAGGATTTCGTGGGTATGTCTAATGACAAAAACTGATTTTAATTGACCCCCGCAACCGAAAATAATTTTTCCACAACGATTTGCAATTTTTTTTCTCCGTTGAAAAATTTCGGCACCTAATTGGATTTTCAGTAAGGAATTTTTTTCTCGAAAGTGCGTACAATTTCGGAGGTATGTGTAATGATAAAAAATGATTGTAATTGATCCCCGCAACCGAAAATAATTTTTTTAGAACGATTTGAAAAATTTTTTTTCGCCGGAAAATTTCAGCACCTACTCGATTTTTTTTCTCGAAAGTAGATAGGATTTCGGAGGTATGTGTACTCACCAAAAATGATTGTAGTTGACCCCCGCAACCGAAAATAATTTTTCCAGAACGATTTGAAATTTTTGAATTTAATTGTTAATAACTTTTTAACGAAGCTTCCATCAACAAATTAGTATTCTTGATTTTCGTCTTATTTTGGCCTCTACTATCGCTCATTAAAATTTTTGCTAGAGGTTGCCGAACATGTATACAGGGTGTTCGACCATAATAAGACGAAAATCAAGGATACTAATTTGTTGATTGAGGCTCCGTTTTTTAACGCGTATCAATCTTTGTTTTAAAGGAATAGTATGGTATAATACTCTATTTGCAACAATTATTGAGTGGGTACAGTTGGCAGTTTCTGGTTTCCCAATAAGAGCCATAGAACTTTACTATAAAATGAAAACTACAAAAGATAATCGAACGATGTTTGCTTTGAGATAGTCAACAGTTTATGGTTTGTTAAAATAAACAAAAGGCTTAACATGGTCCCGCAAGAAAGAATGTAATGGCACCAAGTCGAAAGATCTTGATGAATAGTTGACAGCTGCATTTCTCAAAATAATCTTATCATTGAACTTCGATCTCGGTAAAATGATAATGTATCTTTCCATGACTCGAATGAGTAAATAACAGCTATGACGATTGAAAACCTTATATTTATATTCCATTTATCAATGGTGAATGGTTGTAAAGAGTTAAATTTATTCCTTCATTACTTTTATTCGATGAATCGCGCCCGGTATGTATTTCTTCGGATGATCCAAACGAAGTCTTTCGCTGATTTTTCCACCGTCTTGGACGGATTCTTTCAGTTTCTCGAATCTGTAGTCGTCTATGTTTCCTACAGGAAAACTTCGAAGCCTTGTGGTTTTGTCCTTCCACCAAAATGGCGGTTTCAGCAAACCACAATCGTCGTTCGTCCTATCGAAAAAACTATTCAGTTTTTATCGTTGTATACGATAAAAATAAAACAGACGTTTACTTGGTCGTTTCTTCTCTTTTAGAGCATTCCACGGTAGTGGCTTTACGTTTTGCGAATTCCTTCAGACGTTTGTCGCGAATATACCACAGTTCGTACTGCGGCGATCGCGGAAAAATTGAGAACGGAGCTGGAAATTGGAAAATTTTAATTGCATTAGAAACGTGTCTCGATGTTAGCTATAGATTATTAGGTTTTCTATCAATCTTCAAGTAGAGTCGTAGACACGTTATCAGAGTTTGCGTTAAAAATGTCTATCGACCTTCCCGATGGGGATTTGCGACCATCGATCAAACTCTTTTCCTAACGTCTCGCTAAAATTAGGTTACAAATCACTCGTGACTCATTAGCAAATTAGTGTCGTACGCGAAGCATTTCGTCGTAAATTGATTCTTGGACGTCCTATTATTCGCATGGCCGATATTCGATTGATCGAAATTGCCAGAGCCGTACGTGTTCCTCCATTACGTTAAATGGTGAACAATTATTATACCAGGCGCTTTTTAAGTGAAGAAGAATGTTCGTATTATATTAGGCAGAATGAGTGGCCCCCAATGTTGGAAACGTAATGAATCCGCTTTAAATTGCTGTCGATGGGAACCTGTTTGCTATATTTAGATCGAATTTAAACGGTTGCTCTAAGCCAGTGGCTTATTCTTTTCATTATTAAGCAGAACGAAATAAAGTGAAGTCATATTTTCTATGGGACCAGATTAAAACAGAGAGTCTAGCTCGGTTGATAGAATCATTCCTCGTGGCTAATTATAATAATAGTACGTACACGAATGCGACGTATGTCGATCACGTTTCCACTTAGGCATCAATTTAAGTGTTTCGTACACCATTCCATCATCGCGACCGCAAGGGTCCACGTACCCTTCCTTCTCCTTTTTAATCCATTGGTTTAAAGTACGCGAGTCCAATACTTGTATTGGCGCTACTGGGTCGCCTGTAACAATTACATCAACTTTCGCCTAATTCGATCGCCTTAACTCGATTGTGACGTTCATCTCAAATGGCATCGACCATGAGGGATCGACCGAACGATGTGGGAGGAACGTTTATCGCGAAGTTCGTGACCGGCACGTGAATACAATTACCGCGTGCTTCGAACTGAATGGAAGTGACTTTTATAGTCGTCAAATATGATTCGAGATTCTAATTCCGACCAGTTAGCATTTAATTCGCCATCTCGACGGATTTAATTAGAGACCAGACGGATGGAAAAGGTAACAATTGACCAGTTTAAGACGACGCACAGCGTGTCCAGCAAATTCTTTTATCTTAAAATACTAATAAAGAAACGTAGATTTTAATACTATTCTGATTTTAAGTACATTGTTTTAAATACGTGGTTCTTAAATATAAAATTAGTCTCATCGTTTCGGTAAACCGATTAGGCAGTTACGGAATCAACAATGCAAAGGAATAATCAATAAAGGAGAGGCACTGGTTCCGGGTATAACTTTAGAATTTATTTGTCATTGCCTTTCTGGGAATACTTGAAAAAAAATTGCTTTATATTGCTATATATTTGATCAAGATTGTACGGAGCGATAAACTGACTTAGAGTTCTTTTGATAGGTTTCAGCTGTTTAGCCACGTATTTATGGGTGGGGGCTGGATTTCCATGGTGAAAAATTCCATCCGACAAATACGCCTGAGAAACGTCGGTTATGTAATAGTCCACCGGCGGTGGTTCTGGAAACTAGACTATTAATAAATCACACCGTAAGGTCAAAGCAACGTAGATGCATACATAATTGTTTACAAAACGCACCATAAACATTTCTACGCGTAGAAATGCACGGAATAGAGATTCGAAAGGAATGTTCTTGGAGAATTGCAGGATTTGCAGAATCACATGGCTGAATCGATGACTCGACAGAATTCTATAGGAATTGCGCCTTGATCGTTATTGCGGGCGAAAATTATTTACGGATGGTTGATGGCGGAAGTACGATAATCGACGCGTCATCGTTAGTCTCGAAGTGCAAAATCCTCGTAGGAAACTTACTTGTCACGAGTTGCTTAAGTTCACCTCGACTTAAGCAACGCGACGCGTAATCGTGACGCTGTTCAAAGACGAGTGTATTATCAAGATAAACCAGTTTCCCAAGGTTATGGCGTTTCACTCGAAACCTTGTTGCAACCAATCGATCAATCTCGCGCGAGCGGGAAAGTTTGCGAAACTTTCGCGAACTTCACGGAAATGTTCCCGCATAACCCCGTTATTAAAATGTTACGAAAATTTTAAATACAGTACCCCGATACAAAATCTTCGGTGAACGCCGCTGATCTTTAATTTAATCTACGCTGTTCCGTAATAATGGAGCGCGGGAGCCGTTCGAAAAAGAAATCCTCCAAAACGGAAAGGGTTAAGGGGTTACACCAGGTTGGTGAAAGCAAATAATTTGAAATATTTCTACCAAACTTTATCAAATTCGATTCAGTAATTATAACCATCCCTAAAAACCCTAAAAATACAAGCAATGACGTATGCCATGATTTTTAAATGGTTTTCGTCGCGCTAAATCAAGGGCAGATACAGAAATGAACGAGATATTTTCATTATGGTTTCTTGCTTCGAGAAATAATTTGTATCGAAGGCAGCCTCTTGAATTCTATTTTCACGATATGAAACTACTATTTAAGCAAATACAAACCCTTAAGAAAAAAGACCAACCCTATGGAAAGAGATTTTTTCCAATTTCGTTCAAACTTTTAATCTGGTGCAACCCCATAAGAAAGAACCGAATGCTGGGCTGGCGCTGGGGAGCCGCGACGACCCTCTACCGGACGTCACCGAGCAGTACCTCTTCCTCTTGGAGTTTCTGGTGCACCACGTGACCAGCGACCGATTGGCAAAGCTCAACCAAATGTTCTTCGTACCAACGACCATCTGCATCGATTTCCTCAACTTCGTCGGGGACGAGACCGTCGAGATAACGCCGGTGGATCCCCTGTTCAATCCTCAGGCGGGGGTCGCGGACGACGTGGAGTACTTCTACTCGGGCCAGTCCGTGTTGTTCGCCATCGATCAGCGAACCGCCATCAACAAGATCGTAGATTTCGTGGTGAGGCTCTGCGTCCAAAAGAAGATGCCCGACGGGGTGAAACCGGACATTCTGATCGGCAAAGGCGAGCTGGATCTGTCCATGCACTTCGCGGCGCTTCGTAAAGAGATGCTGCAATGCTGGCAGAAAATGGCGCCGCCGCCAAAGTGTTTCGAGGGCGAGGTACCGTTGATGTGCAACGACGTGGAGGTCGGCTGCGTGTGCATGTTCGCGCGGATCTCCGCGTTCGGGCAGACCATCGTCACGGAATTCGAGGCGCCTCCAGACATGGACGTCGCCGCGTACATATTCAAGGGCGACGAGATGAATCAACGATCGCTGAGCTACAAGTGCCGCATCATCGATTCGAAGGACGCGGACATCGGGAGAGACTCCGCGGAGGATCTGACGATCGGCGGTCCCCCTTGTCGCGTATGCGTCGTGGAAGAGCATCCTTGCACTCCGTGCGGGCATACCCGCGGGGCCACTCTGAAGCCTAACGTGAGCCACAGTGAAATCGCTATACACGGAACAAAATTTGGTATTAAGAGATTTACGGTATCCTTGGTACAGCAATGCACGCTTAACTTTCTTCTACTCAGGGTCCTCGAGCTTCTTTTGGGTTCCAAATGCTAGAAAAGTTAACTATGCATCGCTGTATTTATAAGTTCCAATGCAGTTGTGCTCTTTTAATACCATTTTGGTGCTTGAATATTTCATAAAAAAAGTGTCTTTTCGATGCATTGTGAGATCAGGACCACCTTATTCGACTGTATTTGAGTTCAGTTTCTACCAATATTCTAAAAGCTAGAATAATCGATGAAATCTCATTTCCAAATTGTCTTCCTCGCAGTGGACCAGCAGCAGACTCCTGTGATTGGCACGCAATCGAAACCCGAGACTTGCTCCGAGGTGCACAAGAGCGGTCTGATTCAATCCAGCCGTGGTCCCGCTCAGCCTTGCGGAAAAGCTGTCGTTCTGAAGGTATCTGGAGTGTTAGACACTGGAACTGACAAGAAACCGACGGTCACGGTGGCGTCGGAGTCCGAGGCGACCGGCCAGGACGCTTGCGATCCAGACCACGATGTTTTCGTTCTGAGAATCGGGAAAAAGGGCATCGTCGGTGCCGACGAGAAGTCTGATATTCAATTGGAGATGAGGACTCCCAAGGGTACCGAGAAGGGACCACCGATCAGACACGAGACGCGGGAAATGCAGACCGACGATAGCAAGAGTGCAAGGAAGCGAAAGAGGAAGAAGAAAAAGAAATAAATGCCATCTATTTATTTTGAGAAATAAAAACACGTTTTGTTCGCATCAAAATTTTTTATAAATATCTATTACGTGTGAATTTACTCTAAATGTTTCGTATTATACGGCAATGCACGATTAAATTGCAATAGAATTATTTCACGTAAATTATAACAACTCTGCTCCACCATTCAAAATCTTGAGCTTGGTGTAACCTAAGTTGGACTTATTTTCATCGGGAAAATTTTATTTTATCGTAATGTACACAGCATCTCTTTGAAGTATCGAGCCTCCAGCGTATTCCTTGAATAAAATCGCTACGCATTGGAATTTACGCGTGCTTTACTGTATTTCGAAACGATGAATTTAAATCGAAGAAATTGTAACTATTTTTGACGATATATGAATGATTTCTTTATTTTTCTCTTCTTAATCTTAGTCTTCTGTCCGCTGCTGTAAGCATCAAAATTCCTTACCGATGATTTCGTTAAGAATATGCTCTTAATCTCTGTTTCACTTTTGACACAACACACATAGTAATTTATTTATGCGTCGTCACGTGCGATAACATCGAGCGTCCTCTAGTTTTTTCCCGAACCTCGAAATTTCACAACACGGTCATTGCACGTGTATATTTAACTAAATTAATGGTTTAACGAATAATTTATTGCATCCAGCAATAAAAAAAAAATCTACAAAAACCATGAAGTAAATCTTGAACGACAAAGCCGCGTAAAATTTAAGATATGGACAACGAACAGCAACTTTTTCTGATCGAATTTTTAGTAGACAAAGTTAAGATCCCGGTGATAAGGGCGATGCAAGACGAAGTATTGCCCGCCTGCACTTGCGTTTCGTTTCAAGTAATGTCCTAGTAACGTTTATGCTCCCTTGCGTATCCGATTACACGATCGAAGCTTACGTTTTCGGAAACCATAACCTTCGGAAACGTATCGCTTCGCCATTTGTGCACGCTGTTACGTAATTGATGCCATCGTGATCGACAGATTCTCAGTCTGCCGCCCATCGATATTTCCCAGGATGCTTTGACGGACGGTTGCGGTTGCAACGACGGCGACACTCAAGTTTTCAAGAAAGGCAAATCCTGTCTGTTCGCGTTGCCGTCGATAGTCCTTCGAAAACCGGTGTCCACGTTTCCGATCAAGATGTCCGTCTACAAGAAGCTACCGCCCGGAGTGTTGCCGGACGTGATGCTGGTCGGATGCCATCAAATCGAGGCCAAAGCCTTGGTAAACGCCGTGCTGAGCCAGCAGGTTTTCAAGATACCGAATCCCTGTCAAACGATCAAAGACACGTTCAAAATCACCACAGCGACCGGCCAGTGCGTGGGCTGCGTGACTGTTTACATCAGGGCTTCCGGTTTCGGCAGGAAGATCATCACCCAATTCCAGATCCCGCACAACAGGAAACCGTATCTGTTCAAGGGCGCGGACGAAAGTCCTGTTTTCCAATGCAAGAAGATACCTTCTGCCTGTTACACTCCCGCCCCGTTGAAGTGCACTTGCGTGAAGAACTGCACCGATGGCAGTGGCGAATCCGCAGGAAGAACCTGTTGCCCCACGCCTGTTGCCCCTTGTCCTCCACCGCCTACTAAAATCAAACAACCGGATTGGGGTGCACGGCCATGCTGTCCCTCGCTCCAACCCTCTGCTGGGTACGTGTCTTTGTCTATCTTAACCCTTTGTACGAGTATAAAAAAGAATTCTCTCAGCTCCAATACCTACAAAATTTTTATTGATTATAAATGTTTCGTAATTCACAGAAGGCAGCCTCCGAATTGCTCGTCCTGTTCGCCGCCATCGTGTCGGAGGGATCAACGTGCAGATTCTTCCGGAAACTGTCCGCCGTGTTGTACGCCACAGCCTAAACAACTCGTGAAGTACGGTGCATCGTCTGGTTCTTCCCATCAGCAAATCGGTGCCGACAGAAAGTGTCATCCTTGTTGCCCTACCGAACTGTCGATGCCGCAAAAACAGAAAGAAGCGTGTCCGCCGTGCTGCGGTGCTTCCTCTCCCATGGCGTCAGGACATAAATCATTCAGTAGCTTCCTAAACGAAGAACCTAAGGTGAAGAAGTGTGGCTGCCCGGTAAAGGAATACAGTTGCAACTGCGGGCACACGAAGTAAGGAAAACGCTTCTGTGAGAAAGTAGAATGGAGCTCGTTGATAAAAGAAACAAGACAGAAGAGAAACGATAGGAGGTAACTAAAACGTTTATTGTTTGTTGCAACATCGATAACAGAATTTTTATCAATGGTATTACATACTTTAAACCAGCGACAAGTTTATCTATGTTTATTTATAAGAAACTTGCTAAAGCACTTCCTCAGTTTGAGAACCACTGCGTTGTAGTATAATTGTTTCCAACCGATTGCCGTGAAATTGTCGCTAATTGCTCGTGCACATTTCGCTATTTCGCTACGTGAAATCATTCGTTTCGTACCCGAACAAAGATTAAATTTTTTACAAGTATGGCAAGCATAATAGAATCGCGCAAACCGAACGAAAATATCTTAAACTGTTCCACGGTGATTACACAATATTCATCTTAAATCCCACGCGTTTTTAACGCTTTAATTGATCCCCATATTTGATGTCCAGATAACCTGTCTGCTAGACGTTTTAGCGAAGATTGTAATCGAGAACGTTTTGTTAGCGTTGCAATGGGAAGCAATACTCGTGCGTGCGGTCCTCGATCCGAATAACAAAGAGACTGGCGTATTAACTGCGACGAGAGCAGAGACTTTCGCGCAATTAAAACGACCGGAAGTAATAATTAACGAGCAGCCTTGGGAAAGGATAGACGTCGGAAACGCGGATGACGTGAAAACGACGCAACAGGCTGGAAAGAAATGTGGCAAAGGGACGAAGAAGTCCAGCCGTTCGAGGAAGAGGGAACGAAAAGAGCAAGCGGAGAGAGAGGCGAAACGGAAGCAGGAGGAGCAAGAACGTTTACGGAAATGGGAGGATCGTTGGGAAAAGGAGCTTCAAGTACAGGAAGAACGTGACAACGCTGAATGTTGCGCGGCCAGGGGGATGTGTTTGAAGCCAAGAACCCGATCGAACGTCTGGATCAACGTGAAACGTGACAGATCGATTCAGGAAATACACATGACATTCAAGTAAGGAAATTTTGATAATCTGTTAGGTTGAGTAAAAAACAATATTCATCTTCGGGTGCTCTGAAACGCAACCAACTTTGGTTCAAATTTTAAAAGCACATTTAACGTGTAGACATGTTCCGGTCCCGAGACCAAAGCCTCCGCCTCTGCCACCATTGAAAGGACAGAAGGCACCCGAAGAGATAAGTACTGTAAAGAAAAGTGACAAAAATGTCATGGAGACAGGTACTGTAAAGAAAAGTGACAAAAATGTCACGGAGACAAGTACCGTAAAGAAAAGTGACAAAAAGGTCGGCTCCATGTGTAAGAAAAGGATACAACGGATCCATTAATGACTTATTATGTAATGTATAGTTCCCTGTGTTACCGCGAGTTTTAATCAGAAATTTTACACAACAATTTGGAACAATTATTTTCAGAAAACAAAGTCTCGCCTGAACATCATCACGTAAAGTCTGGCGGTCCCGATTTGATTGCAAAAAGAGAACTCGCGATCAATTGTCTCGGATATCCCATAACTTTTTATTTACCCTACGCGCGTACTGCTCTATTCATCCGAACTGTTTGTAAAAATACATTGGACTGCGGGCGACTGCGAGGATGTGACGTGTTATTCTCGTCGTTGGTAGTACATTCACCGAACTACCGAAATGGAAATAGTCGTGTGGCGGGAGAACGAGAGTGATCGCGACATCGCTGTGCAGAGGCGTCTCGTTCGCTGTCGGGGTACGTTTTTCTACAAAAGTTTTCGCTTGCAAACAAATGAACTTTCGAAATTGAATTTCAATAAATAACGACCGCGTCGACAGCAATACAGAGTAGTTTGTTCTTCGAAACGTCTGATAGAAGATTATTGATTTATGGATTTGTGTTTCGAATATTGGCAAGTATATTCTATAGTTCGCAAGAGTAATGTAGGTGGCTATATTTTCACAATACTATGGATCTTAATGAAAGACCCTTTCCATCGAATATATAAGAAATAAAATTAACTAAACTACGCAAATTTTACATAACAGAGACAATGCCAATGTAATTGTTTTTAAGCGTATTTCCGCCACTGTAAGAGCTACGATTTCATTTTAGACCATGCTGGAGAATTCCGATTGGACGTAAGATCTGTCAATAATTGGGACATTTACCTTACCTAGATGGAAATGACAGTGCAAGTGCAAGGACGTTACACGCCGGGCGTTATTCTTGTCTCGTGGGTACGCTCGACCAGGGCAGGGAATGGAAGGTTGGTGATAAAAGGTGCCGGAAGGGGGTGAAAAGCGCGAGAGGAGGGACAGAGGATGAGACTGCGCCTGCTCTCTCCTCCGCCACCCTCTGCCGCCACGGACACGGACGGGGTTGTAAGCCGATATTGTCGGGCAGGCGCATTGCCCGGTAACAGCGGAAAGGAAGATGACAATAAAAAGAGCATATATAAAACGCGCCTAAACGCACGTTAACCTCGGGGCTGGCTGGCGCGTCGCCTCCGAAAATGTAAACCGGCTATGAGAGGGAAAAGAGAAAGCGGAGCGTTTGAAGTGAGGCTTTGTGCGCGTACGTCCACGGTCCCGACGGCCGCAGACCGCCGTGCTGCGGGCGATACCCTCCCGTACGACGAGGAATCATGAACAACTCGCCGCAGAATACGGAGGTGGCCGGGCAACAGCACCGGGCCGGCGTTGAGAACAGCGACGAGGAGGAATGGAGTGGTGTCGTGGAATGTGTAATGTTATTGCATCGACTCGTGTATCGAAAGAATGATTTTTATTTGCTGAAACAGCCTTCCTCGAGCAGTTTCTTGTTGCCCATTTCGAGTTGTTTTTCGTGGTCAAGGAAATTCTGTGGGTTGCACAACGTGTGTTGAATCTTTATTACCTAACAATTGCACTTTTTCGTTGTTGTTATTGTTGTTGTTGTCATTGTCGTTGGTGTTATTGCACATTATATATTATTTGTTCATACGAGATATATACACATTCAATTATTCACCCTGTCGAACGGGTACCATTATCTGTTGATTCTGTTTATTCCACGGTTACCGCGCTAAGCTGGTCCAAGTGTTCCAGAATACGCAACAAAAGTTCTGGGCCGCACTGTTTTCTTTCGTTTGTTTCGTTGCGATGCACTCGTTCATAGCGTAGATGCGTTGCAAACGACACGCTAGTCTGTTAGAATTCTTTTGCCTCTAGCGAAACTCACGATATATTTTCGTTAATGAGAGATATAACGTCTCGAACGGTGAAATTAAATAATACGTTTGTCGCGAGCTCGCTACAGTAACGTGTTCTTTCATAGGCTGTGCTGGAGAGGTCAAAGTCAGATCGGGTGACACGAACGGATGAAGATAGACGACGTCGCACTATTATTGTCGAGAAGAAGAATGGCACGTACGGTTTCACCTTACAGGTAATGCACCCATACACGTGCCCGTGGCTTTCGCAGACTGTACAGAATACGTTCTTACGCATCTTCGTGTAGCAACAAATTTATAGTCAATATTTAAAACATACTCGTTTAACAACTCCCTCTTGTTTCCCATTTCTTTGATTTTTCATTCAAATTTTATGCAACACTGTTGAAAGCGTCGAACTGCACAAACTCATAGTATGACCTAATACGTATCTACTGTGGTTGTTTCTGATACAAAATAGGATTTCACGTGAAATGATACATTTGTATTAATAATATCGATGCGTGTGACATTGCACAGAGCTACGGCATACATTATAAACGAGAGCAGGAAATCGAGATGGTCACATACGTCGACTACGTCGAGTACGATGGACCAGCGTTCAAAGCTGGTATGCGCGAGGGTGATGTGATACTCTCGATAAACGGTCATGAAATGGACAGAGCCGACCACAAGACGCTGGTCAATTTCATAAAGAACTGTGATACTAGGATGAGAATGGTCGTGTCCTTCGAAGACTGCGTAAGAAAGGTGAGACACGAATACCGTGAAACATCGACAACGATCGACGATCGTGCATAGATCGGAACTTTAATCGATCGCGACATTGACGATCTCTTCCAGGTGGAATTGCATATGCGTTATATCGAGTTGCAACGTGCCCTCCAATCGCGTCTGGGTGAATTGGAAAGACTCTGCGAACGGGAACGGTCTATTCTTATGGGTCGATGGAAAACCCATTCACTGCCAGCACGCAAGAGAACGCCGAACAGTGGAATTACCAGTAACCCCAGTCAACCGTCGCCATCGTCGAGTTTCAATTCATCCACGATCCAATGCTGTCGGCCGGCCACGTCCACGGAACATCTATTGCTCTACAACGTGGTATTTTAAAGCTGCCAACCGACGCTGATACTTGTTGCGATACAATGTTTCGATATAAGCAATGGGTTTAAACTGTCGACAGACCATGCAGGCAGTAACGCTAGCGATGGATCTAAGCGAATAACTCGTTCGACGTTGTATCGTCACTCTATTTTCCAACATTACGAGAGCTATAGACTTAAACCCATTGCTAAAACAACGCCCGAACATACGTAACAAGATATCTGCGTGTTCGAACAAAAATATGCGGAATGCCGCGTACCAAGAGCTTGTCGCAAAACGCAAGAAAAACATTCCGCATGTTTTTGTCACCAGCATGGCAGTCCACGTGCTAACAAAGGATCGCTGCTTTTACAGTTTTCCGACGGCCGACCGTGCTTGGTTCCTCGAAATGCCGCCTGTTTGGTGGCAGTAGGACCGCCGCGTTCCCGCAGCGATCACCATCACTTTCTGTCGAAAATGTCTAGCGAATCGGGGATGACCACTTCTTCGCGGCACAGCTACCACCAAGCGAACGGAATGAGCAGCACGCCAGCGAAATCGAAATCGCACAAATCCTGTCAGCCGCAACAGCAACAAGCGAGCGGAAGCGGAGAACCGTCGACTATCCACGCACCGCCGCAAAACAGCCTTTGCGTCGCCTGTATCTCAAGCGCCAATCGTCGCAGAGAACAATCAGATAACGGCAGTTTGGACGCGTACGACTTGGCTAGTCCATGTTGCGATCCAAATTGTGTGCCCAGTCGTCGACGTCGGGAGAAACAGAGACGCGCACGAAACGAACAGAATCATCATCAGCAACAGCAACAGCAACAACAACAGCAGCAGCAACAACAACAACAGCAGGTGCAGCAGCAACAGCAGGTGCAGCATCATCATGTACAACGAGAGCAGCCGCAACAAGCACAACAACAATCGCAACATGGTACGCACAATTGCTCGCGCACGTCTGGACATAGTCTGCACTCTATCACCAGCAGTGACGTCTCGACCATCGCCGACACCGTTGCTTCCTGCACGACCAGCCTAAGCACGGATACTCTCTATTGGGATCCATCGAACGTGCATCAACGGCCACCACCGTGCCTTCAGTACGCCAAACCAAAATCCTGGGACAATCTGACTACCAAGGCGTTCGGTGGCTATGGTTTTGGATACGGTTACCTGGACACAGCCACTGCGAAAACCCACAGTGCTGAACGGCCAGGGAAAGGTTCGCATGGGCGAGCGAAAACGCCAACCGGCACCGTTCAGAGGAGAACGAGCAGCAGCACCACTTATTCTGGAAGTTCCAGTAGACACTTTCAACCGACCAAGTCTACCGAAAGTCTTCTGATACCGCCGCCTTATCAGAGCGAATTAGATGCTAGTCTGAGCTGCGAATGCTTGGACGGACCGACCCCTCGATGCGTACCGGTGATTCAAATGGAGAAACACAGCCGACAGGAGGAAGGTGGCTACATAATCAGTACGCACACTCAAGTTCGACATCGCCGGTCTAGTCATTCCGATGGGAAATTAAGGCCTCTAAATAATTCTGAAGTGACGCGACTATAAACCGTCTACCCCGTTGGAAAACGTATCTTAATAAATTACTCAGTATGTTTAACGTATCAGATACCTGGACGACGGCGCAACGGTATTAATCGAACGACGAATCTATTCGCATTTAAATATTTGTATTCAGCTTTGTATCGTGACAATGGAAACAATGTTGTCGAGGCGTATAGAAAGAATTAGTATTGTACTCGTCGAACAATAGAACGGACCACATTTTTTAAAACTTTTTCGAGAATACACGATCGATTACGTATTTAGTTCATTGAATTGTTGCTTGACCAACGAATGATTTTCTAACGATGTTTTCTGGACGATTGATACGACGTATCGAAACACGCGGTGCTTTTAAAATCTTTCTTAAATTTCTATGGCCTGTTAATAGTGCGATTGATCGAGTACAATTTTAAACTGTGGTAAACGTTAATGGTAATATCAACGTTATCGTAAAAATTATAGATTATCAGACTGTGTTGTTTCAAAATTAAAGCGATATAATTACCCCTGTAATTCCTTACAATGGCGAGATAAAAGTAAAAAATAAACGAAAGTTTTTACGAGAATTTAAACTTAAAATCAGTTACACTCCAATATTTTAAAGATTCTGTCTTTTTTCTTTTTAATTTTTGTAATACTAAATATTTAACAATCCTACATTTAAGACCACAAATAAATTGTAGTGCAGAAAATACCTTCCCCCACTGCTTCATTGATGCTGACCAATCAGATACGGTATACTAGTAACTTTTACTAAAAACATCTCACTTCCCGATCTATCTAATACACAAGTTTATGGCTCTACATAAAATTATTTTCTAACGTACTTAAACTCAAGATAGGTTATATTGTGGTGTTTTATGTTTAAAAGTGTAACGAGAAGGATAAGAAGAAATGTCCAGAAAAAAGCATAACGTTTCGTATATTAAACCAAACGAACCGAAATTTTTACGCGAATTAAAAGAACAAGTTGGTTATAAAGAAGGGCCTACAGTTGACACAAAGGTACAGTTTAATATTTTGCATTAAAATTTAAGTGGTAATAATTATTTAATCGTTATGTTATGTATGGTAGTATAATTGCATTGAAAAAATAATTTTCTTTGACTAAAAATGTTCAGAATATATGTAATTAAAGCTACAAAACTCTAATTATAGCAATAGGTATAATAATTCTAATATTTATCATTTTTTTAAAATTATAACGTGTTAACTATAATGAAATAATTGTTATAATTAGTGCTTATTTATAACTAGCATAAACAGCCATTTAAATGACTTCTTAAAACAGAGAGAAGTATTACCTCAAGATTCAGACGATGATAAAGATGAACGTGAAGAAGAGAAGCCTATTGTGGTTGTATTAAAATCTGGTGATTTAACTGCAGAAGAAGCAGAAGTATTTCAAAAACAAAAAGAAGAAGGTAGATATAAATTTTATTTAAATAAGAATATTTATAATTTGAGAACTAATAAGCGATAAGTCTGTTGAAAAACAAGTTATGTGTGGATCCTGAATTATAGAAGAAGCCAATGCTCCAGCAGATTTATCTAAACGAATTATATTTAGAAAAAATAAAGTAGTGGAAGGAGAATCAGATACTGCGGATAAGCCAGTGAAAAAGAAGATAAAAAAAACAAAACAAGAAAAGGCTATATTGTCTTTTAATGATAATGATGATGACTATCTTTAGTATTTGCAAATATGTATTTAAGTATTTTTTAAATGGGCAAAAATGAATTTTATAAAGTATATAAATTGTTATATAATAATTATTGTGATGAAATATTTACATGTTTGTATTAGGGTAGTGTGTTGTACAAAATAGAATTTAATATAAGAATTTTGTATATCCAGTTATTCGCGTGTATATATTTGAATGTAAATATTGTTCATATATGTATATAGACCTTGAACTGTATTTCTCAGTAGCAACATAAGAAATGTACATTCAATGAATTTTAGAAATGTTGAAATCTAATAAATTTAATCTTACTTTAAGATAAACGTAATTACGATTAATCGTGTGCCTGCATGAAACAAATTATTGTAAATTCAATATCGTAATAAATAAACCACAGAAAATCACAGGAAATATAAGGAAAAGTTCTATTGTTTCACGTAGTATATACATATGAAAAAAAACGTGTACTATACAATAAATTCGACACGAACAAAATTTATACAAATTTAAAATAAATTTGTAACAATCTTGCGTGAATTACTTAGGGGTGTGTGTATTAAATGATTCCATAGAATAGGGCGGGGACTTATTAGTCAACCCCATTGTTATATATTGTTGCAATTGCAGATTGCCCTTATTCTTGGGAGGGCCTCTCATTGGATGTGCACGTGTACCCGGTCACGTGACAATGTATAACAAACGCTACTGGTCGTTTTGTCCCTTTAACATTACGCGTACGTCATAAAATTTGCGGTCACGTGATTATTGTCGCCATCTTGGCAGTTTTCGACGACAGAGGTAAGAAGGATCCGTGACGTCGAACCCAAATAAACACAAAGTATATGTGAATAATTTTAGTATAAAAATTGTGTGTATCAAGTGCCGAGGGAGTCGCGTGTGTAGCCGAATATTTGTCGGTGTTCCGAACGGTCAGTGGATTTAAATAGCGCGGCATTTGTGATGCGTGTGTGTTTCGATTATTGGTCCTCTTTTGGGGGAATAATCGCGATCGGCCAGCGACCACCACGGCAGCTGTTCGACAGCTAAGTCAGCCCTTACGAAAGAAATGGCGGGAGCTTTCTAAATTTTGATAAACCAGTAAAGACGTCTGGTGCACCCTTTAACCGTAGACAAACAATGATTAATATAAAGCGCCAAGGGACTTGCGATTGATTTGTTGGATTTTATGATTTGTATAGTTGTGGTGCCGAATAACACAATATAACCAGGGCCGTGACGATCCTCTCAATTTCCCTACGCATCTCCCATGCACTAATTCCTATTTAGATACAGTCTCTGTTAGATCGTAACAAAATTTGTTTCGAACAGGTATGCTAATGTGTACACTCCTCTGGTAACTTCTGGTACGAATAAGTTACTATTGTCCACAGTAATACGATGTATTTGTGACATATCGATCGGTACCAAATAAAAGCAATGGCATATTAAACTTTTGTCTCGACAAAATATATTAACATTTCTTATAAATTGGAAATTATACGGTGAAATTTTCATTCAAGTTAATATGTCGTTACATTCATTTAAATTTGTTAGAATGGTCTGACGATGAAGCTTTTCGTCGATGGTTTATTTTGGTTTAAGGCCGTATCAAAGTACAGTGTTTATTCTTTCAGTGTTATCTTCGTACATTATAATTTTGCTTATCTAAGCACACCATCAGCGAAATAAACCAGTAGATGTTTCTAAAGAAAAAGAGAAGTTCCATACGTGAATTGTGCAAATCGTGATCACCTCCAAATTAATTATATAAATTGAAACGTTATAAATATATAACAATATTTACAAATTCAATTATTTAGTTGCATTTATTTTTCATTTCACCGTATACGTAGTTCTCGAAGAGCATAGTGTGTTAAACAGTTTTATTAGGTTTAATATATCCCGTATTTCTTTCCAAAACAAAAAAGAACAAAGAACAAATGTGTTCAATATCAAAAGTACTTAATCAATATCGTTGTTTGACTACCATTTCAAGCGATGGGAATTCTAATCCACCAATGAACGTTAGCAAAAACAGCAGGGAGCCTCATTTTTGAAAATAATGTTGTCTCTTCAACACTCTTGTAGGTATTTAAACGTGGAAATAACGACAATGATGTAGCTAAAAGTATAACGCCGATTGAATAGCCATAGAGAAATCGTGAGAAAAGCCTCTCTTCCGTTTCACGACCCCTTCTTTCTATTTCGTTTCTACTTAACCCTCGTTGAAAAGAGCCCACGACTTTGCGACGGCCCTGGGCATAACTTTTTAACGTTTCCAACGTCGCGCCTGCCCTCTGGTGCCTAATTTTCAGCGATGAATGTTCACTATTTACAGGTTTTGTGAATAAATCGTGTATCGTGCGTATAAGGACGAATCGTAGCTCCGTCGCCGCCACTGAAGATTGCAGGTTGTGAAAATGTCGCGGTATCAGAAAATCGTTTAGGAGAGCAAACGGTCAGGTGCGTATATTTGTGCCTGGTGACAGGATACGGATGGAGTTCATACGCGTTCCATTGCCTCGTAGAACCGCCGGGATCCGTGAATAGCGAGTTAAGTAGCACGAGACATGCCCTCAACCGAGCATACTGAGTGCGATTCCTCTTATTCCGAATTACCGGTGTCTCGTGAACTTTGATATTTTTCGAGTTTCAAATAACATGATCATTGTCATTTCGAACGATGATGCATGCCACATCAGGATGAACATTACTGTAGGTTAAAAGTATGCTCAGCATCTTTTTTAAGAACGCTATGTCCTTCGAGCGGATCCATAGACAAGGCTTTATCTTCGTTTCTACATCGTTCCTCTATTAGATCAGTCTTCAAACGAGATTTGAAAATCGTTTTGACACGAGAACAAACGAGATAATTGAAAAGAAATTCTCGTCGAGTGTCTTGAATAGGAACTTTGATAGTTGGGTGAATCGGATCTCTATAGATAATCTGGCAAAATGGTCCGCGTTTATCTAGTTTCTTCTTCGTCACGTACGTTGAATCGTATTAGTGACCATTGGTTGTTTGTGTTTTTCGTAGTCCCGCTAGTAAACCCCATACACCCGTAAATTCTGTTGAATGTTTATAAGAAAAATTGGTTTGTGGATAATATCGTCGTGGGAGATCCGTCTGACATGATCGGATTCGGTAGGTCATAGGGTTGTTCTGTAGGTGGTTGGCGTGTTGTCTGTCCGGCATGTAGTATAGAGTTAGGAAGGTTGTGCGCGCGCGCCCATGGATAGCGAGTTGATGGGTCGTATATGCGTACGGTTGTATATATATATACATATGTATATATAATATATATGTATATATATATATATTCTTCAGTCGTGTGCATATGTATGAAAGACGAAAGTTCGATGTGTAAAGCTGTAGGAATAGGTGTAGGTTGGTAGGTTGCTACGAAGGTTGAGAAGAGAGGTACGCGGAGGGCTGACTGACTGACTGGCTGGCGCTCGGACGCGGTGGCTGGCGAGTGCAGGTGACTGAGAGACGCTAACCATTCAAGCTACTTTACAGGACTCTCCTTATCCGAACATTTGTCCACGCATCCACGAGTGACTCTTTGTCTCCTAATTATTGTTAGAACTGTGCGCGACTAAGATTTTTTGGACGAAGCGGGCGTATTTCGGTAATGCTCTGACTGGAAATCGACGACCACAAACTTTGTTGGTTATGGGAACAAGGAAATAGGAGTACGGAATTCGCAGCGCCATTTTGAAAAATTCGGCCCCGCTAAAAATTCCCTCCCTCTCCCCGCCCTCGCGTTCATGTCGTGGATGTAATGAAACGCGTCGTCGCCACGAGCCGCTTATTCCTGTGTTCTTATTAATTGTTTAGATCAACTGTACAGTGGTGGCCCCATGGAAGGCACATTAGAAGAACCCCCTGTTAAGGACTCATCTGAGGCCAGTCCTGATAAGGTTCTCAAAGGTATGCTCTGCCCTTGCTTGGATCTATTAAAGCAATTCTTCTAAATATTCCAAGAGACTGACTTTCTGCCTACTTTATGCTATCTAAAGTTGTTGCCACATGATGATACTGATTTTGACATTTGTTTTGTTTTTGGTTGATGATTACTGTATTGTTTTACTGTAGTTTGCGATGATTCATGTGATCGAACAATGTATATGTTACTAAACAGCACACATATTCCTTAAATCATGTACCAATAATTCATTGTAATAAACTTATGTGAATGTACATTCTGTTATATTTTTAAGTCATGTATTTATATTGTATGATTATTAATATACTTTATCGATGTATGATGATATAATTAATATTCTTTATTTTACTTCTTGGACATTCATTTTCAAAGTCATTGTATAAGGAATTGATAATAAACACATTTATGACACAATATATTGATAATAAATATTTAATATTTTTAGATATTGCTATCTCAATAAAAACAATTTTTATGTTTTGCAGATGTTGTGATACCAAATGGTGTTAATGGAAATTATAATGACAAAGAAGAATTCATGGACGCAGATAATGCATCTAATCTTGTGTCAAATGAAATTAATAGTGCAGCTGAAGGGGATGAGGATGACGAGGAGGAGGAGGAGGAGGAAGAAGAAGAAAATGGTGAAGAAGATGACGAGGACGAACATAGAATGGAAGTTGAAATTGAAGAAGGAGATATAGAATCAGAAGATAGTGAACAGGATAGAATAGATCCAAGTAGGAGTAAAAAGGATGAAATCTCTGACTCAGAGACCGACTCTAAAACATCCGAACCACCGGAAGGTGTCAGTGAGACGAACAATTCTAGTGAAGTGTCTAAAACTGAAGATAAGTGTAAAATCACATCTTGTGAGGCTATGGATGTTGATGAACAGAGTAACAACTCTGATGTGGAATGTCTCGATGAAAGCATAACAGAAATACAATTTGATAATGACGATGTGTTCACTTTGAAAAATTCTACGCTAAAAGATGACCAAAATTTATCAGGTAGTAGTGATATACAAAAGATTAATGACAGTAGCGAAATTACTGACAGTACTTCAGATCCATCTGATGTGAAAATTTGTGAAGAAAATGGAAGCTGCGATAGTCCTGATATTGAAGAGATAACAGATAGTGCGAAGAATGGTCATAATTCTTCGTCGGAGCGTGTCAATAAAGATCCGACAAAACCAAGAAAGCAAAGAAAACAAGTAGACCTTAGTAGTATTACGCCAAGGAGAAGTTCTCGTAATATAAAGAGGACAAGTTACATAGAAAAGGAAATAGAAGAGGAAGTAGAAGACGATGGCTCTGACATAGAAGAAATTAAGCTAGAAGATCCTTTGGCTGGTGTTGACAGTAAGGATAAAGAGAATTCTAAACTGAAATCACCAGTCAAAAATAGTAAAACTACTATTGTAGTTAATGATACTAAACGTTTGGTAGAAATCGCGGCTGGTAGTAAATCTGTGAAAGGAGGGAAAAAAGAACCCACCTTAGTTATTATAGACACAAATTCTATACTTTCTGGGCGTGGTGGTGTTCCTGTAAGTAACAGTAAACCTCATCATACTGTCTCCAGTTCTAGCTCTTTTTCGGTAGTTCCAATGGGTATGCCAACACAAACAATGTATCCCAATATGAGAACAACTATTACACCAGTACCCATGACATCAAAAACTGCACAGTTAAGTCCTAAAACGAGCAGTATAACTACAGTACCATCTACAGTACCTCCTATATTACCTACTTTAACTGATGATATGTTTGTGGTAGAGGCACCATCTTTTATAGTACCATATGTGTATGAAAAACCACCTCTAAAACCATTAAAAGATTTTGTCACAAAACTAGAGCTATGTTTAGAGGAGAAAGAGAAAGAAGAGAAGGAAGAAAAGAGCAAACAAAATATAGAAGAAAATAAAGGAGAAGAATGCAACGAAGACTCGTCGGATTCGAGTCAGAAGAATAAGGATAAAGGCGAGGAGAGTGATAATGAAGGAAGTTCTAAAGGGAAGAAAGATGGAGAAGATAGAGGTGACAATTCAGCAGATGTAACTGAACCTGGATTTAGTAATGTAAGTGATAAACACGATGTAAGGCAAGAGGATAGGAATAAAGTACTAACTTACTTTGACCTCCCATTGGGAAAATTTTTCATGCAAATTGGAGTGAATCTTGTTCAAGAATATGTGCAAACTGATCTTTTACGGACTCAAAAGCGTAAACAGGGCAAAGGTAGCACATCAGCTGAAACTCAATTAGCTATAAATTCACTCATCAAGAATTTAGAATTTAGTAAAGAAAATAACGAACCATTCCATTTAGAACTGAAGAAATGTGAATTCTGTAATTTTAAAACAGAGTCAACCTTAGTCATGCAGCATCATTTAGAAACTCCACATATGCGCAACTATGTCTACAAATGTAACTTTTGTCCGATCGAAGTACGTAGTCCTCACGATATCTTATTTCATATGGAAGCGGAACATAATACTCGTGGAAGGTTGGAACGTGGTCCAGCTTTTCATCAGTGCCCTAATTGCCCATTCGAAGATAACCAAAAAGGCAAATTAACTCGGCATATACTTGCTTGTACTAAGAAATTCAGACCAGAAAAGAATTTAGAACCAGCTGCTGATTGGGAACCTCCAGCAAAGATTCCTAGACTAAATCGAGCAAGACCTGGACCAACTAATCCTAACGCACTTGCCATGGCAATGGGTGGTAAAGGACCACAACCGCTTTTACCAAAATTACTACCTGCTCCTATCACGGGTCGTGGAAGAGGACGGCCACCTATGCAACCAAGGTACTCAGATTTGAAAACGTTGCGACCGGGCGGTACGACAATGCGGCAAGGTAAGTGTCCGCTATTTAAAACTGATAATAATAAATCAAATTGAATTAAAGCTCTTCTATAAATATTAACGATTACATTATATTGCATATGTTTTAGATAATGTTGCAGGAATGATGTATCGTCCAACATCTTCTGGTTTATTGGTCCCTACTTCATACCAGTTTGGTAGTAACCAAATATTTCAGGTAAAGATTATTTTCATTTTATATCATTCTTACACAAAGTCATTGAAAGTAAAGTCAAATTGTTCTTTTAATAGAAAAATTATGAATGATTTATGATTAATTTCATGTTATACAAGGTGTTCCATACAAAACAGTTAGTTAATTATTTTCTTTAGCCGTGATAATACGAATAAATATTTCATACATAACTGAAACCATTTTAAAGGATGAGAAAAAGAAAGAAGATTTCTTTTCTTAATGTTATTTTCAAAATCACTAATCTCTATTTTTTATATATGATTACGTATTTTGTTTTCTTACATGTTTTTGCCAGTAATCCTTAGATGACCGCGCCGGGGCCATTGACGGCCCCCTAGCTTCATTATTTCGTTAATAATTCATTGACTTAATTCAGTTAATATTTGCTGTTTTAAGTAATCCTCCCTTTTAATATCTTCAATCCTATGCCGTGATTATGTTTCTAAAGTATTTGGAATTGACTGAAATTAAATAATTTAGGCCTGAGATTGATTTAAAATTCAATGTACTGCGTTATGTGTTTAACAGACTGGTTAGAAGAATCAAAATTATGAATTTTATTTTTATAGGATAAATTAAGTAGTTATGTATATTTTTAGTTATTTATTTATGAAGTACATAAGAATGTACATATTTTTTGCTTTTATAAATATATTTATTGTGAAGTATTTGTAATATTATTTTGTCTAATAAATGATGTCGATTAATTTATCTAACTAATGACCACATTAACATTAATATTGTCAAGAAAACTTTCAGTACATGACTTTTTTGGTGGGATCCATTATAGACCCTATTGTGTAATTCACGTGAAATAAAATCGCGTAATTGATTGACATACGGCCGTTTTAGTAATATGACCCTAAAACATTCTTTCGCGTTGTCACATCTAAAGGAGATAATAGGTGACCTGTTTCGTGTAGGACATCCCGTGTATTAACACAATGTGATGAGATTTTATTAAATTTCATGATACAGTCAAAGGGCAATGATAATCTTACAAAGTCATGCCCCTGTAATAATATATTTTAGTTATAATGTATAGCACACCCATGATATGCATAATACACCTATACTTTTATATTTCCTTGAAGTTACATATGGCAATTAATATTGATATTAATAATGTGTAAGAAACATTACATCACGAATTTAGTTTTCTAAACACTGTGTTCTATTTTCTTTAACAAGAGAATAGTATACTTATGTACTCTGCTTATTATGTAAAATTTAGGTACTCTACTTTTTATTTGTCTATTACACAAGAATACAGCAATTTTGATCTGTACATACAAATCAGCATGTTCTTTTTTTTAAAGATATCAGTGTATGAATAAAAAATACAGGTTCACAAATTCAAGTAAATATAAAATTTAAGAATTAGTAAAAAAATATATGGGTGGTGACAGGTGGTGGGTGGCTCTGGGACTGTCATGTCGGCTGTCTCGGGAGTGAGTAGCAGTAGCGGCGGCAGTTCCGGTCAACCCACACCCATTGCACTTGTACCCAACGTAATCGACTCTCTCTCTAGGTTGTCCTCGTCACAGGTAAATAAATATTGGAAATTACCAGGAAGGTTAAATTGATTTTGTAAAATTTGTGATCGCATGGATGATGTGTTTTCTGCAGGTGTAAAAAGCTTTCATAACCGATTTCTTAAGATTTTCTATAATTAAAGCTACATATAATTGCTTATAGGATTTAACCGTGTTTTTTAAAATTATAGCTACATATCATTAGTGTGCAATGCAACTAGTTTTGCAATTATTGATTTTAGCAATGTTTTTTGTTCTTGTAGTACATTGCATTATGAAAACCTGTCCAATATTATATTAATATAATCTTATTATTTATATATTTTTAAAGAATTGAGTGGTAACTTTTGATAAATGTGAAAAGATTTTCTTTGGAAATATTTAAAACTGTTGTTGTAATGTTAAATAAAGTATAAAGAAATTTGAAAAGAAAAAAACAGGATACTTCTAAAATATATAGTTTGATCGTATAATTTTAGTGTAATGGTATTTGAAATGTAATTCCAATAAAAATAATCTATATATTTCAACGTTTTGTAAAATTGCTGTTAATGAATATTGAGTAGCATATGAAGAGAAATTGTATAAGTACATTTATTGTTTTATTTTACAATATTGAGTACAATAATATATTTTATACAAATAACAGACTGCTGGTGATAAAAGAATTGGAAATTTCAATTTACACTTTATAATTTTTTAGGTAAATACTACTTAACCGTCGGACGGCGGAAAATTCGACGTTAGGGTGCAAGATGGAGCCGGGTCATATTTGATCTATGGTAGAATTCCTTATTTATAATTCCAAGCATAAAGTTTCTCATCAAAATTTTATCTGAATATCTTAAATTACATGCTTGTGAAGTTTAAATATAGAACAGTACGATGCTGTAGCCAAGTATGGAGAAATCGTTGGAAAGATAATGATTGCTAAATTGCTAATAAGAGATACAAGCTATGTTATCATTGAACTAGACAATGGAAGAAAGAAGGGTTTAGATAGAAGTAAGACGCAGTTCCATCAGTGACATAAAACATTTTATCCCAATTATGACATAAAATAGCGTGGGTTAAAATTGACCCAGCTCCGCAAGCGGACGATTAATACATTACCTAATACTTTGTATGAGATAATAATGTTTGACAATTTCGTATACGACTACTATTAAAATAACTAGTATGCTTTATATTTTTCAGAATACAACAACCAGTACGAAAAATCCTACAGCAAAGTTGTTGAGTCAACCAAGTATATCTATAACTCCGCTACCGCGTACAACATCTCAAACCTCTATTCCTGGTTCTGGAACTTCATCAAAGGCGGGCGGGAAAACTACATTTGTTATATGTGAGATCTGCGACGGTTATATTAAGGTAAGATACGTAAAATATACTTTAAAAATATTTTTCATGGTTTAAAAGTTCATACTGTAAACAGTGGCTGACTGTAGGCGAAAAAATGATCTATGCCACTGTTTATGTTTTTTCGGCCAACAGTAGCAAAAACTAAACTCGGCTAGCCAAAATTTAAAATAGTACCACGTTGTATCTGATTTACTATACGAAGTTGAACATTCTTTTTAGGATCTAGAACAACTACGTAATCACATGCAATGGATCCATAAAGTAAAAATACATCCAAAGATGATTTATAATAGACCTCCATTAAACTGCCAAAAATGTCAGTTTCGGTTTTTCACAGATCAGGTATGATTCTATTATTGTTCATGTAATTCCTATTTGCGCAATTTAATAATTTTGTATGTGATCGTTATACTGTTGAATATATGTGTTTCCGTAATGTGCTTTTTCTTTTTAATAGCGTTTGCAAGTTTTAAGAGTATAAAGTACTAACTGAAATGTAATTTTTTGTTTATTTTATTTTTATCATATGTTTTATGTTTTGAATATGTTTGTATAAAATTAGACTATAACAATATTGTATTCATACATCTACAGGGTCTTGAAAGACATTTACTTGGGTCACATGGGTTGGTTACATCCAGTATGCAAGAAGCAGCAAATAAAGGGAAAGATGCTGGTCGCTGTCCCGCTTGTGGCAGGGTGAGTTTATTCTTTTCGAATTATTCAACGTACAAAATTGTATATGTTTGAGATTGAGAGTTATAAAATTAAACAGCATGTTACCTGAGAGTTGTGGATCTTAATTTTTAGGTATATCAATGGAAATTACTAAATCATGTCGCGCGAGATCACGGAATGACACTAAAACCTGCGCATCTATCTTATAAATGTACAGTTTGCACTGCCACGTTTGGAATGTATAAGCAGTTTGAAAACCATGTTTATTCGGCACATAGTGTCGTAGCTAAAAGAGTAATGGATAAGAAGAATACACCTTCATCTCCATCGTCCAGATCCAACGACTCCCTTTTAAAACCACTGAAGATCAATGATGAAATTACGATTATTCCACAACCAGCAAAACCTACAACCAGGTCGGGTGCATCTCAAGGCAGAGGAAAATAGCAATGATCAGCAGAGTGATACATGTGTCTTGTCTTACTGAATTTTACGTAACTTTGTGGTACTCCATACCGGTCATTGTAGTACACAGTGACTTGACGTGCCGTGTACATGTGTATGCATATTATGCTTAAGACGCAATTACAAACACATAAACCTACAACTCTTGGCAAAAACTAGTTGATTGCGTAATAATATTCCATCAATGATTATACCGATATATTTATTTAAGAATTTTTATTGTTGTTATCGGACATACATAAAATAGACTGTAAAATATTAAAGGGTGGCCTTCAGTCTAATTCCTTGGTTAATCCTAGAGCTGCATACTCCTGACCTACACGCCTATGAAACCTATAAATACTAAGTGTATTTACATTTTATGCGACACTCGCAGGTCATATTGCGGATCACTCTTACATAGCAAATTCACTATAATATAAAATTCTTTTTCTAAGACAAATATATTTGAATTAATTCTATTTTGTTATTAACGCTAATACAATTACGTAGGGCAATGAACGATAAATTGTCCTGACTCTACATATTCGATACGTTTACGCATCATGTTGCGAAACAATTTCTGATTGATATACGAAGTAACAAATTGTACTAATTAACCAGAGTGCCCTAGACTGTCCCGCGATATCTGTTGGTGCTCTACCAATAGTTTCGCCTCAAAGTTTTTCTATCATGTACACTTTTTTTTTTAATTTCGCCATCGTATTTTTAAGCGACGAATGTGAAACCTTATAATTCGCTGCTTAATTTGTAAACGTTTCGTAAAGTTGCGTGTATGAAATAAGTTTTAACGTCAAAGACCTTTAAAGTTGTAAATTGTATCTATTGCTATAAGTTGAAATCTTTGGTCACAAGTATTGTAATAAAACATTCAGTTTTATTTTTGCGCTTTTATAAGAACAAAAATGTACATTAACATAGAATATAATATAAACGATTATATCAATAAAATAGGATGGCACACATAATGTGTATACATTTTTTCTGTTAAAACAATAAAATTTGTCATGGAGCATTGAACTTATTAGCACACATCGCGACATATATGCATGTTATGTATGTGTATATATAATATATAACAAAATATTATATATACAAATACATAAAATTATTCTAGTATAGTGATAGCGTGATATAAGAAGAGACAATTACTTATCTTCTTGTATGCACTCTGGATTGATAATAGGCTTATACTGATATGTAGATAGTTGAAAAAAGTAACAGGTTTAATTTAATAATTTCGATTCATTCTTGATAAGTTTTGTACGTTATTGTAGAACATAATTTTAGAGAAAAAAATGCATTAAATGAAGAAAATAACATGGTGCGTTTTTGCACTATATGGCTGTATTATTTCATTCTACCACTTGCCAGACACTGTCATGGCAAGCCATGTTGGTAAAACAGAAAGATTCATAAACGTAATTACAGAAATATATAGTTTACTGTAATAATTTGTACAATATTATATGATTATTAAAATAAAGTGTACCAACATTGTATTACGAGTTGTAATTTATTTCGAATGCTATTTAGATTATAAGAAATCGTCTATAACTTTATCAACAACTGCCAATTTACTTTAAATAAATTATTGATGTTAGCAAAACTCTTTAGAGTCTATGATGAAAATAAATTTGAAAAAAATATTTCACTCTTGAGATACGACAGTAATAAATAAGAATCTATAGAAAGATTTTAAAAACCTTTCCAAACCTTAAAACTTGCGATATTGCTATATCGTTTTCCTAAATTTGAAAATTGCTAGAGGAGTGAACGATCCTCCAGCTTATTGATGCCTTGATGTTTGAAAACGATAGAGCACGTGTTAAAATGAGTCCTTCGCTAAATGCAAAATGAAATTTTTACAGCTTTTGTTTTATTTTCATCGCATGTATCACAGTTTTTTTCAATTACTTCCGATTAACGAGGTGTTAATAAAATAAAATACAATAATTACACTATGTTTCAATAATGATACATTATAATTCTTGACTTAAGCAGTGAGTAAGAAAATGTTTGAAATGTACAGTTTTTTAAAATGCATTTAAAACGACTTACATTAAAAAATTGAACAATTTAATTCCAATGAACCAAATTAATTTAACTAATTTTTAATTTATCATTTAATTCTGTTGTAAGATCATATTCAGAAAAAGTATCATAAAGGTGCTTAAATTTCATACAAAACTGAATTTGATTTCCGGTTTAAATTGCGATCAATTAGTCAATTTACGAAACTTCAGTAAACATTATACGTTTAAATATTTATGTCGAATTTAATGTTACATTTATCGATAGAAACGTTGTAAAACTAAAGTATGTAATTTATTATCGTTATGTTGTAATTTGCTATGCTGTACCTACACGCATACATATTGCGTCTGTAAGAGGAAACGCATTGTGTTCCTTCTGAACGTACTAGAATTTGGCGGTTAAACAGGATTACATTCACACCGATCTACGTCAGTGAAGAAGTCGCTATTGTCAGAGTATTTCACTTTAAAGCTGAGATCGTTGCAACAGACAACAAAGCGATGGATAATGATTTACCTTACTCCGTTGAATATGCGAAAAGTTCGCGTGCTTCGTGCCAAAGTTGTAAAAATTCAATCATGAAAGATACACTAAGGCTCGCCGTTATTGTTCAGGTACGCATTAAGTATACACGAATACGAATGTTCGATAAATTTACAGGTTATTATTAAGACCGGTATTGAACCTATAACTTGTAACAATCTTTATTTAATTAATAGTTAATATTTTCAATACTGCATAATTTATTTGTAATTAACTACATATACGCAGTAGAATGTATATGGAAATTTATGGTATTTAGCGAAATTTATTATTCTCGTAAATTGTTATTTTACTTACCTTCAATTGTAATATTACTATATTGTATAAATGACTCAATTTATCATCAATATTTGTCTTTACGTTTGAATGATAATTTTATTGTTACATGTTTTTAAACTTCCAGAGCCCTGTTCATGATGGGAAGATACCTAAGTGGTACCACCCTGCTTGCTTTTTTCTGAAACAAAGGCCAAAATCTGCTGCAGATATTGCAAATTTTGATAATATACGTTGGGAAGACCAACAAGAAGTCAAGAAGAACATTGGTTTGTTTATTGCAACGTTATAGATAATATTCAATGCTGCACAATGCAATGGCAAGCTTTTACTTAGCACATTTTCTTTTACAGAGGAAGCAAGTAAGCTTCCATTACCTGCTACTGGTAGAGGGAAAAAACGTAACAGTACTGCAAAAAATATTGGTCTTGGAAATGACTTCTTAATTCAATATGCAAAATCTAACAAATCACTTTGCAGAGGGTGTGAAGAGAGGATAGTGAAAGATGAAATAAGAATATCAAAAAAAGATTTTGAAAGTCAGGAAGCCAGAAGATTTGGGGGCATGGACAGATGGTATCACCTTGAGTGTTTTGCAAAACTAAGGGAAGAATTACAATTTTATGAAGGTGGTGATATACTGCCTGGTATAGCAGACCTTTCCAAGGATGATCAGAAAACAGTTAAAAGTACTTTACCAAAAATTAAGTCAGACTCTGCACCACCCATAAAAAAAATTAAGGATGAACCTGAGGATGTGGAAGATGCGAAAAAAATGGAGAAGCAAAACAATGAAATATTTAAAGTTAGAGATATGATCTCTTCAATGAAAAAAGATGATCTCATTGCTCTGTTAAAGAAAAATGAACAGGAAGTTCCAGAAGGTGTATCTGCTATAGTAGATCGTTTGTCTGATGCAATCTGCTTTGGAGCTTTAAAACCATGCCCAAAATGTAGTGGGCAGCTTGTATATAATTCAGGGATTGGATACAAATGTGTAGGAGACTTAACAGAATGGACTAAATGTGAATACATAACTCAAGACCCTAAAAGAAAAAAATTTGAAATATCGTCGGATCTGATCAAGAATTATCCAAATTTGAAATCTTTAAAAATGAAAGTCAAGAAAAGGTTAATAAAGGTGACAGCACCATCAACGTCTAGCCTAATTAAAAAGGAAGATAATGTTGATTCTGGGCCTAAAGTTGAAGCTAAACCAAAACCATTGAAGCATATGCAATTTGTTGTTATTGGTCGTACAGAAAAAGATAAAGATACTTTGAAAAGGAATATTATGCTTTTAGGAGGAGACGTAACTACAAAGATTCACGAAAACTTAACCGCCGTTATATCGACTCAAAATGAAATAGACAAAATGAGTAAGAAGATGGAAGATGCTAAAAGTTTTAATATTCAAGTTATTACCGAAGATTTTGTCGACGAAGCAAAAGACTACACAAAATCTGCTGTTTCGCTCATTAAGAAAAAGACCATTTCAAGCTGGGGCGGTAATTTGTCCGATAGGATTAAGACTGTCGCAGAAAAATCCTCTGCCTCAAAAAGTAAACGTAAAAGTGGCTTTGAAAAGTCAGGATCTGGTACAATGAAACTGACATTAAAAGGTGGTTTAACTGTTGATCCACAAAGTGGCATGGAAAATGATACACACGTATATCAAAGTGGTAACAATAAATATACCGTTACATTGGTACTTTCAGACATACAAACTAAAAAAAATAGCTACTACAAGTTACAGATTTTGAAGCATGATAAACAAAATACGTATTGGTTATTCAGAAGTTGGGGTAGGATAGGAACGACTATTGGCGGTACAAAACTGGAAAAATTAGCATTAGAAGACTGTATAGAAGAATTTGAATCTCTTTACCAAGAAAAAAGCGGGAATGACTGGAATCGCAGAGAACATTTTATTAAAATTCCTAATAAAATGTACCCAGTTGATGTCGATCTTGGGGATGAAGTACCCGCACAATTATTAGAATCTAACATTAAAAGTGATTTGGAACAGCAAGTACAAGATTTGATGAAATTGATTTTTAGTGAAGCAAATATGAAAAAGGTGATGACAGAGTTTGAAATTGATACAGATAAAATGCCCCTTGGAAAATTATCTAAGAAACAAATACAGAAAGCATATGCGGTATTAACGGATTTACAGGATATATTAAAAAATGAAAATGTCGAACGAGTTACTTTGATTGATGCATCTAATAGATTTTATAATTTAATACCTCACAATTTTGGTGTATCCGAATTAAAGATTTTGGATACAACTGAAGAAATCCATGCAAAGTGTGAAATGCTAGATGCATTGCTTGAAATGGAGATTGCATACTCTCTTTTACATAGTAAGACGGACGACACGAAAAATCCACTCGATGCTCATTATGAACAATTGAAAACCGATATCAAAGCATTAGATAAAGAAACTAAGGAATACCAGGCTATTCAGGAGTATGTAAAGAATACTCATGCAGAGACTCACACACAATATGAACTTGAAGTTGAAGATGTATTTGTTGTAAAAAGAAAAGGGGAGGATAGTAGATACAAACCATTCAGGAAATTACAGAATAAAAAATTACTATGGCATGGTTCTAGAACAACGAATTTTGCTGGTATACTTTCTCAGGGATTAAGAATAGCTCCACCAGAAGCTCCTAGTACAGGTTATATGTTTGGTAAAGGTATATATTTCGCAGACATGGTAACGAAATCTGCGAACTATTGTTGTACAAGCAATGAAAATCCTACCGGATTATTGTTACTTTGCGAAGTAGCATTAGGTAACATGTACGAGAGATATGCAGCAGATTATATTGAAAAATTGCCGAACGGCAAACACTCTACGTTTGGTCGCGGACAAACGCAACCCGATCCTAAATCTGTATATAAAACAGAGGATAATGTTGAAATTCCATATGGTCCGCCTGTACGTGCTAAACTACCAAAGAAATCGACTCTATTGTACAATGAATACATTGTATATGATGTTGCTCAGGTAAAGGCACGATACTTGTTAAAACTAAACTTCAAGTACAAAATGTAATATTTCTTCAAGTAAGTTTGATAAGATTATGATATTATAATATTATAATACTGAATCTATTTCATATATTATGCTCAATAAAACTTACCTTCGCATCCTCGATATTTAAATATACTCGCGATACTACCTCCTACATGAATCTCAAGAATATTGATATTGTTCTTATAGATACATGTATTAATTTTTTTTATGTACGTTTTGGAAAATAAATTTATACAAAATATTCGGATGTTTTTATTCGTGTATCCAACTTTAATCAAGATTTTTAGAGGAAGTTTGACAAAATTAAAATAATTTACATTAATTTCTTAATTTATACGTATTTATTTTTGTTAACTTACAACATTAATACTCAAAATGAAAATCGAAATAAGATTGATCAAATGTATTAATACGAACGTAACCATCCTCTCCGCCTGTGGAAATGCTACGACCATTCGGATGGAACGCAAGAGAGTTAATCGGACCAAAATGTCCTTTCAAACGTGCAAATTCTTCTTCAAATACTAAATGGAAAAATCGAGAATCAAATTTTCCTTGACGAGTGGATGTTGTTGTTACATCCATGGCATCTTGACCACCTCCAAGAGCCACCTACAAAAACAATTATAAAATTTGTACTAAAGTTCGTGGCTTCCGGATGCATGCCGGGTCTAGGTTTCAACAATTTCTCGACGTTTCGCAAACGTTACAGTTTGCATCTTCAAGGTTGAAGGCTCTGATCAAATTGCTGAACCTAGATGCGACATCCATCCGGAAGTAATGAACTCGAGCACAGACTCGGACCATGATATATTATACTTTATGAATTTATTTTTACTATTATACACAAAACATACATGATCATATATAGGAGAAATTGTGGCAGAATTCACAGGCCTTTCTGTCTTGTATGTTTTTAATACCACCAATGATTCACTGTCAAACAATTTTGCAGTATTATCTTTTGATGCAGTTACAAACATGGTCCCATCTTTATTGAATTGCATATCATTTATTTGAGATTTGTGACCTTTGACACTTGATAATTGTTTCCTTGTCTATAAATAAATAAAACTTACAGATTATTCGCAAGTACTGTAATAATGATATGTAAAGAAAAATTTATTACTCACTCTCATGTCCCAAAGAGTGATTTCACCATCCTCATGGCCAGTAATAACTGTTTCATCTAATGCACCCCATAAAATAGCAGAGATTCTAGGGCCACCAACTGCAATTCTAGAAATTGCATCATCCTGTGATAAGACTGCATCAACATTTCTGATGTCCATGATGAACATTTCACATGGGTGCCCCAATGCTTTGTCTGTAGAATAAACAGCAAGGTTTGCTGAATAACTGAAGCTACATGTTCTTACTGAACTGTTTGTGTGGAGTAGACCTATTTCTTTTCCTAAATAAAGATTATTACATAAATAAATTTAGTTAAATTTTAATGGAAAAAAAAAAAAATTTAATGAAACTGAAATACAGACCAGTTTGACAATCCCAAACTCTTAGTGAATTATCACCACTACCGGATAAAAATCTTGTTGTGTCCCAATTAACGTCAATACACCACACTGAACCATTATGACCATTGAAAGATCCAAGGCGTTCCCCGTTTAAAGAGTACCAAACATTTGGCTTTTTATCTTTACTCGACGAAAATAGTAAATCACCTTCTCTATTATATTTGATTTTTGTTATGGCACGTTCATGCCCATGTAACATCAAAGGTTTCTATAATGAAATTTATTATTTCACCATTGTATTATATCGTAATATATCGTAAAGTAACGTAAATTTATAGTTTAATAATTATTTTATACAAGTTAACATTCGCGAAACGAAATGTAAAACTTTTAGTTACTTCTACTTAACGAATTGTGACATTTTTAATAGTAATGTCATAGAGGTTACATTGTCACATGTTTTCATGCATTTTACGTTAGACCATAAGTTAAAAGTAATATACGAAACTATCTAGTACTGTAAGAAGAAACTAACCATTTTGTGTTAAAAAATATATAATACTATAAAATGATTAAGGCGTCAACAATCGAGCACTCAACAGTCAAAGGCAATTACAATACTCTTCACTCTCGAACGGTAAAAAGACACGAATGTTTCAATAGGTAGAAAGAAGCGACCATATTATGGTTACCATAACCTATACGCATTCGTGCCAACGTTATATCAGTGAATCTGCGTTCAGTTTAAATAAAAGGAAACAAGAAATTATGTTAAAACGATTAGATATCGATTTAGAAGTGTAACTAAATTTCTAGTTCAAATTTACGTTAATTTAATGTTAACAAAAAGAATGTATTATGTTTCGTATCCTTTATATTTATTGGTAGATATTTTTAGATCGCGGATTGATAAATTTTGTTGTAGTCCAATGCAACGTGCACATTATGACTTTCTTCTGCCAATAACGATGCGTTTTTAACTAGCAATCGATCTTCGCTAGAATTATTTCTACCAAAATTTCCAGAATGAGGATGTTTGTACGAGAGAACTTGAAATAAAACGGAGTAGCACGATTGCAAAATATTAGTGAATTTCTTTAGAGTTTTTTTTTGGGAAAATTGAAGGTCGTCGATGTTTTAGGAAAGTGCAACGAGCAGCCGAATTAAAGTGTCGCATCTTAGTTGCGAAAAATTCAGTCCCGTTCCAAATTCCGGTTGTGTACACGTCATTGGAAAAGGAAACGAAACTGAAACGACATGTCTGAAGTTGTTGGCCAACATGATATTAATCAAAGCTATTGTTTCAAATGGAATGATTATGAAAACCATTTATCTGATGTAGTTAGACAACTCTTGGAGGAAGATTGTATGGTGGATGTTATATTGGCTGCTGCCGGAGAACGTATTCATGCTCATCGTATAGTTCTCTGCGCTTGTAGCACTTTGTTTCGAGTAAAGAACCTTTATATTTTTAAGAGAAAATTTTAAATGCCATGAATCCGAATATACGTTTCGCAATTACTGTTATATGTTCGTAGCCAATACATTAATATAATCAAATTTTGATCCTGTAAAAATTTTACCTGTTTTTAAGTAAGTCGAAAAATTTGATTGTTGTACAATTACATCTTCAATACCATTCTTGTAACGGGTATTAGTAACATCATTAAAAAGCACGTACATTGCATTTCGTAGCAAAGGTAATTCTGCATAATTTGTAACGGATATTAAATTTTTTAATTATAGGAGGTTTTAAGTCAAGTGAACGAGGATCATCCGACAATAATATTGAGTGATATCTCGGCGCAAGATATCAAATCCATTATAGAATTTATTTATTATGGCGAAGTACGAGTTCCAGTCGAGAATATTAGTAGTTTACTGGACGCTGCACGTTCTTTAAAAATTTGCGGTCTTGTTGAGGTTCCCCCTTTTTTCAATACCGAATGAATACATCAAATTTCCTTTTTTAATATTATTTATGTTTGTAGATCGATGGGCTAGACGAGAACGATTCGGTTGTGAGTGCAAAAGATTTCAACGATAATAACGAAGAGCCGATGACTGTAATTGGCGAGACAGAGGAAAATGTCATTAATGCATTGCAGCATGGCTATGAAGATTTAGAGGATCAACAGGAACAGAAACTTTCTGAGAATTCCTCTTTGAATAAAAGAAAGAAACGCAGGCGTGATACAACAAAACGAGATTATAGCGATGATATGTTAGCGTCGGCAATCGACGATTTAAAGTCAGGGCAAACGTTAATAGAAGCTTCGACTAAACACAATATACCACGTTCTACATTGTATATGCGTGCTAAATCATTAGGAATACATTTAAATGCATCTAGAAATGAATATCCAGCAGAGTGTATGAAAGCTGCTATAAATGCTGTACTAGGTTTGAATCTGTTTTGTATTTTAAAACTTGTACCTTTTTGTGTTATTTAGTTCATTTCGTTATTATCGTAGGAGGTTCAAGTTTGCAACACGCGTCAGAAATGTTTAGTATACCAAAAACTGTATTATGGAGAAGAATTCAAAAAGAGGGTTACCACATACTGCGCTCGGAAATGAAACGGTCTTACGGTTCTGACAAACGGGAGGCTGCGGTCAAAGCTTTAGAAAGAGGAGAGAATTTAACGAAAGTTGCACTTGAATTCAAAGTAATATTGTTTAATTAATTCTCGATAGAACAGCAGTTTTTATTTTATTAAAATCTTTTGCGAGTATTGTCAGTAATTATATTTTTAGATTCCAAAGACCACTTTATTTAGGGATAAAGCTCGGTTAGTCGACGAGGGAAAACTGCCATTATCATTTTGGAAGAAACGCAAAACGGAAAATGAAGAGTTAAAAAAATCACGGTTGGAGGAGGCTGTCGCCGCTTGTAAAGGCGGGAAAATGTCGCAAGCGGCAGCATCGATGACTTACCGTATTCCTAAAACAACAATATGGAGACGCCTTCAACAAGACGGCAAAAAGTCAGAACGTTTAACGAATTCGAGAAAGCAACGAATAACGGATTCTAAACACAACATAGATGTTAAAGCCCAAGAAGGATCCGATTTCACGTATTGCGAGGTTTCGTCAGAAATTCCTATAACTTACATAGACGAAAATAGTATACCTGAAGATTCTGTGATAATATTAACGGCAGAAGATATGGATGGATTGAACTTGGAAGAAGGACGACAAATAATTGTTAACTCAGTATGCATTTTTATTTACTTATATTCAGAATTAAGTTGCTGCAAATATGTGTGTTTTATACATACATTTTTTTCAGGAATCAGTAGAAGAATATGTTCCTTGTACAATAAGCATCGAAGAAAATTCGAATTATTCGCAAACCGAAAGTTAGCACATTAGTTCTAATTGTATATCTAAAAGTCATTAATATTCTTTTTGTACATACAACAACACTATACTAATATTGAATGTCAGTAACAATTGTTAATAAAAGGAGTGAAGCAGATCAGTGTCCATGACTAAACATGATCGAGTCTCGCCAGAGGAGAGCATACTATTAATTTTAGATCCGATTAGGCGGTTTTGAGACTATATACGGGCCACTATGATTATACCTTTTGTTTTTTAGTTATTTTGATACATAGGCGTTATTTATAACAAATTTTTTAAATGTTTTATATAAACCTTAAGAAGAATTAAGTTTTATATAAAAAAAACGAATAAACTTTTTCACTATCTGGAAGAGAAAAAAATCATATACATTGCATACCAATTAAATCGCATTAAAAATGTATACCACAAATGTTTTAGAATAATATTATGTAAAATATTACTCATCGATTTAATTTATTTATAAAACATGCTATCAAGATTTCGAGGCATGTTTTTATTTAATAGAGTTAGAAATGTGTAAATCATTCCTTATGTTCATACTGATAAAAAATAAAAATCATAGTCCATATTTTCCATGCATTTACATCCTTTTCCATTAAATTCGTAATTTTTATAATCCCTTATAACTACTCCAAATATAATTCGAATCTAATTAAGTTCTTCAATCATTTCTTTATACATTATTTCATGTAATTAATAAGTTATAAACGATTAATGGAAGCGATTCTTATTTCAATATTGCGCTAAAAAGTGCCGGAAAATAGTGTCGCCATCTAATATCAGGGATTCGTACTGCTAAAATCGTGCCAGGATCACAGAATGTTAGAGGAGGTATCCGGAGTACAGGTTCTCCCGCTCCTGGTACTCCTGTTACGCAGTACCTTGATTATTCACTAATTATTCCTTCCCTGGGATTAAATTATGAACTTTTAGAATCGAAGAATGTAGTGTAGACCCTTGGCTACATTCAAGGATACTTTTTATAACCATTCCGTCCGTAATTAAAACGTTATTAACGAATATCGGAACCTAAGGTGTCGCGTTAAAAGGTTAGAAACAGTGGGCCGACTTCCGATATTCGTTAATAACTATTTAATGAGGCATAGAATGTTTGCAACAGGCATCCTTGAATTTTGTCAGAGGTCTATACTATATTCTTAAACTCTAAAAGTTCATAATTTAATCCCAGGAAAAGAGTTATTAGTAAATTAACGAGCAGCACTTCGTTACAAGCCGAGAAGTACATAGTACACTGCTTTCGCCACTAGTTGGCGCCACGATATAAATAATGGCTTTCAATGAAAGGAGTGGGGGAACCTGTACTCCGGATACCTCCTTTGGCTTTCTGCGACTCGGATAACTTTTTAGTAGTTAGAATCCCCTTTCATAGATGGCGAAACGTGTTTGTAAAATTAACCATGAAGATTGACGGGCAGTGAAAGCGGCAGAGGGGATAATATTTAAGAAAGAGGTCGTAGAAAGGGAGAGATAATAAGGAACGGTATATGGAATACATTGGTGTGTACTGTGTAGGTTATAGGTCCTAGCTGTCCTAGAGATATAGTCCTTTGCACCCATATTAAAAATAACCTGGAATTTTTAGCGCAATGATTAAAATAACTATCGCTTTCAGTAATCATGTATAACTTATCAATTACATGAAATAATGTATAGAGAAATGGTTTATGTGGAGCAGTTATAGGGGATTATAAAACTAGAATTTATAAAAATTAAGAAATTAGCATAGAAAATATGTACGTAATCGTTATTATCGAGAATCGAGAAAGAGCACTTATCCGAGGCAGCAGTATCGATCACGTAAACATTTTGTTTATATTTCCCGCTAATTCTACGAGTTATACGTATTTATTTTATTGCAACAGAATTCAATGAAACGTCGTAGTAAAGCATATATGTGATAATAGAAATAATATTTCTTAGAAACTCAAGAATATCTTTCTCCGTGTTTGGTTCTATTCTTAACAGTGTTACACATTTTCCACATGCGTTACATCAGTTACATCGTTCCCTAGAATTTATTTATTGAAGAGCGAAAAGGATAGGCTCATATTCGCCTCCTTTTCCAAATCTCTGTAGCTACCGTAGGACGGAGCTCACGTGTTACGTGGCTATGTATTAGTGTACGTAAGTGGCGAGGCAGTTCCTCTGGGCACCAGTCTGCCATCTGGTGACAGTGCACTAGTAGGTGATTAAGACTGGGGATATTTATTGGAATGGTGACTGGTGGCTGGTGATGTGTTATGCGGCAATAATAGGAATAGAAACTGCAAAATTTCCTCATATTACTTGATTATTTATAAATAAAAAATATGGCTCATCAGCTATTATTTTCAACTGCTAAATTCGAAAGGTTTATGTTTAAATCCGCGTACAAAAATGTCGACAGAATTCAGGTACAAATGTAATTTAACATAACCTTAGTTCTGGATTATAATATAACCAAATATTTCAAATATTATTCGAAATTCAAGTCTTTGAACTAATTATCTTTTTTATATTTTATTGTCACTATATTTTCTAAAAACTGTTATACATTTCATTTTCAATTATTTATGTATTTTTCACCTGTAATGAAACTGAATCTTCTCATTATAAAGTATGATTAATTATAGATGATATCGAGAGAGCCAATCGTAATAACAAATGTAGAGTAACAAAATTAATTGTGTACCTTGTTTTATCTTTACCTTTTTCCTATCTCTTTTTTATTTATAATTTTTATGTATACTTTTTCATTCTCTTCTCCTTGCTCGATGTGCTTCAATGTGGCAATCTAATTTTGGTTTCTGGCTTCTTTACTTAAGTCATACTCTTTTTCTTACGTATTAATATTCTTGATTTTGCGTTCTTCGACTTTTCCTCTATTAATTCTAATTTATCACTTTATCTATATTCTTTTCCTTCCTTCTTTTTTTTGATAATTTATTTTTTACGTTTTAAGTCATATATTATTCATGCATATTCTACCATTAACTAACAGTGTTTAATAATAAATTAAGTTTAGTCTAGTCGAAAATTTATTTACTTATTTGAAACTATCTCTTATAGTGTATGTATGTTGTAAAATCAATTTTAGTTGAGAAGATATTTGTCATTATTTAAAAATGACTGCGAAACAACCATGTTTGAACAATTACAACGACAGGCGAGGTTATTGTGTAATCAACCACCGAAAGGATTTGAAAAGTTTTTTAAAGGTTGTTGTTTGATTTGTCTTTTACAAAATGTCTAGCAAACCTTGCATCGTAAGATATACTATATTGTTTAATTGCAGGAAGTGGAAAAAATTCTCCCAAAACTACTGAAAAAGTTGAGGAGAAAGTTAAGGAGGGATCAACCAAAGAGGCTGCCGCTAAACCGCAAACAAGTACCACATCTTCTGGTTCTTCAACCAGTCCTAGTGGTAAATCGTCTGGTTTCCAGTGGAATTTCCAATTTAATTTGGGTGGACCAGGAGGAAAAAAACCATTAGAAGGTGCAAAAAATGAGAAAGGAATGATGATGGTGGGCATAGTTTTTATGGCTGCTGTTGCTTTTTATGCACATCTAGTAACAGATGGTCCAATAGAGATCACATGGAGAGATTTTATATCAAAGTAATTGAATATCTTCTTTTTAAATTAGCGGCGTAACTAAAAAAAACTGTTTTGTTAGATTCGATCTTTTAACTAACGTCTATCGCCCGTAGGTGTTTAAGTAAAGGAATCGTGGACAAATTAGAGGTTGTCAACAAACGATGGGTCCGTGTGAAACTATTACCTGGACATTTAGTGAACGAATCTGTAAGTTTTATGACGTAAATCTAAATTCATTTATAAAATATAATTTGTTTTACGTATTTTTTAGAACACATTGTGGTTTAATATCGGAAGTACCGAAACATTCGAAAGAAATTTGGACAATGCACAAGCCGAGTTAAACATAGAACCACACAATTATACACTAGTTGTTTATAAAGATGAAATTGAAATGTCTCAGATCATAAAACTAACGCCACAAATACTAATGTGGGGTGCGTAGCCGTTAGGTTTTTTAAATGTTTTCTCAGATATGCGCATCGATTCTTGCAGGTTCTTATATTAATTTGTTAATTCTAGGTTTCATTTTATACACGTTACGATCATCGATGTCTATGTTTAATTCGAAAGGGAAGAGACTTTTTGGTTCGGTAATGGAATCGACTGCAAAATTAATCAATTCCAAAGATATTGGTGTTCGATTTAAGTGAGTGAACAAGTGAACAAAATTTGCAAACTGTCAGAAACTGTAGACAATTTCCTTTTACTGTGAAATTATTTTTTCCGAGCATGTTTTCAGTTAAAAGTTTCAATTAATCATATTTGAGTAACGTTTGTCATTTTCTTATTACAAAATTACCATATGTACAAATATAGGGATGTTGCTGGTTGCGAGGAAGCGAAAATTGAAATTATGGAGTTTGTAAATTTTTTGAAAAATCCCCAACAATACATAGACCTTGGTGCTAAAATTCCCAAAGGGGCGATGTTGACGGGTAAGTATACATTATAATGATAAATAATTTAAAATTTTTCGATTATTAATGCCATTTTAGGAGAGACACAAATTTTATGATATTTCGACAGGTCCACCTGGTACTGGTAAAACGTTATTAGCTAAGGCCACAGCCGGGGAGGCGAATGTTCCTTTTATCAGCGTGTCGGGTTCAGAATTTTTGGAAATGTTTGTTGGCGTTGGTCCTTCAAGGGTTCGAGATATGTTCGCAATGGCACGGAAGCACGCACCGTGTATATTATTTATTGATGAAATCGATGCTGTAGGAAGGAAAAGAGGTGGTCGTAATTTTGGCGGTCATTCTGAACAAGAAAACACACTCAATCAACTTCTAGTTGAAATGGATGGTATATGATAAAATCAGTTGAAGATAGTATATATAATAACATATAATAACGTTTAAACAAATGACATATATTTTTCTTTTCTCTAGGATTTAATACAACGACCAACGTAGTCGTATTAGCAGCAACTAACAGAATAGATATATTAGATAAAGCATTATTACGTCCTGGAAGGTTCGATAGACAAATATTCGTTTCCGCTCCAGATATTAAAGGACGGGCATCCATTTTTAAAGTGCATTTAGCGCCATTGAAGACTACGGTAGATAAAGATCAATTAGCTAGGAAAATGGCTTCCTTGACACCTGGTTTCACAGGTAGAAAAATTCAATTAATCGGTGAAATTCGTTGAACAATATTGATTGCCAGAATATCATACATCGATCTTTTTAGGAGCTGATATTGCTAATGTGTGCAATGAAGCAGCTTTAATAGCGGCAAGAGACATGAATGATAATATTCTTCTAAAACATTTTGAACAGGCTATTGAAAGGGTTGTCGCCGGTATGGAGAAGAAGACGAATGTTCTACAACCCGACGAGAAAAAAACAGTTGCGTATCACGAGGCTGGCCATGCGGTAGCAGGTTGGTTTTTGGAGCATGCGGATCCACTTTTGAAGGTACGTTTCTCGTCGAACAGTTCGAAGTTCTTTTTATTTTTGTCGCGAGTTTGTAAACTCGGTGGCTTAATTCTTTTTTATCAGCGATTTATCAACCGTTGAAAATCAAACCATAGCGTTTCATTTTGCATCTAACAGGTATCCATAATTCCTCGTGGAAAAGGGTTAGGTTATGCTCAGTATTTACCACGCGAACAATATCTTTATACAAAGGAACAGTTGTTCGATAGAATGTGCATGACGCTCGGCGGACGAGTGTCGGAAGAAATATTTTTCGGTCGCATAACAACAGGAGCGAAAGACGATTTGCAAAAAGTAATGTTTCATGTCTGTTTATTAACACGATTGTCGAATTCACATCTTATTCGTTTCTTAAAATGCCAAAACGATCTCCATTTTATTAGATAACCGATAGCGCGTACGCTCAAGTGATACAGTTCGGTATGAATGAAAAAATTGGAAACGTTAGTTTCCAAATGCCACAGCCGGGAGACATGGCTTTCGATAAACCGTATTCCGAACATACCGCACAGTTAATTGACAGTGAAGTACGTGAATTGATTGAAAGCGCTCATGTACATACCCGCAATTTGCTTTTGAAACACAAGGATGACGTATCTAAGGTAGAAACACGTATCATTCAAACGATTTTCTGTAGCACGGAAATTAGCGACTTACTTTCGCTGTTTGTTTCATTAGGTGGCCGAACGATTATTGAAACAAGAGATTTTAAGTAGAGATGACATGATAGAATTACTTGGCCCCAGACCTTTCCCTGAAAAGTCAACTTACGAAGAATTTGTCGAGGGTACGGGATCGTTCGAGGAGGACACAACCTTGCCAGAAGGTTTGAAAGAATGGAACAAATCGAGAGATTCTAAGGACGAGAACAAAGAGGCAATTCCTTCATCGGAGCCAGCTTCGACTAGTACTCCTAAAGATAAACCTCAACACCGATTATAATTATACAGTTTAGGTTATAGTCTGCTAAGTACTTTGTATTATAGTTTGAAATATATAACTGTAATAAGTAATAATATATGAGTGTGCATTCGATTGCATCGATTGTATATACCATATTCTTATATTTCGTAATCCATGAAGCTATCACGTTCAAAATGCAATCGAGTTTTACGTACTATTTTACAAAATACTTTTTGGGTAATAAAGTGTTTCCATTTTTCAAAGTATGTCTTATTTGTTCGCTGACATCAGTTTTTCATAATGGCGGTATTTAAGTTAACTGAGAAAGTATACGGTTACGTAAGTTTTTAACAATTTTTTCATTCTATATTGCATTTATAAGCATAAGGTATTGCAGGATGCAAGATGTAATGATATAATCAGGTAAACATATACTCTATTATCGTTCTTTTCTAATAAAAATTTAACCAACAAAACGATAGTGATGGGTAAAAGAAATAACATCCATAATTTGTTATTTTTTGCAACGTATAATTAATAAAGTTTACAAATGTAGTGCAATTAAACTGTTTCTTCCTTAAGTATTGTAAGTACATTGATAATTTGTTACGTTACTGCTTCTGTTGTTAATTCTTGGGTTTTCGCTTTTGGCGCAATTTCTGGTGTACTCCATGAAAACATACCGTATGTGTGTTATGTGTGTGTGTAGGGGGGGGGGAGAGGGGAGATAAATCGAATCCTTGCTATTATATTATGTTTCACTCTTCGAACGAAAATTTAAAAAAACCGAAAAACAATACCATTTGCATTCATTGTGCACGAAGGTTCGTACATATTTTTTATGACAAGATTAAAAAAGTTTTAATACGACGAAAGTCTTCTTCTCGATAGGGTTCATGGCTCTAGGAACAAATTTTCGTCCCGGTATAGCGTCTTGAATGCGATCAATTATTTGCAAATGTTTAGTCACATCTGTGATGGATTTTTCTAAATTCTATTATTTTTTGTTTCGTATTTTGATCATTAATACGGTGCAACGTAATTCGTTTATTTTTATAGTCACTATTTCGAGTAAATAATAATTGAAACAGATTCCAAGAGAAATTCTAGATCAATAATTTCCGGGAAGAAAACCTTTAGGAAATCTGTTCAAAAGAGAACAAGATGCGTCCATGAAAATGTAAAATGTAGACCTTCGTCTTTCTTTCTCTCTCTCTCTCTCTCTCTCTTTCTCACTCTCAATACTCATTATATCAGAACATTCATAAACGACTTCAGTAAGTTTCGAGCTCGTTTATACATGGATTTAAGTAAATCAGAGCAATAGATGTGCATGCATCTCAATATATCCACTATCAGTCTTGGGATTTCCATTGAAATTTTATTTATATGACTCGAAACGCCATTGGGAACGAGTTTGAACGTTTAGTCTCGAAAATAAAGTATCGTTTGATCGAGAAGCTCGTTCGCTATTTTACTTTTGTTGTGTCGTTTCGTACAAAAAAAAACATGGAACGGCGAAACAATTCCTACGCGTTTTAGGCGACGTGTTCCGCATTGGAAAATAATAATAATACAAACGTATTAAAGAAATTCATGGGTGCTTACGTTTGTATAAAATTTTAAACAGAAGTATGTATATTTTTCTACTTTGTAACAACTGTTGCAATACAGATTGTGACTTGCATACAAAACTTTAAAAAAGTGAGGTTATACATTCGGCAGAAATAACACGCGCACACACACAATGGCTTAAATTCATTTTGTAACAGCTTGAAATGAAAAGTTTAATAACATATTAACAGTTTCTTTTTTATTAAATGATGCGTTACGATCAAATGCGCGCCAATACAGGGAAAAATCCGTTTACTTTTGTGACATTACAAAACGCGAATAAAAGGTGCCTTTAAGCAGAGTTTCTCAATTCGTCAGCCAAGGTGTACAAAATTGTGTTTGCTTTTCACACGATTGCGGCAGATTTCAACGGATCGCGCAAACATCGCCGCTATATACGTAATGCTATGCAAAATTTGGCAAAGATAACTGCGATATTTATACGCGTGAAACATATTCAGTTTAAGTTAAAGAAGTTTCTAACCTGTAGTCTTCAGCGCTTTGTCAATGTTTCGTCTTGTTTAGAATTGTTTCATCGGAAAGTACTTGAGCGAAATGTCTTCTCGATTGATCTATCGATTGAAAAAGAAAATATTGTTCAACGTATAAACTTCGTATTTATGCAGTTGTTAGTTCTCGAAAACTGTTTTTTCTTATTGTTTGTCAGATTTTCGATGACACATTCGAATTGCGTGGTGCTGTGATTGCAGACGGGCAAGTGAACAAACAATCGAAAATGTGAATCGCAGTTCGATTCAAACGAATCGACGGTATTCTTTTCAATGATATATCGATACGATGTATCGCTTTCTCACTGAAATCATCGAACTGTAACAACGATTTGTAACCAACGATATTCGCGTATCGACAAAAATCATGTTCCGTGCGAAGTATGTTACGTACTCAGGAAAATCGAATATTTCAATAAACGATTTCAATAATTTCAATATTAATTCGCAAATCAAAGCGTAGTTCGGCAAAGGAAAATTCTTCGCCTTGAAGTTAGCCTCAAGTTATTTTCCATATTCGATTGGCCACAGAATCTTCGCCGATACGTGACTTACAAGGATGGCAGAAAAACAATAATGTATTCGAACGGACAATTCCTACACGTGGATGATCTCGCGAAAGCATTGAAAAAGTTTATCGTCGATCCAGCCTTGCACGGTTCGCCTAACCCTTTCCCGACTTTCGTCGCGATAAATCTTTGATCCCAAGACATCGTTTTCTTCTTTTTTTGTGATTTTCTTCTCCGAAATGGCGTGTCATCCCAGCGTTTCTACAAAACTATACGATTTATCAAGTAAATGTTTATACGTTCCGAAATTTTACCATTAAACTTAGCTCGCTAACTCACTAATCAAATATATCATACAATCACTAAATTATTGCTTTGTCGTACCTTGTATCACACTAATCTAAACCCTATTTTTTGTTACCTTACGTTTTTTCTCGTTTCTCCGTATTTTTTTTTCTTTTTTTTTCTTTTTTTTTTATTCTTCTTGCGACAGCCAGGTTTACTGATGATCATGCCTGCTTCCCTTCGGACTTATTTGTGTCACGGATGCGTCTGCGGTGTTTCTTTTTGTATGCATTCGTTCGATTGTTCCGTGTCGTGTACCTGTGTATGTATGCGTGTACGCGTGTGTAACGACTCGATGACGTTATGAAGCACAGGTTTCATATTTATCAACTCTGCATGTGACTTGAGCGAAATCTAAATTATCGTACGGTGGCGAGCTTGGACCACGCTCTAATTAATTTCGTAATTGGATTTCTTAATGGGTAACCTATTTCTTATCCATCGCTTATAAGTTATCCGCTTAATTATGTAACGGATAATTCATTTTTCACGCCCCTTACGTCGCCGCGAATAATTTCGCTACGAACTACGTATTTAGACAGCCTTGAGAGAATGGTGCACACGTTCGATCGATAATAATTACAAAATTATGAACCTGTGTCGTGAGCAATACAGTGTTTCTGTATCATACCATGGTAAAAAGTGGTAATCTTTATAAATGTATTTAAAACGATAGTACGATACCGTTGGAAGGTTTTAAACTAAATATTTCTTGATTTTAGTAAGAAACCTCACGAAAGTAATACATAAATTCACAAGAAGAGGTCGCACCTGTGGTGTTACCGATTTTATCCAAACCTCTTCCGGCGATTCTAGAGCAAAAATAAGGAGACACGTAGCCCAGTTTTTTTGGCAATGCTCATTATTTACAAAAATATTTAATTTTGGAATTTCTGTGCATACAGGGTGCTCGGCCACCTCGGGGTAAAATTTGAATGGGAGATTCTGGAGGCCAAAATAAGACGAAAATCAAGAATACCAATTTGTTAATGGCGGCTTCGTTAAAAAGTTATTAACGTGTTAAAGTTCTGCCCGTACTTAATTTTTTTCTCGAAAATGCGCAAGATTTCGGGGGTATGTCTATTCACCAAAAATGATTGTAATTGACCCCCGTAATCGAAAATAATTTTTCCAAAACGATTTGAAATATTTTTTTTCCGTCGAAAAATTTCACAACTCGAATTTTTTTCTAGAAAGTGCGTAGGATTTCGGGGGTATGCGTAATGACCAAAAATGATTGTAATTGACCCCCGCAACCGAAAATAATTTTTCCAGATCGATTTGAAATTGTCGAATTTAATTGTTAATAACTTTTTAACTTGGTATTTTATTTTGGCCTCTAGAATCCCCCATTAAAATTTTTCCCAGGGGTGGTCGAACACCCTGTATATGTACTTTATCAAGCAATTACAACTCCTTGTTAATCCCATTGAGCAGAGAATATTGAACTGTACTTTTAAACATACATATGCATAAAGTGTGGTTAATTTTTTCAAATACTAAAATAAATTTTTACAAATATTTAACTTTTGGCAAAGACGACCAATTTGAAGATAAATACGGTTGGTTCGGCATTAATGTTATTGAGCGTCGATTTGTTTTGAATAACAAATATTTTGTCTCTTGCGTATTTTCGTTTTTCGTAAAAAATACCGATGCGATCGAACTTGCGCTATCAATCAATCAAAGTCGACAGACGTTATTATAAAGTATCCCATAGCGTCACGCGAGTTTCGAGTTTCGAAATTAATCAGAGGTGATCGTCATCGGTGGGGGGGTGTGTGGGGGGGGGGTAGTTTCTGTGTGGACCATTCGACTAACATACACGTACATATACATATATAATATCTCGGGTGTCTGTCTAATAAGTTAATTAATTACATTTACACGGACAATGTTTGTCGCGTTTTCGTTGTTCTTTTTACCGTGTTCTCAAATATACAGTTAACATTCGGCTTACGTCTCCATCCATCTTTCTCCGCGTCGCTTCACCTTCAACCCTTATTGACAATGCGTTATCACCGCGAAAGCGATAATTATTTATTACATTACATTTATCGCTGCATTAATGGCGCCACGGCACGGGCGTAGTAACGTTTAAGTACTTTGGTCCTCTTTAGAGTCTTTTCTTTTTTTTTTTTTTTTTCTTTGTTTAATACTTAATTATGCGACGAGTCGAAAAGGTAAATCGGTCTCCCGCGATTACGGAAGCGGTAAAGAAATTTCTTTTTACATTTTCTCCGTCTGTGTGTGTGTCTGTGTCTGTGTATGTATGTGTATGTGGCACGCGACTTCGGTTCGCTTATTCTTTGTTTCCAAGTTTAATTTTACAGTCGGGATATATTTTTCATCGAGGTTACGTTTAATCGTGCTCGTGCATCGGGGAGGGATCGGTTTTTTATCTAACAGAAAAAATTCTGTTAAGCGTGGGTTCGTGACGGTAACGAGTACGACGCGATCCGAGGAATTAGACGCGATACAAAAATGCAACGTTTGTCATAGGTTAATCGACAATTACACCGATAACGTAATTGCAATTATAAAGTTTTTCTTAACTAGGGGATGGCTTACGAAAATCTGAAGTGTATATAGGGCATTTACAAAGTAAGGGTCTATTGCAGGCTCAAATTGCATAATTATTAATTCTTTGCTATTCACCGATCATCCGTCATCCGGCTGTTAAATATAAAACCTTATTCACGAATGATAACACACGACTCCAGCTAAAAAGGTTCCACGACCCATTTATGGGTCGCGACCTACAGGTTGAGAAACACTGCTCTATTGCACGCGTACTCGATGAGTGTTTAAAATCGATTTTTTCGAAAACGAGCACCGCTATACGAACAAATTTTGTCCTACATTACGAGCGTCAACAGACACTTAACATTTTTACGTATAAAAAATACATAGCCCTTTAATTTAAGTTACCGTTAACAAAGCCTGTTTCAAAATACCCTGTTTAAAGAGAATATCGTTAACGTTGCGCCAATACTAATACTCTGACCATTTTGTCTCCCAACGTAGGAACAGCGAAGTCTACGAAGGAATCAACGGAGAACCCCCGCTTTCTACCTTGCAACGAATTATTCGAAACATACTACATAGTGATATTTATTATTACTAATTCAAGTCATCGACCAAGGAAGCAAGCGGGGATAGCGACACGTCCCCCGAGCTGATTCTTTCGCCGACCTATATACAGAGTATTTCCAAAATGGCGTCTAAAAATTTACAGGCGCATTCTACATCTCGAATCTAAGAAAAAAATTGTAATAATCTGACACCCTTAACTTTTTGTTCGCAGGGCATAGCCGATACAATACAGGTTCCAGCGCGAACGCAGCCCACCGTAATTGCGCAAGTTACCGCCAGAGGCGCCCAAAATGGCCTCCGTCGCCAACACGGACCTCCATGCTTCTTCTGCACGTTTGAAAAATGTTCGTCGCGTTTCTAATAACGTTGCACGTAATCCTTCGCCGTTTTTCGTTAGCTTCGAACGTGTTATCGACTTTAAACGACCACCGTACCAAATAAAAAACAGAAACAAAACGGCGGAGATTAGAATCAGGCGATCGAGGCGGCCATGCAATTGGTCCACCGTCGACCTCGACATTTCTTATCCGATACGAGCAAACGTGCTAGCATGTCGGTGACTCGAATCGGCATACATCTTGGAAATAAGATGTTTCCAGACTCGCGATTATTAATAGGTTTTCTTTCGGGCTCGGATCGTCGTCGTACGCGCGGAAATGATTATTTGTTCGAGCACGCGGCCAATGAGAACGATCCATCGTCGCGGACAAGAGGCATGATCGTCCAAGGGGCCTGGCTTCAAATCGTTACGCGTGTCTAAAAAATAGTGCGTCGATTCGCCCCCTCAAATTTCATCGTTTACATCGTTATTAATATTAATTACCATCTTTTTTTCCTTTTTTCTTTTCTTTTTTTTTCTGGTTTTGTTTTCATTGTTTGCTTTCGTTCGAGTACACTACGGCGGATCTAATAATTAGTTTGTATTTACGGGTACTCAGTTCTGCGGCTTGCGATATATTACTTCTCTTCGTCGAATCGATTCCGCGCGCTGTTCGGTGTCGCTGTTGCGCGCGACCCCCTTTTTCTCTCCCGCGAATTCTTCTTCATCTTCTTCGCGAGTACGGGAAGCGCCGTGGAAATCGTGTCGGCAAGCCCCGAAGCTGCGATATAATTTCGAGAATACCTTCCACGGCGAAACGGTTCTTCGACGAGCGGCGACTCGATCGTTGGTAAAAATATGAATAAAGTTTCGCAGATCTCCCTGCCGTTAAAAACCATTTTGCCGCGACGCTCGTGAATTTTGAAACAATACCGTGGAGGAATCGAGTCCGATCTTTGATCGTTTCCATCGTGGTCGCCGCAACGACGAAGAACGTTTCGTCCGTGAACGCTATAGCTTCTCTCATTTTGGTTTTATTATTAACTACCGTTACGAGGTTAACTCTAATTATAGATTCAATTGACTGTCGATAATTGTAATACAGTATGAAGACGAGACTGGTAGCTGTGAATATCATTAAGTGTGCGACCGAATTGCAAACAAGTGTCCGATCGTTTCCGGATTTGGTCGGCTCCGGATCTCGCGACATAGGCGTAGGCTCAGCGCGTGTGGTTTTCATTTTTTCCCTTATTGGACATGACTCGGTGGTTCTACCGTATGCTTCGCGGTATATTGCCGCATAGAATCGAAACGAATGCACGAAACGATCTTCGGGGCAACGTTGTTCCCATTTCAACGGGGCTCAGTCAGAACCAGACTCGCTTAACAGATCCAATGAACAAAGAACGATTACGGCTAGGAACTCTACGTACAATCACAAATCATCTTATTGCTCGCGTAATTGTTCTGCGGAAACACATGGAAAAATAATGGAATTTATTTACAGGTCGACGATCACGCGTTTGATACGGTCGTAGAATTGAACGTGTAGCGTTAGGCAAGTCTATTTCTGACTTTCTTCCAGCGACCTACGAGTGAATCGGAATCGTCAACGAAAAAACAGAAAAATCACTTTGACGGCCATTGTCACGCATACGTGATCTCGTCAGTCATCGTCTGTTTCAGTTTTAACTTGCATATTAAATTCACACAAGTTAACCACAGATTTCGTTTCCTTCGAGTTTATAATTCGAAAATACAGTTTGCAACGAAACGAAACTGATAATTGCACGTTTAATTTATGAAAACTTCGTGAGGACCAGTGTACAATGGTTGTTAGATTCCGTGCCACTCGTACGTTGCTCGCATTAAACAAACGAATAGAGACGTTGGGACGTTCGATCGGAGAATAATCCCGGGTAAACAATGGAGCGAGGAAACGGATAGACAATTTGATGCCGGTTACGTTTATACAACTTAAATCACTAAAGCTCTCCGGAGCGTAGATCGCCGCGTAAACTACGTTAACTAATCGATTAAGTACGCACGTAAATTCATTCGTCCCCTCCCTCCCCCTCTCTATCGTACAATCGTTCAAAATGTCTCGGTACCAAAATATCTCTACGTCATTATAAAAACGCGGTTTCGCGCGAAAGCAAGAGAGCAACACGACGACGGAACAAAATACGATTACATCACCGACTATACACGTGGCCCCTGGCTAGGGGGCAACCTAAAGATAAAACGAAGCGTAGCTCGTTGACTAGAGCGTAAAAGTCTCTTTGGTTTCGTTCGCGAGAAACATTCCTCGATTCTCGCACGTTCGGGCATTCCTTTCGTCGCTTCTGCTCGATACGACGAATTATTCGTTCGTATTCCCGCTTCGTCCCGACGATAGGATTCTAAATTAATATCACATTGGGCAATTTGGTGTCTTACGAGCAAGCACGAAGCATTCTAATTCGTCCCTATTCAGTACCTACGTTGCTTGCGTCGCCACAAATGCAACGAATTCTATACTCGGTTCATCGAGAAGATAGAAACGACAAAACGTCAGCCATTCGCGTGATCGGTAGTTGGTCCGCTGTGTGGCATCGCCGATAGCGTAGCTAAAAGGGGGGCGAACAACGAAATAAGAAAGTTCGTTTGATTATTTCAAATAATCTCTAGCCAAGTACGATAATATATCGAATGGAGGGACACTGCCTAATCTAGCTACGCCACTGGCCAACACAAACTCTACGCCTCTGTATATATAAATAATAACTTGTATAAATTCTATTGTATTTGTATCTAGTCGGTGCACAGACCTCTGTTTCACCTCTGTCACCTGGCTTCTTCTATCTTCTTGATCTAGTGTCTGTCGTTGCAGTTGTGGCGCGGACAAGATTTTTGCGTCAATGTCAGGTGATCGACGAGAAGCGTTCAAGAATTCGAAAATAAGATTACTGCACGCTTAAACGCGACACATACGTGTAAATACGATTACGAAAGTGAACTTTGGAACGTTCCAAACGCGTCGTCTCGCGAGCAGGCGAAGATCTCGCGCGCCAAAACTCTTGGTTGCCTGGGAAACGCATCAAAATGGCGCGCATTCTTCCCGCCAAAATATAAGACGTTTATGGTTCGTTTTCATGCGACGCGAGGCCATGAAAATTAAACTAATAATTGAACAACAAACTATGTTAGATTACATGTTATGCAAATAATAGAATAAATAGAAAATGGGGAACAAGTATCAACAGAAGATATCGTGACGTTTGTGATGGGAGTGTTATGATAGCGTGATATTTATGTTTTCGCGATGATAAATGTCATGATATCGAATGTCACGGCATTAGAAGTCGTGGCTTTATGTCACGTGAAAACGGACCTTTGCATAGTTTAATTTGCCCAGAATATATCTCTTTGGCGACGAGAGAAAAACAAGGCTGCGAGTAGGCAAGACAGAACAATTACACCTACGTCAGTTGTGTGAACTTCAGTCGGTGAAGTGTGATAAATTAAAAGTTTTTAAGCGTGGCCTTCTTGGGACTTAATTCATACTGTTTAATAGCACTGAATTCTTAAACACTTTATCTCGAACACCTTGGAACGCGTTAAATAAATCAACTAGCGACTAGACAAAGGCAAACGCAACTATCCAAGCTTGCTCTTATCTACGAAAATATACGAAGGTTGATTGGCCAAACAAATTTAAACCTGCATTTGATAACCACTAGTGTCGAGTCTAAATCGAATAATTCTAAGTTCATTGAATTCACTTTATCTTGGGATCAATTTGATCAATTCCTTTCGTCTCGAGCATACTTTATGGAATTGGAGACTTCAGTTGTCAATCAACCCTCGCACAATTCGTCTTATCGATTAGCAGCGAATTAACGGAATAACTAGATCTACGACTAGGTTCAAGTTCGTCATGAATTAATGGCTCTTCACCGGCGGTACGCTTCGAAAATTATTATTCGAAACGGGGAGCTTCCGACGCGACGACAAATGAAAAAGCGTCGATAAGTTTTATGCGCGAGCCGCAGTTGGTCGCGATCGCGTCCGCGCATTTAACAACGAGAAAATTACAGGAGGATGTTCTATAATTCAGGGGAGCAGAACGAGCCGACCCTTTCGCCACCGAATGGTCATTCCGGCGTTCAACAGGTGGTCCAGTTTACGTGAAATGTTGATGAAAACCTTCAACGTGTGCCCCGTCGCATTGTGCGACGAGGACGCTGATGGAACTTCGAAAAAAAAAAAAAAAAAATAAAAAAAAAATGGACGCTTCCGGAACGTCGAGCCCTAATTCGGATCGAAAACTTTTCTCGAACACGCTCGAGGCCCGCCTCTCCCTTAACCTCGGTCATTTACCCCCGATAAATCGATAGAATCGTTCCTTCGAACGAATTAATCAAGACGTATCAAAATATTGGTCTTCGTTGGATCACGGTTCTTTAATTATACATTTGGAAAGAATAGAAGTTACACCGACCAATTTGAACTTCTATTTTTCTGTCCAGACGGCGTTAAGGGCTTCACGAAAATCGATAATGAAAAATCGCGATTTCACGAGGTCTCGAAAGCGTTAAAAGCTACGTTTTCAAACCGTGTCGCGATAGACAGAGCTTTTCCATCGTTCTCCAATTTTCATTGTTTCCGTCTGCTCACGGAGCCCTTTGACCCGACCTCTTTTCTTCTCGGTCGTTTCGCGTGAATTTTCTTCGAAATTAATTTTACTCGGAAATTGATGGTCCCTCGATAGTATTGTATCGATTCACCGTCCCTCCCGCGCCTCGATCGAGACGGCCCTCGCATTTTATCGAACAGGAGCCTTAATTACGATCGATCGGGAACGAACGACCGTCGTTCGTTTCCCTCGAAGCTCCGCGAGTATCGATTTCGCGGGCAGAGGGACGAAAGGAATGCCGCTCGAGTCGCGTCGGTTCGAGCGCGATCGATGCGAAGAAACTCGCGTCGTCTTAGTTTCGATATATCGCTGCGCGTGATCGATACCCCGAACGCGCCTTCTTCGACCACGGTAATAACATCCACCCTTCGACGGGTGATCCATTGGCGTCGCGCGAGGAACCAACCGGAAATTTAAACCGTGTTTGCGCGTTGGTTCGACGTCCACTGATCAACAGGGCGCTTCCGGTTTTAACGGACCAATGGAACGACAAACGAAACAAGAGCAAAGTTTATATAAACGTACATCAGAAATAAAAAGATTATCTTAACGTGAGTAAACGTAGACAAACGAACACTCAGTGACAATAATAAAATGAAGAAATGCAGATGCAATTGTTCCACAAAGAACACGAATAGATTGTTGTATGTTGGTGTAACTGGTTATAAATCGAATAAAATTTTGCTCGTCTCTATATTCGAGTCCGTTAAAACTGGAAACTCCTCCTGTACAACAAATCTTGTACCGTCCAGCGCGAATTGTATTTTCAGTCGCGGTTTGAACCGTTGCTGGAAAAGATTCGTGATCGCTTACCCGGATGTCGTCTGTCGGCGCACGATGACGTTTTTGGCGGGAAGGATCGGCCATGGCGTCAACAATGACGGCGAGAACGGTACGTGGCGAAAGTTCCCATAGTCATCGGGACAATTTCGCTTCCTAATTTCAAGGTCCTCGATCGAATCTTCGAGCACAAATTGCGAGGATTCCCAAGTCGATTCACGTCGAACGAAGGGAAAGTGGAAAAGTAGGATGGAACTCGCCGTCACCGTTGAAGCTATCGAATTCCGACCGTTTCAGACCTGAATCGATCTCCATTGTCGTATACGATGGAACCAACGACTCGAAAATGTTCGTTCCCCACTTCCTCGCCGACGCGCGATATGAGCTTGTGCAGCGTGTTGCAGTACCTCGATGAAATCTGACGATATAGTCTTTTGGTTGGAGCGTCGCTGGCTGAAAAAGATAAGTTTGAACCGCTGGTTAGTGTCGAAATCACAAAACACAAGCACTTTATTACTCTCGTGGCGGAGTTTTGCTGGTAGGAAGGCAGAAAAGAAAAGGAGATATTGGGTAGTTGGTCGAGAAGTGTATAACGGAGGGACTAGTCAAGCGCTTGCGAGAGAGTTAAGAGCGTAGCCCTCTAGTGGCGAGTACGGGACTCAAGCTTTCGGAATCGAACTTCATAAGTTACTCAAGGAACTCAGCTCTCAGTGTCTCGAATAAGAAAATTCTGACTACTCAAAACATAATGTGCAAAGAGTAATTCGATTCAGCAAGTTTACCTGACGATCAGCGACCGCGCGATCTACGCGCGTCCCTCCAGAACACGAAGCCTTAGAGCAGCGTTTCGACGTCGTTGCTGCACTCGTCGCTCTCCCTCTGGCAGGAGGACTCGAGGTGCTTGTTCAGGTATGACTTCAGGGCGAACGACTTGCGACACTTGTGGCACTCGTAGTTCTTGTCGGAGGAGTGGGTCTGCATGTGCGCGCGTAGATTCGACCGATCGGCGAACGCCTTGCCGCAATGCGCGCAACCGTACGGCTTCTCGCCGGTGTGACTTCTCAGGTGACCTTGCAACAGCCAAGGTCGCGAGAACATCTTGCCGCAGACACCGCAACTGTGCGTCAACTTGTGCGTTAGCACGTGCATAGCCAGCGCTGGCATGCTGACGTACGCCTTCCCACAGTGGATGCATTTCTTCGCCGATTGAGAGTCGATGCTGCGATGGGTCTGTTTGTGCCGCGACAGGTTCGACGACGTGGCGTATTGCTTGCCTGAAACGGAGAACAGTTTTCCCGTCATTCTGCACGCGAGGCCTCGTTTCCACGAGACGGGGCTTCGTTTTACCAACGGTATTTGCTCCTTACGATAACGCCGTTACAGTAAATCCCGCTTTCAAGTGACGATAACAGAAGCTTTCAAGATTTGAAAGCGGGCTTGAACTAATAAGGAACCCAACTGTAACAAACCGAGTTTTAAGAAACTTTGCACACAGGTAAAGTTTGCCAAGATTGCATTAGATACCGTGTTCGTTTTAGCGAGTTTTACGTTTATCAAGTGTCTGACTTGTTACGAGCCACAATTAATTCTCATTGTTGGTTCGATAACTAGTGGGGTCTGGACGGTTACGGTATAATCTCCTTCGTAGAGGCTCAAGTATCCAGCGCCTACAGTGAGTAGATTATGACCGCATCCAATGGCGTCATCTCCCGTACTCGCCACCAGAGGGGCCTACTGACTATGGGATATTGGCTAGTATATAGGAATGGAGCTAAGATCGTAGCCCTTTGCTGGCTAGTACAGGAGGTAAGCCATATCGTAATTCGCACTTCTACTAATAGTAGCCACGACAACTATCGTTTGTTCCATCGTACATCTATTGGATCTTCGAATCTCTAGAACGTACCGCACTCGCAGCAGACGTAACGTCCAATCTTGGACGTCTCGGGCGCCTCGACAGGTTCAGCTTCCGGGATCTTCTGGCTGGGCGTGGCCTTTTTGTTCTTCGACCTGCCATCGGCCACCAGCAGAGTGTCGTACGTGTATATCGCCAGCTTGGCCTCCGACTGCTCGGTGACAGTCTGCACCTCTTTGTCCTTCTGGCTGGGCTGCGAGTTGGGATTGTTGTTCTCTATGTCGCTGCTGCACTCGGACGTAGGCGGCGTTAGTGGCGGCGCCGCCTCGATGGCCTGGTGCTGTTGTTGCTGCTGATGGGGCGGCGGTTGAAGCGGTTGCTGGGCGACGATCGGCGTGCACGGGATGGACGGTGTGCTGTAGGTCAGTAGGATCTCCTGGATCGGCGACAGAGGGATGAAAACGCTTCCCGTTTGTTGCACTATCGTCGTGCTCGGCTCGTAGATGATGCTGGCGGTGGGCGGCTGCTGCTGCTGATGATGGGTGTAGACGGCGGAGTTTGCGAGGTCGATGGTGTTCACTTGGTAGATCGGTTGGTCCGGTTGGTACACCGTCATCTCTTGGATGTCGGTCGCTGGGCTCTCTATGACGCTTTGGGGTCCGATGGCGACGCTGGGCGGTGGCAACGGCGGCAACGACCTCGAGAGCTCCAGCAGATCGTGTGCAGCTTCCGTTTCCGCCGCGGAACGGTCCTTGAACATCGAGGACACGTGACTGGTGATCACGTTGCCGCCGGATCCTATTCTGGCGTCAGGCGTCGGATGGTTCGCGGTGTCCTCCAGGTGGTACGGCGTGGCGGTGCTCGACGGAGGCGACGGTTCCCCCGGTGGCGAGTGGTGGTGGATCGAGATCGTCGTTGGCTGCTCCACGGCTGTTCTGGACGGTGACCTGGGTGTCGTAAAGAGTAACGTGGACGTGGTCGTTGTTGCGTCCTCTACGGTTGAGCTGATCGACTCCGTGGGCGGCGTGATCGTCGAGGAGGATCCCGTTGTGCAGGCGATCACCGCTGTCACCTCCATCCGCGCTGACGCCGGAAGCTCCGTCGTCGCGTTGCTCGTTGACGATGGGCTCGCGTCGACATCGCCCGGCTCGTTTGTCCTCTCCTTCGACGCGTTCCGTTTGGCTGTCTTTGTTCCCGTCGCTGTCGTATCCTGAGTCTGCGTGCTCAGGTATTCTGTGACATAAAAACAATTACTGTATCATTATTCTTAATTACTTAAAACAACTAAAACAAATGATCTAACGAAATCAGCGGAGGAAGAAAGGAGACTTTGCTGAGAGTTTCATCTGCTCACGACAATACATTTATCAAAATTACTGGAAGGCTCACTCTAAGTCTGTTATAGTTGTAAAGGAAATATAAATACAAAAAGAATTATACTTTTTACAGTGATCATCACAGTAGGGAGGTATAAATTTGGTTTAAGGGGTTGAGTAGGAGGTACGCGTCCTGAGAATGAAAGTAAGGTTACAGTCAGTCTGTGACGTCACCTCTCGTATTCGCCACCAGAGGGCTATGCTCTTAACTTTCTCGCAAGCGCTTGACCGACCCCTCCGTTCCTATACACTATATACGATCCTACACGAGCAAAAGCGCGCCACAAGTCCCCGTAGCTCGACATATTTCGCATTTGTTCGCAAAGAGACGAACTCGTTTTCTCTAAAATGGGCCCGTGTCTCACGCTCGGGAAGCCCGGAGAAGGCACCCGTTAACCGTAACTCCGCGGAAGAAGCGGCGGCATCGATCCCCGGGTCCTCCTTTATGCGCAGCAATTAAACTTTCCGTGCATCGGGCAGAGGCGAGGAGCCCCTTCGATGGAAAATGAGAAGCCCCGGCGGTGAAATTTAATAAACCCGCCGGGTGGGGGAGGTTAGGGGAATTTCGTTTGTAATGGAAAAACTTTATCTCGAGCGGCGCACGGGGTACGTCTGTTTCCGTTCGGAAAGAGGGGCAGAAGGAGGTAAACAGAGAAAAGAAACGGAGTCGTCGAAGCGGGATAAAAAAAAAAGTGAAAAAGAAGACGAGGAAGAAAAAAATTCGTTGTCTCTCCGTTCGCCTCCGCTCTGTCGTTTCTTTTTTTATCTCCTTTCCCGTTCATGGCAATATTAACGGGACACCGGAGAAGCGCGTAACTCGATTTCTTGATTTGACTTTTTAATCGGGACTTAACGAGCGACGATGAAAAAGTGGGAGGAGCATCCATCCGAGTCCCGTTATCGGCGTGCCAAGCGTGGAGCGTCGAACTACGTCGGAGAAGCGTCACGACGGTGGAGAGGGGGGGATTGTAAAGAAGGGTGGGAGGAGGTTGGGGCAACGGGGCCGGGATTATGACGGCAAGTATGTTGGAAACGAGGTCAAAGGGGATGAGTGGATGGCTAAGGAGAGTCTACGAACGAGCGGATATAAAATCTCGCGATAACTCGGTTATGAAACTGCGCGTTTCGTTTCAACGGCGGCCGGCTTCCGTGCGGGGAACCGGCTAGGCGTACCAACCCTTCGAAATCGTTCCCGAGTCGCTGTTGCTCTCCGTGTCTGCCCCCCCCGTCCCGCGTCAATCGCGCGGCACGAAACTTTCCCCGATTAAAGTCGAATTTACACCCCCTCGTCTGCGACGATCATCCACTGTGACAAGTAGAAACGTTGCTTTTCAGCCAAAGCGAGCATAGAACCTCGCTAGAAGTAAAAGAATCATGCCTCTTGCAACTGCTTAGCTACACAGTTGAAGAAAATGCCTCCAGGCTCTCATTTGCAAACAGAAATCACATCGTCAATTCTGCAACTATTCTTCTACCCAACAAGAAGGAATTGCAAATGTCTTGATTTGCATATTCTTTAAGAATAAAATTCGTTTTAGTATGATCTTCGTTTTTATGATCCCACTTTGGCCTACAAATGGAGATAATTGTCAAAGGACAAGGTACACGAAGGAACGACTGTTGTCGACAAGAAAGTGTCGTGCAATTTCACGGTGACGCCTAGGTGTTTATTCGCATTCGATTGTCCCGGTTTCGCGGCGAGCGATGCAAGCGTGCGCAGGCATTGTAACGAGTCTTAAGTACGGTCGTTGCAGCTCCATTAACGTCTCCAGCAAGTTTCGCATGACACTTTCTCATTCACTCGATTATGAACACGAAGCATAAACCCGAGGCTCGCAAAACGGGGCCGGCGTCGTTGAAGTGGGAACTGCCACCGGGAACGACGATTCAGACAATTAATGCAGTTTTGCTACGAGGAGCAACACATTACCGCGAAATTACACCTCGAAACTGCCACCGCGACGAATAACGTCTTCCCCGTTTAACGTTCCTCTCTTTTTCGAACGCCTTCGCGTTTTCTGCGGAATCAAACAGGTAAGAAGACTGCCGCCGTCGCTCATTAGGACCGGGAATTCTAAGAAAAGGCGTTCCCATTCATTTCGTTTGCTATCTCGCGGTCTGCAATCGCTCGATCCGTAAACTCTAATGAAAATGAAGTCAGGAATCTATTGTTAAAAATTTTATTTAATAATAATTCTGAGTCTCCTTGTTTATAGTGAAGATGTTAAGGAATCAAAGTTTTACATGTTTCAATGTAACATATTAAATGTAGGTGTATAGATGTTATTTTAAAGAATCAGAAAATATGCAAAAATGGCAACTAATTAGTATTTTGAGTATTCTTGTTACACAGGCCACAATTCCGTACAAACATCAATTATTTCATCTCCGACTAGTATTTAAACAAATATACTGTGCAGAGACTCGATAAAAATCCCATTCTAGTGTTATGAAATGTAGCCGTAGTATATGAACCATTCATTCGGTAAAGACCGACAGTGATTTAATGAAAAATCTGTTGAAACGAGATCGACCAGTATGTTGAATACTATTCGTACCATACAGACCAGAAATTCGAAAATAATTCCACTTAAATGCGATTAACCTGTGTTCTGAAAAGTAATTATACTGTGCAAACCGGAGATTTGTGATAAATTCGACGTTATTAAAAATACGTTTATTTCGTTCTTCGTGTGGGATCGATTCACGCGGATACGGGATTCCGTAAATATTTTTGGCAGCGTCAACAAACAGTCGGTCGATAAACGTGTCTCAATTTTCGCCAGGGCGCTTTCGCATGCAGAAATTTTTCTTCCCTGCGACGAAACACTTGCCTGTGTGCCGTACCAACACGAGACGCACGATATATGGCTAGAGGGTGAATCAATACCGCGGGCCTTTGGAACAAACAGCAACATTCACATTAATTGGACGTAATAGCCGCAGCCAAAATATTGATTACCATTTTCCTTTCCGCGTTTTCGATGACGGATGAACCGGCCCGTGGCTGTCGACCTGATTTTGTTTCAGATTTCCTCGCACGAGATATTACTGCTCGTAATTTTACACGCGCATCGACGCGAATGACGTTCATCGAAAAAAAAACGAGAGACAATTTTTCCCATCCGTGTTAATATTTTAAAAAGTCCGTTAACAAGAACGAGTCTTCGCAGACAATTTTGATTAATCTCGATTGTTATGTTTTCAGAACAATTGAATTAATTCTTCACGTTTACCACGTACGTACAAAGAACCAGATTTACGAATATAAAAACAAATGGAAGAAGAAATATAAAGGCGCGCGAGAGGCGAGGCGTAGGTAAATTGCTGTTATTAAAACTTAAAGTACGCTCTCTAAGGGTTGAGAAAGGAGAAAACTTTACATCGCGACAACTAATACATGAAAATGATCGCGGTCGCCAGAAGTTAACTTTGAACGTGTAAAAATACTGTAAAAGGAAAGTGGCGTAATTACGTTTCCGTCGTTTTGTCGGCCCTCTTCGTAACGTTTAATTTAAAAGCTCGCGGTCGAATGCAAAAATTAGAATTCTTTCTTAATGTGCACGGAACAATGCCAATGCCATGTCGAGGTAAATAATTGCCACGTGTACCGACAGATTCTTGAGTAATTTAGCACTTACCGGTGTACTGTGTCACATAATTAGCGTGGAAGTTCTCAATTTTGTTAAAAAAATATCGATACTAGCAGTTGAGTCATAATCGACTTTGTTTCAATAAGATATACAAGATTATTTAATTGGATGATCGATTAATTATTTAGAGACAAGTAATTCTGTTATTATTTTCCAGGAAAAAATAATTGTTGAAATCCAAACAAAAAAAAATGAATTTTTACTTGAATCAATTATGCATTTAAAAACCCACGGTGTCCGCGTAGAGTTAATATTAAAATATACACGCACGACTATTTACATAAAATGTTCAATATTCAATTTTTTGGTTTACATATCACGTTTGAGTATTTAATTTTACATAACGCGTCGCGATTTAAACAAATACAAGAAAATTTCAGTTTATTTGCTCTTTTTTTTTCTTTTCTAGATCAGACGAAGTCAACTGTTTTAGAGATACAGTTTTCCTTAGTCATACGAGACACCCTGAATATAAATTTTGATTTATTCGCTATTCACGAATCACACTAGTTTACTCGTTACTCGTGAATTACAGCTAAATCTCGATATTTTAATAATTTTCTTTCTACGTAGAAATTGGAGATTATAACAGTAGAACCACCGACAATTATGGTGTATTCGGGGGTCTTGCGCCTCAAACGTGCGTAGGAAGAGGGGTCCACCATCGCGATTTCGATTATTATGAAGATAGAAATCGAGAAGGAATGTTTTTTACGTTTACGTTTTATGTTCTTTTTTATATTCTTTATGTGAAATAGTGTTAGTAATATTAAATAATATAGTTTATATAGTCACGTTTATTGTCCAAGTATTTGAATCCGTCTACACGTCTCTGACCACCCTTGACAATCCTTACAAAATGTTTTGGTAAATTTTCAAAAATCGAGTAAATTATTTATAATTCGTATTAGAAATTATAAATGGGTCGTCCTGGTAAGGACAATGCCAAGACAGATACTCGTCGAGGGCGTCGTCGAGGGTCCCGAATCACGAGGCGTCAGAGATCGTCCCTCAGTCGCAGGGACGTTCAATTATCGTTCCTGGGGGTTCACCAGTCGGACTTATAATCGCGAGCAAGGGAAGGGCTAATAGGACCGGGTCGTACCTTGAGCAACAGGGGGTGCAACGCTCCCTTCTATGGGCGAGACCGGGATCTGCATGATGGTCGGCGATGGCGTGCTCCTGCTGCGACCCCAGCTCTCGAATCCTCTGGCAACGCTGCTTATGTACTTGTTGCACAGGGCCTTCTTCACCATGTAGCACCGCGGCATCTTGGCTGTCTGTTTTCGGCTGTCTCGTCGGCGAAAGCTGAATAGGAACGAGGATCTAGCCCCGGTTCAGTGTCTCGGTGTACGAATCCTCGGAGCACCTCTTCGCGGCCGGAGGTGTTTACGAATCACCGGGTGGCGCATCAGTCTCTCTTAGCCACCGCGGTGCTCCGTAGCTCCTCTTCGTGAATTATTTATCCGTTTCACCGACCGACAAAGCGAATATTCCGGGAGAAAGACACCTTAAAGGCGAAGGAGCTTCGTCGTGGCTTCGGTCGCGCGTTCGTGGGACACCTGGTAGACACGCCGACGGTTTCTCCAGCGATCGTCGTTTGTCACTCGATCGTTCGATCCCGTGCGTCGAGAAAATGTCGTTATGGCGGTCCCCGGCGGAGGCAACCGGGCTCGCGACGCGTCCCTCGATCCACCGATCGACCTTTCAACCGATCCGGTCGGCGTGCTGCTTCGCGTGCCGCATTCTCGTTCCTCCTCCGGGCGAGCACCTTCCTCGAGCGTCCTTTCGTGTGCTGGTCGATCGCGTTTGAACAGTCTGTGCGTCGTTTGCTCCTGTCCCGTCGCTCAGCAGCGTTTCGTCGCCTCTCTCGGGCGGTCCCGTAATCGGATATCAGTCCTTCGTCGCCGGGGAACGACGCTTCCGGTCTCGCGTGCCGGTCAGATCGGCCGAAAACGCACGGATCGTAGGTAACCGCGACGTGTTTCGCGGACGTCGCTGGCTTTAAATCTAGATGTCGTTGCACGATCGTACGTGTATATATAGATAGATCTGCGTGTACGCGTCCCTCTCGGTGTATATGTACAGGTATATATGTAGACGCGTGTATAGGTTCTCTATTAAAATATCTTTCGGCGAAGCGAGTCCAACCCCGAGTTCCGGGTGCCCCGGAAATCGGTAGCTCGCGATAGCTGAAGCTCGTGAACGAAAGCGAGGGTTGGTTCCAAAAGGGGGGGGGTGAAGATCGTTCGGGGGGGAGTTCCGGGATGCGAACTGGGTGCAGCTTGCCTTGAACTAATTCTTTTTTTTTTCTTTATTTTACTTTATTTATTTTTTTTTTTTCTTCGTCGCTTTTACCTTGTTTGTAATATTGCTTTCGTTGTATTCACGGGTGGAAGATTACGTCATTACTGTACGACGCTACACGTGCACGGTGTGTGCGCGCGCGATACACCTGTCACGGTGTCGAACCTCCCTCGATCATCTACTTCTGTTTCCTTGCCGCGATAATCCCTTTGTACGACGGCAGAAGCTTCCTTATCCTAATCGTTCAGTTTCTTCTACGATTACATCGTTACTTATATATTCGTTCTCTCGTTCTTTCATCGCACGTTCCACTGAAAAACTTCCGTTCGAAGATACACGGTTTTCACAGCGCTGTGGCGATCCTCATCCTTTGGGTTCGCGTGTACACGTCTCGGTATCGCACGCGATAAGTCTCTGTCGTGGATCGAGTCTCGTTTCTACTCGCCCGGCTGGTCCGAGCAGCGTTCCACTCCGCCAGCGACGCCGTCGTCCGGTACCGTGGTCGTCGGGCGTGTCCGTTTTCGCGACGGTGCCCTCATCGCGGCGATTTATCAACGTAATATCGACGGACACTGATCGGACACTTGTTGAAGCGACGATGCGGTTAATCGCGGATCCTCCTTCTGGCCCTCGAAGCTTCCTCGGGTCCGTTTCCGCCAAGGTCCAGCTTCGACTCAGAGCCGGGTAACGGGATTTCGATGGTAGAACTGCCAGTGTTTACGGGCATTTCGTCTCATCGAGGTCGCAGGTCGAACCCGAAACCGAATCCGGCCACGACGAGACCCGGGTCGTTGGTCCTTCCTTCTTTTTCGAAAACTCGTCGTCTGTCGTCGAGGTGGGCGGGTGTGCCTTTTGCAGGGACGAGCAACAAGTTGGACAACAGGTCCGCGATGTTTGTGTATCCGTACGTGTGCGCTGTCGCCTTACGCGCGCAGTCGATAACTCCCTCCGGTAAGTCGACGAACCCCCCCTCCTCCCGCCGGCGTATTTCACGAGCCAGGTTCCTCCCGCTTCTTCGCCCTTTTTCGGGTAACCGAAAGGCCAGAGCAGGGTGGCAGGACCGCGCGAAGCTACAACTCTGCCCTCGTGCGGCTGTTCCTCAGGCTCCGCGATCCAACCCTCGCGAGATCCGCGGTGCTCCGCGGACGCGTACGGTTTCAGTCTTTCTCCTTCTCTCCTGCTTGGCGGTTCCTCCCTTCGTTCGTGGTGCCGCCGTGTCTCGCGGTTTACGCGTGAAATCGAACGCCGAGCGGAGGAAAAGCGGCGGCGGGCGGCCGTCGAACGAAGCTCACGCGACACCGACGCGCACGAAGCGTAACCACGACGACGGCTGGCGACCAACCGCGTAACCGTGTATCGTCGCGACGTGGACGACGTGGCACGTACGTCCGGGACACGAACGGGCTGGCGGCGGTCGGACGACGAGACGCGGTCGGCGTCTACGCGGACGAAGATCGAAAATGAAGATGTACCACCTGTGGGCGCAGAAGCAACAATTGTCCGCCGTGTATCGCGGTGGAGGGTAGCCCGACTACATGGCTCGTACCGGGTGTGGCTGGGGTGCAACTGCCAATGCAGCGTCGTCGGCCAGCGTCGCCCAGCGTCCTGGGCGCCTGCGTCCTTTCCTCCTCCGCTTCGTGCAGCTCCTTCACCCTCCCCCGCGGCGGACTGCGCGGCGTTGCCCTCTCTTTTCTCTCCTCTTTTCACCCTCTACCGTTGTTCCCGTCTCTCTCGCCCGACCACGGTCTCGCGTGTTTCTCCTCCCGCCCCGACGTTTCTCCGTTTCGCTTTTGCTCCGTTCCACCTCCGGGCCCGCCGTCAGCCCGGCTCCCTTTCCCGTATCGAGGGGTTGGAAACGACCGGAGGAACGAGGAAGCCGAGCAAGAGGGTGGCGGTGAATCGGCAGGGGAAACCCCTCGCCGCGACGCCGATGTGGCTCTTGCCCATCGATTTTGTACGAGTTCGGGGCCGGAGCAACACCTGTTACCGCGCCGGATGGAAACGAGTCGGAGAGCACGGGGCTAGAAGGAGAAACGGAGAAGGAACGATAGGGGGAAGGGAGATTGCGACTGGAGAACGAGGGTGGACGGAGAAAGATGTACGAGGGTGGTTGAGAGGCTTCTGGCGGGACAGAGAGGTGAACTGGATGGACGAAGGGTGACGACGCGATCGAGAGAGACGGGTTTACGCGAAACGACGACGAAGACGCGGGACAGAGTCGATCGAACGAGAACGGGGATAGGTGGCCAAGGGTGGCGAAGCAGGATGAACGAAACAGTAGGTGAGAACGAGGGAACGGGAAGGGGTGCACGCAGAAGAGGGCGAGCGAAGTGAGAGAGAAAGGCGAGCGTCGGTGGCGAGCAAATAGCGACGTCGAGGAAACGCCGACGCCAATCGATAGCGCCGACCCCGGCGTCGTGCCGCGTTCGCTGGCAGGGTTCTGCGATAGCGCATCGCTCATGTTGCCTTTTCTCTCCCTGTGCAAAGCCCCGTCCTTCTCTTTCCCGCGTTTCTGTTGCCGATCCACCCCCGTCAGCCTTCCCCGTCTCTCTTTCCGGGCTTCTTCGTTTCTGCCTTCGATTCCACCCTCTTTCTTCCCCGTTTCGCTGTTCTGCCCTTAGCACGCGTATTCAACCACCCCCTCCCCATACCGTCGCTTCTTGCAGGTGTCCCCCATGCTCTCGAGGGCCTCTCTGTCTCCTGGCTTCGAATCTCCGTTTCGTCTGCCCTCTTTGTCCACGTGTTTGCGTGGGAGCGAGAGGAATCGGTCCTCGTCCGTTCCTCGCTGGCGATGGTTTGTACGCGCACCTTATAATCTCGACGCTTATTCTCGGACGTCGTCCAACCGCTCGTATCGTCTGCGTCGCATCGTTCACCTTTTTTCTCTCCTCGACCCCATCCCTCCTTCGTGCTCTTTCTCGTCCTTCGCGTCGTCCTTAGCGGGGAGGATGATCGCGAGGGTGTGCAGCTTCTTATCGCCGAGGCCCGTTTGAAAATCTTCCTCGAGACTAGCTTCTTTCGGGCTAAAAAATTTCCGACGAGAATTGGACGAACAGGGGTGGCTGCTTTCAACCCCTCTGCGTTTGAAAAAATCTCTCCGACGAATCCGTCAAAGCACACTTTGCCTCTGACCCGATTAGTCGAACGTTTCTTGTTCGCGAAACTTTATAGTTAATTGTGATACAGGGACTTAGACCGGTATTATTTATTTATTCAATAAAGAACAAGTTCCCTTAGTGTACAAAAGTAGTAGAATATGGAATTAGGTAATCAATATAAGGACAAAATGTTAAAAAATGTTAAATGCACAATTTTTAAAAGATGCAATAGTTCCCGTAAAGAAATCCAAAGTTCAATAAGAATTCCTTATCAGACAGAGACGATTGAGTGGATCTACTGCTCTCAAATCTGGATCTATCTTGTGGGAGCATAAAGATCTATTAACTCCAACAATTGGGAGCAGTTAATATTGCCGTTAATCAAGTTGACATATCTGCAACAATTCTCCTAGACTCCAGTGTCAATAAATTAAGTCTGATTGAAACCAGGTTACATCGAAAGGCTTGGTTTCAAACAGTGAATCTTTTCAGAATTTTTTTCGACGCAACCAAAAATGCTCTAAGCTATAAAAAACAGTAATTTTCTATCAATATCCTTCGACATATAGTTCCGCAGTGCTCCTGGCTGTGTTCTGTCGGTGAAACCCTCGTGAATTACGGAGAGAAATATTCGGGCAATCAGCCTTATTGCCCCTCTGACAGGGAATTAGTATGTTTGCAGGAGCGTTCCACGTCGGTGGAGCAACAATTCAGCGAAAAACTCTTTGTCGCCGTAATGGAGAAGGAAATTTAAAGTCCCGTGGTTCGAAAGGTTAACGCAATTGAACCCTTCGCGGTCCGATATATTTTCCAGGCCACTGTCCAGTCAATTTAATCGCGCGAAAGTTGGTCGCGGGCAGAGAAACGTTACAAATCGGTCTGCTTTATTTTTGCAATCACCGACGTATAAACGTTCTTATTAATATTTATCGAGCATCGAAAACCGGCCAAATACTACGTAAGCCCCCGTGGATTAAAAGATGGCCTGATTAGCGAACCGTGTTATCGTTCGATCTCTCATTACGCATGTACGAAATTTC